CTTGCCATTTCTTGGTTTGTAAAGAAAGTTCTTGCCATTTTTTGATTTTTAAAGAAAGTTGTTGCGGTTTCTTGTTTTCTAAAGAAAGTTCTTGCCATTTCAATGTTATTTTTTGCACTTGCCCTTTTTATACCACTTATTATCAATATAAGCACCCTTTCCTCTACTATAATATAATTCTCACGGAGAATGAAACCGTTTTGACCTTTTACTGTGCCAAACAATATATCTTTTGTATCACTACTTCATTATGACATTTATCCGTCGAAAGATGTCATATTTTATTTATACGTCTTTATGCCATTTCTAAATATACCTCCGCTTTTTGCATCCTTAAGTACTTCATTTGATTGTCACTTTTAAGTCGTTTTTGTTACGTTTGGAAATGTCATCCGGATTAAAGAGATGTCACAAAACGGATTTGGAAGTACTAGATTGGGGTAGGTATGGTGGCATTAAGGATGAAATGAGGTAGGGGGTTTCGGCTTAGCGATAAAGGGAAGGGTTTATTTGGGCTTACGATAAGGTAGGGGGATAGTGGTATGGCTATGGCAAATTGGCAATAAGGATCGTAAGAGGCAGGTGTAGGTTTAGGAATAAAGTGGAGGGTTTAGTAGTTATACGGTAAGGGGACAAAGGTGGTACGGCTAGTGCTAAACTAATCTTTCAACCGGGGGGAGGTGAACGTATTCTTGTTGGATTAGGGAACGGTAAAGGCTAACACACATGAGAGGGAGAAAGGGTATATTTGTGCTGGGCTGGGGTGGTAAACTCAAATTGTACTATGGAGCGGAGCAAGACTAACCTAAGTTAAGGCATACTATACGGTAGGTTAAGGCAAAGGAGGAGGTAATGTAGGTAAGGGCATTACAGACGTAGAATTCAGTAAGGTAAGCTATAGTAGAGTAGAGTAGGGTAAGGTAGGGTAGGGCAGGGCAGGGTAGGATAGGGTAGGGTAGGTAGGGCAGGGCAGGGTAGGATAGGGTAGGGTAGAGTTGGGTAGGGTAGGGTAAGGTAGTGGAGGGTAAAGTAAAGTATGCCACGATACAGTAATCAGAAGTAAAGATTTTTCATTACGACAACCCGGAATTTAGTTTTTACCAAGTTATATTAAGATAGGGCGGATTTAGCTAAATTTAATACTAAAATTTGGATAGTATTATGATACACTTTGTACATATACATCTTTTAAGTAAGTAGACAAAGGATCGACGAGCTTTGTAACAATAATGTTGAGCTGTCTGGCTGTTTTATGATTATTTTAATACGTTCAAGCACTTTGTGGGTATAAAAAAGATTAAAAAGGGCTATAAAAATAAAGACTTGTAGGGATAATATTTTGAAAGTACAATCTTGAGCCAAGACTTAGTTAAAATGATATAAATAAACCGTTTTTAGGTCTTGTAAAGAACGTTTTTGCATTTTTTTTATTTTTATTATATAAAGGCATTTTTAATTTTATATTTTTTTTGTAGTTTTGACGATTTTTACTAGCTGTCTTTACACAAAAATTGGTTTGTGACGAAATGTCAAAAAAGTTATTGGTTTTTTAATATTTTTTTAGAATGACTTTAAAACATGTAAAACGGTTTTATATTGAGAACAAAATGCATTTTTTAAAGTTTGAACGAAGTGTCACAAAAATTATTGATTTTTAAAAAATATTTTAAAGTTGTCTTAAAGTGAATTTAAAACGTTTAAATATGTTTTGTATCAAAACAATTATGTTTTTTGATTTCTTTTGACTAAAGATTAAGGTTTTAGATGAAATGTCACAAAAAATATTGGATTTTTTAAAATATGTGTGAAAAATTACTTTAAAATGGTTTTAAAGGTCACAAATTGGGTTTTTAATGCTTTTTTTTATTTTTTTTAGTTTTTTATATAAATATTTTTTAAATACCCAGACATTTGACGAAATGTCACAAAAAATATTGATATTTGATTTCTTTAAAAAAAGTTTAAAAAAACTATAATTTAGGACAAAACTAATGTCATGTTATTATAAATTCGGCTTACTTCTCACTGTAATCTTTCCTTGTCTCAGTTCATTTGTACTTTTCAACCTTTTCAGTACAATATATCTTTGGTCTCGGCGTCACATTCGTCGTATCTTCTCGCTAATATTACACTCCTCTTCCTCTCTCGAAGCCGTTAATTATTCAGAAGTAGAGTTTGAAATGTATAATTATTCGAGTAATGAAGAGAGCTTGATGATGTACAATTGGGTATGTGGAGTGGGGTTGGGAGTGTTATGTTTGAGAGTGCTGAGGATAGTTTGGTAGGTACTGAGGTGAGTAGGGGGTGATATTGTAGGGTAGGGTAGGGTAAGGCATGGAAGGGTAGGGAAATGTCGGGTAGGGTAGGCTTCTTGCCGTCTTTTGCTTTGTAAAGAAAGTTCTTGCCGTTTTTTGTTTTGTAAAGAAAGTTCCTGCCATTTTGTGTTTTGTAAAGAAAGTTCTTGCTATTTTTCGTTTTGTAAAGAAAGTTCTTGCCATTTTTTGTTTTGTAAGGAAAGTTCCTGCCATTTTGTGTTTTGTAAAGAAAGTTCTTGCCATTTTTTAGTTTACTTTTGGTTTAACTTTATTTTTTATTTTTTGCACTGTGCAACTCTCCAATTCACTTGCACAGTGCATTCAAAATTATACTGATATATCTATTTTTATGACATTATAAAACTGCTATAGTTTGTAAAATACGTCTTTTGTCAGCTTTTTTTAAAAAATTTATTTTGCGAAAAAGTCTCTTTTTTTGTGTAATTTACTTTTTCTGCACTGTGCAATCACTTTAGTGACAGCGTGCAAATTTCGAAAATTTTGAAAACTAGCTATTTTTGGTTTATAAAGAAAGTTCTTGCTATTTTTTGGTATGTAAAGAAAGTTATTGCAATTTTACGTTTTGTAAAGAAAGTTTTTGCTATTTTTTGGTATGTAAAGAAAGTTATTGCAATTTTACGTTTTGTAAAGAAAGTTTTTGCCATTTCTTGTTTTGTAAAGAAAGTTCTTGCCATTTTTTTTTGGTTTTTAAAGAAAGTTTCAATAAAAATGCCATTTGTTTATTGACCCATTTTTCAAATTCTACTTTAATCGACCGTAGTACAAATTAATAAACGACTGGTTAATGATAAACATGTTTATAGTTAAGATTTAGTAGTAATTACAATTATCAGGTATTAAAGATGTTTATCAAGGTTAAGCTTTAGTCTTTTCTAATTACTATTGTCAATTCTAATATCTAGTTTAACATGTTTTGTCAATTGCAGCTTTTCCTTCACTTTATTTTGTCATTTTTCAAAATTCTTGCACGGTGCAATGGAATTGTTTGCACAGTGCAATTAAAACACATTTATGCCATTTTTAATGAGATGTAAGTAAAGTTATTGACGTTTTTTGATTTTTAAGGAAAGTTCTTGCCTCTTTGTGTTCTTTAAAGAAAGTTTTTGCTATTTTGTGTTTTGTAAAAAAAGTTATGGCAATTTTTGTCTTTGACTTTGCACCGTGCAATTTTTCAAAAATTTTGCGAAATATTTTTTAAAATTATGGTGTTCTATGTACTTTTAGACCACAACAAACAACTTTTGTAAATTTTACATTTCAACAAGTACAATATCCCCACTTTTACTACCGTTTTCACGGAAATTGTAAAACGTTTTCGGTCGAAAAATGTTAATCTTATTTCAATTTGATTACTTTTAAGTGCGTTAAAAGCCTTGTCGTACTATGTTGTACATGACTTTTAGTACAATAATTAAAATTAGATAGAGGGAGGGTTGGGTAAAGTAGGGTAGGGTAGATTTTTTAGGGCGGGGTAGATTTTTAGGCAGGGTAAATTTTTTAAGACAGGGTAGATTTTTAGGGCAAGGCAGATTTTTTTAAGGTAGGGTAGGTTTTTTTTAGGGCAGGGTGGATTTTTTAGGGCAGGGTAGTTTTTTTAGGGCAGGGTAAAGACTAGTACAAGGCGTATCATGGGGTAAGATAGGGTAGGGTAGAATAGAGTAGGGCAGGGTAGGGTAGAATAGGGTAGGGTAGGGTTGGGTAGAGTAGGGTAGGGTAGGGAAGGTAGGGTAGGGTAGGGTAGGGTAGGGTAGGGTAGGGTAGGGTAGGGTAAGGTAGGGTAGGGTAGGGTAGGGTAAGGTACATTAGGGTATTTTTAGGGATAGGGCGTGGTAAAATTTAATTTCTTTTGCAGTAACTACTGTTTATGACATTTCGTGTCATACACGCTGTTACAAAACCCCTCTTCTATGTCATTCTTTTGTAATTGGTGCATACTTGATGACGAGTATGACAAATTGCGTTTCCGTGTTGTTTACAATAATAATTTTGTATTTTCGCGGGGTTTTTGCTACGATTGACAAATAGGTATATATTATGTTATAGTAGTAATCATACACGTTGTATGCTCGGAAATATTTTACATGCTATACCTACGTTATATTTTGCCATATTTTGCATTTTCACGTCACAATTAATATTTTTTTGAAGATTTTAAAAAAATTTATCAATTTATTTGCACGGTGCAGTCATCAAAACCTTTTGCCGTTTTTAATATGACCCCAAACAAAATTCTTGAGATTTTTTGTTTTGTGAAGAAAGTTTTTGCCATTTTTTGTTTTGTGATAAAAAATGTTGTCATTTTATCTTTTGTAAAGAAAGTTATTGCGCTTTTTTTTCTAGTTTTGCACTGTGCAGTCACAAAAACCTTTTGCCATTTTTAATATGATTCTAAGCAAATTTCTTGAGATATTTTGTTTTGTAAACAAAGTTTTTTGACATTTTTTGATTTGTAAAGAAAGTTCCTGCTATTTCTGGTTTTGTAAACAAAGTACATTGCGTTTTTTTGTTTTTATTATTGCACCGTGCAGTCCTTGGGTTTTGAAAAAAAAATATTAAAAATAGAGTTTTCTATGAAATTCTTGACCAAAATGAAGCGTGTTTTGTAAAGTTATGATTGTTTTGTTACTTAAATTTATATTAATTTATCTACTTTTAGAAACAAAAATGGAAGATCTAGGTGAAGAATACATTGGCTATGTGCAGAATGAGTACAGCATGCCTTTGAGGGTAGGTTTTTAGTAAAAAATTGTAAAATACGGGATAAAATTTGTTGAAAAAACTTTTTTTTGTTTTAAAAAGTGTTGCTGATACAGTGGCGGCAAAAAAATGGGACAGTCGGTTTTTCGTCAATTTTAAATTTTTTTTGAACGTTTATAAATTTGTACCTAGCTATTATGAAAATGTAGGGTAAGTTTAACAAATTCAAGCAAAAAAGAATTTTTAAATTTGAGTTTTAAATATTTTTAAAAATTTTTCAAAAAATTTTGCTTGGCAAAAAAAAGTGGGACACTTCAATATCAAAAGCATTTTTATTAAACAACCTAACTACAACAATTAAAAATACATTTAACTAACATACAATAACTAGTACTTTGTTGGACCACCATTTGCAGCAATAACAGCGGCCATTCGACGAGGCATATACATGATCTAATCGTCACTACTTTAGTCAAGATTTCTCCATCCCTCCTCCAAAACTGATTCCAATTGAGCTTCTGTCGTAGAGCATGTCTTTTCTACGTTTCTTGCAACTAATTCCCATAAATGTTCAATAGGATGAAGGTCAGGAAACTAACTAGGCCAGTCGAGTTTGCGGATCTTCTCCTTCTTCATATATTGTTGAACAACTTTAGCCCTGTGTTCCGGGTCGTTGTCACTTTGAAATAAGGATACTTTTATTTTTAAAGAACGACAATAACGTATGGCAATTTTGGATAAAATTTCTAAGGAAACCGTCTTATCCATAATCTTTTCTATACGATCAGAAGTTCGATGTTGTTGTAGGCAAAACACGGCCAAACCATTATGCTTCTGGGATGCTTGACTGTTGGACGTAGCTACCGCAGTTGATTTTCAGGGTTAGTTGGCCTTCTTACCTATCGTTTACCATCTGATTCCTTAGTATCCAACTTTGATTCGTCACTGAAAATGACCTTTCTCAAATCATCACTTGTCCAATGTTCGTGTACCTTTGCAAATTCAAGCCGGAGTTTGCTATTTTTGATCCGAATCAAATGTTTCTTCTTGGAAATACAGCCACGAAGTCTAACGTCTAAAAGCCGATTGCATACTGCCCTTCATGAAACGTCTACACCATGTTCTTCCTTCATGTCTGTTTTAATCTCATTTGCACGTTTGAAAAGATCAACTTGAGACTTGCGATTAATCAATGTATCCTCTTTTTTTGTAGTAAATCTAGGTCTTCCTCTTCCTTTTTTGCGTTTTGTAGAGCCACAACCATTGTATCACGGAATTATTTTTCCAAGAGTTAATTTTGGCATGTTAACCATGACATCTATTGCTCGAATTGATATCTTCTCTTTGCCAAGACGCACAATTAAAAAACAAACCTTTTCACCTGCTTGTTTTGGCATACTGTAACTTAAAATATATTCGGACACAAAAACAGCACAAAAACTAGTACAAATTGAAACTTACTTTGCATATTAACAGCTTCCGTCACAAGTGTCCCACTTTTTTTGCCAAGCAAAATTTTTTGAAAAATTTTTAAAAATATTTAAGACTCGAATTTAAAAATTTTTTTTGCTGGATTATGTTAAACTTACCCTACATTTTCATAAAAGCTAGGTACAAATTTATAAACGTTTGAAAAAAAATTAAAATTGACGAAAAACCGACTGTCCCATTTTTTTTGCCGCCACTGTACCTATTTTTAAATTTTTTTGTGTTTTTAAAGGAAAAAACCGGGTTTAAACGCTCATTTTTAACTGTAAAGAAAGTTTTTGCATTAAGAAAGTTTCGCGAAACGACGCTTTCATGAGGTAAAATACGGATTTTGTACCGGCACATTCATAAAACTCTTGGCCAATATTTGGCTGTAAAGAAAATTCTTGCGCTTTTTTGAAAAATTAAATTTATGAAAAACAGTTTCTAGAGTCTAAAGGAAGTCTTAGCATTAAAAGTGTTACAAAATTATGTTTAAAATGTCATGAAACCGCGTTTGTTTCAGGGTCACCGCCGGTACATTGCCTATGTTTATATCTTTTGTAATTCGATTGGATTCCTTGTTAATGGTTATGTTCTATACGTTGTTGGTCCATTGTTATTCGTTCAGACAGTTAAAGTGCCTAAAAGTATATTGTTTTACATACTGACGTTGTGTGTCTCCGATCTGATGACTATGATTGGTGAGTTCTTATTTATTATTGGGGTTTTTGGGGTGGAAAGAAAGTTTTTGCGGGTTTTATGGTTGTAAGAAAAATTTTTTGTTATTTTTTTAATAAAAATATTTTGGTTTAAAATTTTTTTTTACGATGTACATGGTAGATTATGATATATAGATCATTTTTGCACGAAAAATCGAGGTGTGACGAAATGTCACAAAAGTTATTGGTTTTTTAAAAAGTTTTAAAAAGCCTTAAAAGGTTATTAAAGAGCCATGTTTTAATGAGAAATGGCGCTTTTAACTATATTTGGCATGTTGACGAAATGTCAACAAAAATATTGATTTTTCTAAAAGTACTAAAAATGCTTAAAAATTTATTAAAAAACCATATTTTAATAAGAAATGATTTCTCACATTTTTGGCATGTTGACGAAATGTCACAAAAATTATCGATTTTTAAAATTTAAAAAAAAACGATAATAAAGTCTTTTTTATTGCTTGTAAACAAAGTTTTTGCAATTTTTTTTCTTTGTAAACAAAGTTTTTGCCATTTTCTAGTTTGTAAAGAAAGTTCTTGTCGTTTTGTGTTTTGTAAAGAAAGTTCTTGCTATTTCTCGTTTTTTGAAAAAGATATTACCATTTTTTTGTTTCGTAAACAAAGTTTCTGCTATTTCACTGCCTGTAAACAAAGTTTTTACAATTTTACCCACTAAAACCCCCCATTTTAGGCATGTTGTTATTGGTGACAGAGATCGTGCTGGGGACTTGGAAATTCAGCGCGTTCGCATGCACTTCGTACTTGTTATTCGATAGCATGAACAAATTCATGGCTCCGATTATCGTCGTACTTATTAGTCGAACGTGCTACGCCACGATTTGTCTAGACAAGAAGAAACAGGAACGGGCGGCCAGTTTAAAGGTATGGTTAATATATGGTACTTTAAAGCCATTATATGACGTAATGTCACGGTACTTATTGGATTTTCAAAAAGTCTTAAAATTGATAAGAATGTCATAAAAATTGTTTTTTAGTTTTTAAAAATGCTTTTTTGGTATTGTTTGATTTTGTGACGAAATGTCACAAAAATTATTGGTTTTTTGAAATTTTTTAAAATAACTTAAGTCTTCATAAAAATGCATTTTTTACTATTACAAGTGCTTTTTTGCTCTTTTTTAATTGCGTGACGAAAAGTCACAAGTATTATTTGCTTGTGTGACGAAGTGTCACAAAAACATTGGTTTTTTAAGTGTTTTAAAATTACTCAAATAGTCATAAAAACGCATATTTTAGTATTTAAAATGATTTTTGGGCATTATTTCGTTGTTTGACGAAGTGTCACAAAATTTATTGGATTTTTGCTTTTTTGGCATTTAGGGTCAAAAATCAATAATAATGGGTATTGAAAGACAAATCTTGCGAAAACTTTGTTTACTAACTTATATATTGCTTAAAAATGCCGTTTTCAGTACGCCATACCTTATGTAATAGCCTCAATCTCAGTAGTACTAATGTTACTATGGCCGGTGTTCGCCTACAGTGAAGTATCAATAGTACCGGCCACAGTGAACCACACCATAAAAGAAGTGACGTACTTGAAAAAATGCGGTTTCTTACCACCCCCTAGTATTGAAATCGGCTTTAGTCTGGTGGCGTGCATGTTATCGTATGCTATACCCCTCTTCGGTATCATCTTTTGGTACATGTCAGTACCATTGTTCCTACGAAAGAGGGCAGAGAACACCTTGACTAAAGGTGGTAATGGTGGTACGGCTGATGTGGCAGTAAGAAAGGTGATTACTACGGTACTGGTGCTTACTGTAGTCTACGTACTGTGTTGGACACCGTACTGGATTAGTCTGTTTCTACATAGGATTTTTCCGAATCTGTTGGCTTTTAGCAATAAAAATAGTAAGTTTGAGCTAAAATTTGAAGTTTTTTTGAAATTTAAAAATCTTTAAAATATGTTATACGATGAAACATGTCCGAAGTCAAAAATTTTAAATTTTTAAAATTGATTAAAATGATGACATTCCCAAACGATTCCAAGCCAAAACCCCCATTTTCAGTCGTCTTCATCTTTTACATGATTCACATGCTGCCATATATATCATGTTGTGCATATCCACTAATTTTCACCGTTATGAACCGTGCGATTCAGAAGGCGCACGCTGAAGTTATGAACAGTCAACGACGAAGGTTCAAGAGCATCACTGAGGATGTGACACGACATATCAGAGATGCATTGAGGTAAATATTGCCATAGTTTTGAAATCTTTCGAAAAAGTTAGCGGTTCAAAAAGAATTGAACATTTTTGCACTGAACTGCTATGAAAATCGTCCAATTCTTTAAGACGCGGGAGGTGTTTTCAATGAATGTGGGGGTTTGAAATGGTGAATTGGTAAAATTTTGGTTTGTAAAGAAAGTTATGGGAGTTAGACATTATAATTTTAAAAAGTTTTGGTATTAGTCTAAAAAATAACGGCAGTTTTTGAGCAAAAATGACGTGAAACGGTTATCTTTGGACAAAAATTAAATTTCAAGCTTTCTAAAACTATTTATTATGGCAAACTTTGATTTGTAAAGAAAGTTCCTGCCATTTCCCATTACATTTTCATAACTTTTTATTAAACATCTAAAAAAGAATGGCAGTTTTTGAGCAAAAACGGCGAAAAAAAGACGATTTTTTGGCCAAACTTCTCTATTTTTTAAACCTTAAGCCTAATTCTAAGCCTAAACCCACAATTTCTAACAAAACATAATTCCAGTTTCCGACTCCTAAACCGCGACAACAACCTCTTCCCGCGCAGTAGCATTTCCGTGGCCACGTGCACGACAGCACAACGAATGGGTATCATATCTCCAAACATATCGCCTCGAGTCAATTTACGCCCTCAGGGCAGTTCTTTGAATCTGCTGGCATCAGCAAACAGTGTGTCATTCTCTGATCAACCTAGTGTCAATTCAAAGTCACCGCCGTCAACACCATCATCGCCTATGATAAGGAGTGGTAGTGATGATGACATGAATAGTGAAACTGTTTTATAGTGTGGTACTGTAGGGTGGTATACTCTAAGATAGTATACTGTAAATAACGTGATTTTGTTGGCTATAGGGTCTGCTTTGAAAATTGTAAAAGATTAGGCAAAGTTAGGGTTAAAAAGTTTTGCACCGTGCAAACAAAATATTTTTGTTGCACCGTGCAGTCACTTTTTTTAAGATTGCACTGTGCTAAGAATTGATAACATTCTTTATGCTTGTACATAATTGTTGATTGTTGTTACCTGTTTTAATGCCACTTCGTCTTTGATTGATCTCAATTGAAATAAATTATTGAAAAATACCGTTGATCCGTCATTTTAGCTCAACGAGTAGTAATAGTTTTTAGGCTTAGGATCAGTTAGGTTAGGAATGTTATAATTTTAAAAAAAAGTGAAAAACTTTTGGTCTGGACATACTCTTCATCGCATAACATGATTTAATACGGCTATTTAAAAAAAAACTATTTAAAAAATTTATAAAATAAGCCTAAAGTACCACCTTAAGCAGTTATATTGCAAAATAATTTAAAATTTCAATATTTTAAGCTTCAACATGGCCCGTACAACATGGTTCAAAAACCTTAATTTTGCAAATTTAGCCTAAAAAATTAATTTCAAAGAAAATTCATGGACATTTGGAGGCGTATATATAGCTACTATACATCTTCAATCGACAACCAAAGTTAATAAAAATAAAAGAAATAAATTAGTTGTGTTTATTAAAAAAACAAGTCAATGCCTATTGGGAGCAGGTGTGATTCTCCAGTAATGTGAACAGAAAAGTTAGTCCATTGAGCTCTGTCACGTTTGCCTTCGCGCGGCAACGAGGGACCATATTGTAATAGTTACAGCATTTGTACACGTTGTTCGAGTGCTTATAAAAAGCCAAGCCATTAATCTTGACCAACTTTCGACCTCGTTGCCCCAATTCGTATTTTCCTTTGAATGATTGGTTCAAGACGACAGGCACAATATCAGACGGTCCATTTGTAACGGGTGCTTCGCTATTTAAACTGGCACTTGGTTGAGAGCGTATGTTTGTGTTCACAATGTTTGGCGATTCCTAAAAATTATACATATTAATAATTTTTACATATGATATATGATCCTATACTTGGCAAGTACAAAAAGCCAACGTACCGTCATCAGGCTTGGACGCAGGGCAGGGTGCCCTGTACCATGCCCTGTTACCGCTAAGCCTCCGCCGTGCGGTCGATAATTGGCGGACGCCATAACTCGGTTAATTTAGTAGCTGGAAACATGTAGTTCAATTCAGAAGTTATTAAATGTCATACGCTACAAGAAAAAGCATAATTTTAAGATTTTAAAAGTAGTATTGTTATCGACCGGTTGATAATTTTTAGTATATTTTAATTGCAAATTTCATGCATATTCTTATCGCTTTGGTGTTTTCAATCGTATATAAATTACATTAGGTACAATTCAAAGAAAAAAACTTTTTTGTACAAATTAAACATTTTTTAATTATCGACCGGTCGATAACAATAGTGCTTTCAAAAACTTAAATTACTTTTATGTGTAGATTAAAATAGATAACAACTTCTGCAGTTAACTACATGTTTCTAGCTATTAAACTAACCAAGTTATGGCGTCCGCCGATTATCGACCGCTCGGCAGAGGCGTTCGCCAAAATATACCCAAATGCCCTAATGGTACGGCAGGACATGAAAGTCGAATGCCCTGTACTGGGCAGGGCACAGGGCATGGCATAAAATTGGCCAATGCCCTGCCCTGTGTCCAAGCCTGACCGTCATGCAAATATATACTGCTGTTGGTTCAACCTAACAATAAAGTTATCAACTTACCTTCCGTGGGTTCGAACTCTTGGAGGCATTCTTATTCTTGGCTACACGGTTATCAGGATTGTTCTGGGCCTGTTCGTTCATGTCTTTAGGAACCTGAAAACAAAACATCAAAATTCATTAAAATAGTAGTTTCTTCCTAATATAAAAGTTGAAAAAAAGCAATAAAGACTGAAATCGTAAAAAAAAATAAAATAAACTAACGTGTTCATCGTCGTCGAAGGCGTCCAACTCTTTGCTTGGCTTTACAACTCTCCGAACTTCTACATTGTCATCGTCATCCACTTCCACCGCCGTCAACTGCTTTTTTCTCAATACTTTGCGAACCTTGTGGACGTGCATGACCTTCCTTATGTTAGTAAAGACTGTACCATAAGAATCCGAATAACCAGAGTCATTTTCGCAGAAGTGTCTGCGAACCTCCAAAAATGCAGTGATCTTCTCTGCAAGTACGCGAAGCAATTCGACTTCACGGACAGTCGCTTCTTCCAACGTAGTTGGATCCATCTCCACCGAAAACGACTGCACAAAACTCAAAATGAAAATTTTTTAAAATTTTTTTCCATGACTTTTTGCATTTTTCATTCCAAAATAAAAATCAAAATATTATTTCAGAGAAAAAATTTTTGAAATTTTTCTTAAAAAGTCTATTGCAGCTCAAAATTTAAGTAACTGACATTAACAATGCCGTAAATTTTACTGTACCAGACATGTTGAATCGTATAACATGTTCCATCTAAAATATCCTAGCAGTTTTTTCGATAAAACATGCTTTATCAAAATGTCTTCTATGATTTTACATCGCCTAAAATAAACCACAACTCAAAAACCAACGCTGATTTTAATATAACATTGCTGCCACATATACACCTATCATCGTATAACATGTCCCTATAGAGCAGTCGTAAATTAGTTTCATTGAACCGGCACATAATACACATATATCATTAATCTTAACGCGCTTAATGTTTCTTCTTTTATTGATTGAAGATGTATAGTAACTATACAGTAACTATACACCTCCAAATGTCTACAACAAGGTGTTTGTAACGAAATGGCACGTCTTTTTTTATTGATTGACGATGTATAGTAACTATACAGTAACTATACACCTCCAAATGTCTACAACAAGGTGTTTGTAACGAAATGGCTCTACAACAAGGTGTTTGTAACGAAATGGCACGTCTTTTTTTATTGATTGACGATGTATAGTAACTATACAGTAACTATACACCTCCAAATGTCTACAACAAGGTGTTTGTAACGAAATGGCACGTCTTTTTTTATTGAATGAAGATGTATAGTAACTATACAGTAACTATACATCTCCAAATGTCTACAACAAGGTGTTTGTAACGAAATGGCACGTCTTTTTTTATTGATTGACGATGTATAGTAACTATACAGTAACTATACACCTCCAAATGTCTACAACAAGGTGTTTGTAACGAAATGGCACGTCTTTTTTTATTGAATGAAGATGTATAGTAACTATACAGTAACTATACATCTCCAAATGTCTACAACAAGGTGTTTGTAACGAAATGGCACGTCTTTTTTTATTGAATGAAGATGTATAGTAACTATACAGTAACTATACATCTCCAAATGTCTACAACAAGGTGTTTGTAACGAAATGGCACGTCTTTTTTTATTGATTGACGATGTATAGTAACTTTATCAATATCCATCAAATTTAAAAAATTTTATCTCAAAACAATATTTGAAAATTTTTATTTTGAACTGGTAAATGCAAAAAAAAATTATAAAATTTTTTTCATTTTAAGTTTTTTCCAGCCACGTTTGGTCGGATGGAACCACCAAGAACGGTCGAGGAGGCGACGACCATCGAAGTTGAATTACTTCGCGTGTTAGGACAGAAGATTGCCGCTTTCTTAGAAATTAGAAGGCAGAGTTGCCAAGAAGATGCCGGCTTTAACGATGCCTATGGAACGGTATTTGCAAACGTCCGCAAGGTGGTCGCTATCCACAAGATTCGAAAAAACCTGCAAAAGAAGGTTGGAGGCTTTGGAAATCGATGACGACGAAAAAGTAGAGGTCAAGAAGGTTGCAAGACCAACCAAAGAGCTAAACGCTTTTGATGAAGAGGAAAACGTAAGTTTATTTTACTTTTTTTTACGATTTTAATCTTTATTGTTTTTTTCAATTTTTATATTAGGAGGAAACTACTATTTTAATGAATTTTGATGTCTTGTTTTCAGATTCCTACAGACAGAAACGTAAAGCCCCAAAGCCATTCTGAAAGAAACCGTGTAGCCAACAATAAGTCTGGAGCCAAGTCTTCGAAACCACCACGAAAGGTAATTTGATAACTTTATCAGTTTGAACCAAGAGTAGTCGGACACTTTAATTGGAAACTAAATGAAAAGTGTGCCGCTTGTAATCTGTTTATTCTTCTGTTCGAAAAGTAGATAAACACGTATATTAATGCGAAACCATACGCATCTGCCCTTCCTATTATATTGTTTTTGTATCAAAATGTCCTTTTTGTGTATTTTCATGACGGTACATTGCCTTTTCTACTTATTAAGTATAGGATCATACACAATATGTAAAAAGTATCAATATTTATAATTTTTAGGTATCGCCAAACATTGTGAACACAAACATACGCTCTCAACCAAGTGCCAGTTTGAATAACGAAGCACCCGTTACAAATGGACCGTCTGATATTGTGCCTGTCGTCTTGAACCAATCATTCAAAGGAAAATACGAATTGGGGCAACGAGGTCGAAAGTTGGTCAAGATTAATGGCTTGGCTTTTTATAAGCACTCGAACAACGTGTACAAATGCCGTAACTATTACAATATGGTCCCTCGTTGCCGCGCGAAGGCAAACGTGACAGAGCTCAATGGACTAACTTTTCTGTTCACATTACTGGAGAATCACACCTGCTCCCAATAGGCATTGACTTGTTTTTTTAATAAACACTACTATAATGATTTATTTCCTGAGTGTTGTTTTTATAACTTTTTTATGAGTTAGTTACTATACAAATCCAAATGTCTAAAGTAAGGTGTTTGTGACGCTTCCTTTTATCGGTTGATAGTGTATAGTAAATACACATCTCCAAATACAAGTTTAAAAAAATTTTGTAACAAAGAGTACAACTGTGTATAATTTAATAAAAAAACAAAAACAGTGGTAGTTTCGAAGGGGGTTACCTTGAGTTTGTGGTGACCTTCAGACGGCGAAATATTATTCGAAAAGCAACGATTTGCCCTCGATTCGAATGTTCGAGGGATCGCGAATTAAGAAACTTCGTATTTTATGAAACTTTTCATTTTTTGGGTAATAATTGATTTTAAATTTAGTATGTTCCAGTCAACTTCCACTTTTAAAAAGTTGACTTTTTATGGTTTGTAACGAAAGTTCTTGCCATTTTTTGTTCTGTAAAGAAAGTTCTCGCTATATTTTGTTTTGTAAAGGGAGCTCTTGCTATTTAATTGTTTTGTAAAGAAAGTTCTTGGCATTTTATGTTTTGTAAAGAAAGTTTTTGTTATTTTTGAGTTTGTAAAGAAATTTGTTGCTATTTTATGTTCTGGAAAGAAAGTTGTTGCTATTTCTCGTCTTGTAAAGAACGTTTTTGTGCTGAAAACAAAAATATTGTTAAAAAGTTGCTGTTAACCAAAAAGCGAATAAAAATTTGTTTTGTTTTGATCGGAAACGAAAGAGCAATTCTTATTTTTGTGGTTTTTATCAAGACTTGTTTGTAATAATTATCAGTCAGATGCTTTAACAATGTGAACTGAACAGTAGTGTTTTTACCAGCTTTTCAAGTATTTAACTATTTTTTAAAATATTATTTATACTATGTAAGTGATTTGAGTAACATTTTAATCTTGTAAGTTTAAATTTTTTAAGTGTCGTTATGACAGTTTTTTTTTAAATTGATGATCTCATAATGAAAAATTTTACATAGATTTGCCATATATCTGGTTCATGTGAGTGTTAATTTAATTTTTTTAAAATTTTTTTTGTTTTGTGAAACTATAAAAACGTGTCATTATGACGGATTTTTTTGGAATATATCTATTATGCTGACAGATTTTATATATGTTGTAAAATACGTTTGTTTTATATCAGTATATTTAGTTTTTTTGTCTTTTTAAAAGTATTAAAATTTGTCATTATGACATTTTTTTTGGAATAATGTTGTCATGATGACACATTTTTTGGATTTGCTAAAATACAATATTTCGAAAGATATTTTGTTACTGTATAATTTTTTTTATTTTCAAGCATTTTTAGAGCCATAACAATAGCTTATCCATGTTTATATTATGTTATATTATCCATGATAATAAATCAACTTTCCCCATTTTCAGATATTTTTTCTCCGTTTTGGGCGATCGCGACCAGCGGAGATCCACAAAATTGCAGTAATGTCTTGAATTCGTCAGGACTCTCGACTTTGATCTCATATTTTTCGACTGCAGAAACTTTCTTTACAACTTTGCGGAAACGGCAAAAACTTTGTTTACAGGTAGGAAGAAGTGCCAAATGGGTTAGAGTGACAATATTTATGACGTTTTTTAACATTTTATGATTTTTGCCAAATTTTTGTTTTTACGCAAAAACTTTCATTCCAGTTTCAACCATGGGCTTTCGGGTCTCGAAGCGAAAGTTTGGTCTAAAAAACCTGGCCGTTTTTTCAATATTCGCCTTGGCCTTCTTCATAATATGGTTTTTGTTGACGGTTTTAATCATTTACGCCGAGGACTGGCTATTGGGACCGGCTGAGCTGGCTCGGCCAAGGAGGAACGATGACAAAATGGGCGGAGTCAAGTTGGTTGTGGGACATTACAGCGGGAATTTGCCTAAGGAACGACTAGCAAATTTGAGTAAAGGTGCGTTTTTTGGAAATTTTAAAGGTTTTGGAAGGGTTTGGTCAATTTAAAAATTTGTCATTATGACAGATTTTTTCAAAAAAATTTACGTCACTATGACACGTTTTTTGAATCTTCTAATATACAAATTGTTTTTAATTACATTTAAAATTTGTTTAGAAAATTTTTAAGAAACTAATTTATGTCAGTATGACACATTTCTTGGGAAAAAGTGTCACGATGACGCCTTTTATATAATGTGATAAAACTTATTGTAAAAACGGATAAACAAATATCTCACATATTTTTTTCATTTTCAGCCGAACTAAATGCTAATAATTACCATCCAATCGAAGGCTATGGTGATTATGGCAGAGCCGTCAACTTGAATCAAAAAGAAGATCTGGAGTCGGAAAAGACGTTCGGCATCAATCAGGTGAGACAGAATGGCAATAATTTTCTAGGCAAAATTTAAAAATTGCAAAAACTTTCTTTACAACACAACAAATTTGACTTTTTTGACTGCACGGTGCAATGGAAAAAGTGTTTGCACGGTGCAAAAAACTTATTGCGCTGTAGAAGACGGGTTTTTTAAAATTTTACAACGTGATAGCAAAAACTTTGTTTATAAAGCAAAGAGAATATTTTTAAAATAAAAAATGGCACGAACTTTCTTTACAAACTTTACAAAAATGTATATTCTTTTGACTGCACGGTGCAAGCAAAGAAGGTTTGCACGGTGCAAAAAGAATTATAGCGCAAAATGCTTGCACAGTGCAAAAAGTATAGCAAAAAATTTTGTTTGGTAAAAAATGGCAAAAACTTTCTTTACAAAGCACAATTTTTTAACTTTGAGAAATCTTAGCATTATATTGCACTAAAAATGTCACTTCCAGTTCAATCTCTACATAAGTGACCGCATCTCGGTCAATCGGTCGTTACCAGACGTTCGAAAGTCAGATTGTCGTACTAAATCATACCCATCTGCTAAAGATCTTCCTACAACATCTGTTATTATTGTTTTTCATAATGAGGCGTTTTCAACTTTGCTAAGAACCGTTTACTCTGTAATCAACCGATCGCCAAAGGAGGTGCTGGAGGAAATTATACTGGTGGATGACTTTTCTAGCAGAAGTAAGTCAGGGGGTAACAATAAGGTACCATTTTTAATTGAAAAATGACATGAATTTTGTAAACTATAAAAAATAGCATTTAAATCTATTTTAAAAAATTAAAAAATCCAATAATTTTTGTGACATTTCGTCAAATCTATAAAATGTCAAAAAATGTATTTTTTAATATAATTATGACAACACCATGGCTTTTAAGTTATTTTGAGGTTTTTTTAAAAATCAATAATTTTTGTGACATTTCGTCAAATGTATAAAAATGACTAAAAATACATTTTTAAGTAAAAGTAAGATAATACTACGACTTCTAAAGAAATTTAAAAGTTTTTTGAAAATCAATAGTTTTTGTGACATTTCGTCATATTTTTGATATTAACATAAATGGACGTTAAAAACGTTTAATAATAAACATACGGTATATAATTTTTAAAAAATAAAAAATTTTTAAGCATTTTTGAACGAAGACCTAAAACAAGCTTTGAAATCGACCGGTGTCAAGATAAAATTGGTCAAAGCAAGCCAAAGAGTTGGATTGATTCGAGCTCGACTAATGGGCGCGGCTGAAGCCGAAGGAGACGTTTTGACTTTCTTGGACAGTCATTGTGAATGCACCTTGGGATGGTTGGAACCGTTGTTGAGTCGGATCAAGGAGAATCGGTAAGGAATGGCAGATGATATGATGGGGTATGGTAATAAGGTTGTGGTGGGGTTGGTATGGGGTAGGGTGGGGTAGGATACGGTAAGGTGGGTAATGTAAAATAGTGGATTTTGATGTAAAATACGTCTTGGCATGCGTTAACACAGAGTTTTAAAATTTCAAAAAAGTCCAAAATTTTGATTTTTTCAGAAAAGCCGTGGTATGCCCAGTGATCGATGTTATCAATGATCGAACCTTTCAATATCAAAAAGGAATCGAACTGTTCAGAGGTGGATTCAATTGGAACTTGCAGTTTAGATGGTATACTGTGCCTCCGAAGATTGCCAAGATGAGAAAGAACTTGACTGCTCCTATTTTGTAAGTTCTTCGTTGGGAATTGGTTTTGTTACGAAATGTCACAAAAATTATTGGTTTTTTAAAAGTTTAAAATTGTTTTAAAAAATTATATACTGACCTATTTTAACATAAAATGAAGTTTTTTAATTTTTTGAGTTATTGGACGAAGTGTCACAAAAATTATTGGTTTTTTAAAAACTCTTAAGTTGCTTTAAAAAACCTTACACTAACTTATTGTATCACAAAAAGGCGTCTTTCAACTGTTTTTGGTCATTAGACGAAGTGTCACAAAAATGATTGGTTTTTTAACATTTTGAAAAAAATCTTGTAAAACTGGATAATTAGCGCTTTGTAAAGAGTTTTTGCTATTTTTTTTTAGTTTTTAAAAAGTGACATTTTAGATCTCCAACAATGGCCGGAGGGCTATTTAGTATCGACAAGCGGTATTTCGAAGAGCTGGGAACATACGACAATGGCATGGACATATGGGGTGGAGAGAACATTGAAATGTCATTTCGAGTAAGTCACGCTAGCTTTTACACCTGTCAACTGTGAATTTTGGTTTAACTGTGGTTTTAAACTTTAGATTTGGCAATGCGGAGGGAGTGTTGAGATTCTCCCCTGCTCTCATGTTGGCCACATTTTTCGAAAAGCCTCACCTCACGACTTCCCTAAGGGCTCCAATTCTGGCCAGGTACTCAATTCGAATTTAATTCGAGTGGCTGACGTCTGGATGGATCAGTGGAAGCACCTTTTCTACAAAACGTCTCCTCGTAAGTTGCCCTAGAAGTAGCCCTACACTACCCTACCCTACCCTACCCTGTAGACATGAGAAACGGGCCGGACCGGCCTTGAGCGAAATTTCGATCGGGCCGGACCTGAAAAATTAGCCGGGCCCGGCCCGTTTCACGTAAAAAATATTTAGACCCGGCCCGGGCTTACCATCGGCCCGGGTCGGGCCGGCCCTGAGCAAAATTTCGATCTGTCCGAGCCCAAACATTGGGCCCGGCCCGGTCCATTTCTCATGTCTACTATACTACCCTACCCTACCCTACCTTACATTATCCTGTTTTGCCCCACCTTACCGTACTTTTCCCTACCTTGTTTTAGACTACCCTATGAAAGTCTTGTCGATTTTTAACCTGCTATGGTAGGGTGTGTTCTACAAGAAACTTGTTTGTCCTATAGTTTTTGAAATTTAGTTTTTAATTACCCTAGTCGACGACCTTTTCCTATAGACCTACCCTTGTCGACTACCTTTACCAATAATACCTTATCCAACGAAACACGTCGTTTCTGAAAAAAAATGAAAATTTCGATGTTTCAGAAGCCCTGAAGCTACGTGACCAAATAGACTCGAGTGATCGAATTGAGCTGAGAAAGCGGTTACATTGCAAACCATTCAAATGGTATCTGGAGAACGTTTGGCCAGAACATTTTTTGCCTGTTCCTGGCCGAAAGCCACTTGTTAGGGTAGGTTTTTAAAATTTTTTTTTCAATTTTTAACAATTTTGTTAGATTTTTATAATTTTGGGCATATTTGAAGTGTCAAAAAAGTCTTGTCGTCAATTTTCATTGTTTACAACGCTCAAAAACGACAAGACTTTTTTACACTTTAAAAGTTATTTTTTATGATTTGGGGGTGGATTTTCTTGATTTTTTAAGTGTTATGGGATTGTAATCGGGTTTGAGGTACGGTATTTTGTGTTGGGTTACTGTAATTTTTTAAAAATTAAAAAAAAATTTTTTGAGAAATTGTTGTTTTTCAATTTGGGGGTGGATTTTAAAATATTTAAATTTTTTGGGTACGGTATTTTGAATAGGGTTACTGTAATTTTTCAAATATTCAAAAATTTTTTAAAAAATTTTTAAATTTTAAAAAATGTTAAAAATGACATTTTTGTTTCAAAAAACGCTCAAAATGACATTTTCTTCGCATTTTCAGCTAGTCCACTTGAAATCGGAAGGCATCAAATGGCCTAGCTGTTTGCACTGGGGCCATACTCAAAATACCGTACTCAAGGTTGCGACCTTGCAACCGTGTCGCGGCGACAACTTTGATCGCACTCTGGTGAGTAATTTTGCTTTTTTAGATTGGAAACAAAGTTTCTTCGCATTGCCTGAACAATAGGCCTAGTTTGGGGCCGGGCACGAAACGGTCGCTGAGCCTAAGCCAGTGTTCGGTCGGGTTTGATGTTTGGCAGGTAAAATTAGGTTATTAAATGAGTTTAGATAGGTTTAGAGGTGGCATTTTGGCATTATAAGACAAAAAATGGCAAGAACTTTCTTTACAAAACAAGAAATGGCAAGAACTTTCTTTACAAGGCTTAAAATGGCAAGAACTTTTTTTACAACACTAAAAATGGCAAGAACTTTCTTTACAAAACATAGAATGGCAAGAACTTTCTCTACAAAACAAAAAATGACAAGAACTTTCTTTACAGGCATTTTAAAAAAGTTTCAATTTTTCTGGTCGTATTTTACTGCAAAATAATGTCCGGTATGTTACGTTACTGAGATTGAAACTTCATAGAGCTGATTGTTTGTTTAATCCGTTTTCACTTTTTTCCTATTTATGGGCTTAATATTGTTGTAAACAAACGCTTTTTTTTCAGTTTTCTAATTGTAAAGAGGTGAATGATGCAACAAATAACATATTATATTGCACTTTGATTTCATTTGTTAAATTTTTTGAGGTTTTGTTTTGTAAAATACGACCATGAGAGTAGTTTTCCCATTTGGTTTTGGCAGGGCAACAACTCTTTATATTTTTTTTGCACGGTGCAACGAAAAAACTGAGCTAGATAATATCTTTTTCAAATAATACTGCAGTTTTTTGATATATTTTTGGAAAATAAAGTTTTTAGAAAATGAAAATCAACTTTTTTTTGTAAAATACGACTGGTCATCAATTATTTTTTATTCGGGATGGGCAGTACAAAAATATTTATTTCTTGCACAGTGCAATGAAATAAAAGTCGCGGTTTACTGTAGGTTTTTGAAATAATTTTGAACAAAAAATGTTTAGAAAATGAACATAAAATTGATTTTTTTTGTAAAATACGGCCGATCATCAATTATTTTTTATTCGGGATGGGCAGTACAAAAATCTTTGTTTCTTGCACAGTGCAATGAAATAAAATTTGCGGTTTAGTGTAGTTTTTTAAAATATTTTTAAAAAAATGTTTAGAAAACGAAAATAAAAATTGATTTTTTTTTGTAAAATACGAGTGGTTATTCTATTTATTTTTTATTTGGCTTGGGCAGTGCAAACCTTTTTTCTTTGCACGGTGCAATGAAATAATGCGGTTTACTGTATTTTTTGAAATATTTTTAAAAAAAATTTTTAAATATGAAAATAAAATTTATTTTTTTTTGTAAAATACGACCATTATTGTTGTTTTTTCTATTTGGATTGGACAGTACAACACTCTTTATTAAAATTAAAAGTTGTTGCACTTTGTAGTGGGGAATGGAGATTCTGTAGTTTTTTTATAAGATATTATTGAAAAAAATGGAACAAAAATTTTAAATTTGTTTTGTAAAATAAGCTATTTTATAGCATTTTATTTTTTCATTTTTTTTATTTTAAAAATTTAAAGTTATTGCACTGTGCAATGGATAAATGTTCCGGTTTACTGTAATTTTTTAAAAATTTTTGAAAATTTTTTTGGGATTTGAATTTTAATCGTTTTTTTTTGTAAAATACGCTATGTCTAGTATGTATTTCATTTAAAAAAATTTTATTATGAAAATTTTAATTTGTTGCACAGTGCAGTACCTCAACTTCATTTTCAAAGGTTTTTGTGAGCTAAAATGACTTTTTTTCCATAATATTATCAAAATATTGTTAACAGTTGTTATTAAACCCCTAAAGTGCAATCAACTTTTCACTTTTTTTTCGAAAATTTTTAAAACGTAAAAAGCGGAACAAACAAGGGGGGGGGACGTGGGGCGGCGCGGGTTACCTTTTTTTATTTTTATAGTTGCCTTACTCTTACCGCGCGACGCTTTTTCAACCAATTTTTGATCGAAACTTTTCATAACCGATCGATACCTGTTTACACAATTCGAAGGCTGATCTGGCGTGTTTTAATGGAGGGGGGGGGCGAGATCAAAGGTTGTTCAAGTTTATTTATGAAAATTGGGGTGGAAAGAAAGTTCTTGCAATTTTTGTTTTGTGAAGAAAGTTTTTGCTGGTTTGAGCGTTGTAAAGAAAGTTCTTGCGATTTTTGATTTTGTAAACAAAGTTTTTGCTATTTTTTGTTTTGTAAAGAAAGTTCTTGATAAACAAAAAAAACTCGTATTTTAAGTTAAAACTGTCAATTATGACATTATATATTAATAAAATGACATTTCAGATATGGATATATGACCAAGAGACAGGTCAGATCAAGTCTGACGAGCACGTTTGTCTCACAGCTTCATTGATTATCAACACGAATCAGTGGAATGTCCAATTGAAGGAGTGTGGCGAATATGACATTGAGAAGTGGGATTACAATAGCTATGTAAGTGGCATTTTAAAATTAATTTTGACTTTTTTTTTACTTTGAAAATTCGAATTTTTTAATTTTTGTAAAGATTTTTACTTTTTTTGCACCGTGCAAGCATTTTTTGCACAGTGCACTTATTTATTACACTGTGCAAAACTTTAAATTTGAATTTTTATAAGCATTTTTGAAAATTTTTGAAATTTTTTTGAAAGACATGATAAAAATATTCAATTTGTCATACATTGTGACAAAAAGTGTATAAAAAGGTTTTTTGCACCGTGCGGTTTTATAAAAGTTTATTTTCTTGCACCGTGCAAAATTTTAAATCTTGATGGCTTTTTCGAAATTTAAAAAAATTTTTTGAAAGGTGAAAAAACTATTCTATTTGGCATATATTATAACGAAAAGTGTATAAAAATGTTTGCACTTTGCAGTTTTATTAAAGTTTATTTGATTGCACCGTGCAGGTTTTCAAAAAAACTTGTTTTCACAGTGCAAAACAGATTAAAATTTTTCAAAAATGGTTTTAGAAAAGAAAATATAATGTAAATTTTATGTATAGTACCCAAACGTTTTTTGATGAAATGCACTGTGCTATCTTTAAAAATATCTTGTTTGCACGGTGCAGTCATCTTTTTTCTATTTTATTGCACTGTGCAAACGAAAAATGACAAAATTAAATAAATTTATAGATATATTTTATAACTTTAATAATTTGTTTTGTAAAATACGACTGTTTATATTGTCTATGTCAAATTTTTCAGCGTAAAACCTTTGTACATAGAGAGTCCGGGTATTGTTTGGATGAGCCATTGGAGAAGTTCGACGACCCGGACAAGGTGCGTATACCAACAGTGAGGCGGTGTAGTCGGTATTCGGCTTCTCAGGTATGTTTTCGACTTTGGGCCTAATTTTTTCTAAAAATTTTGAAAATTTTTAAAATCTGCACGGTGCAAGCTATTTTACAGGTTTTTTTAACTTTGCACCGTGCAAATGGTACCAAATTGGTACTAAATGATACAATTTTTGATACATACGATATCTTAAGAACCGTATAGAGTAAAATAAACATAATTTTCTAAGGTATCTTAACTTAAAAATGCATTTTATTGACCAAAACCTTTTAGCAATGGGAAATGAAACCAGTTGAATGGCTTCCGAGCTCCAATAGTACTATTTATTAAGCTTTTTCTAAACTGAACGTTATACCATTGTATACTAGAGATCCTTAGCTACATTTTGAGTACAAACTCACTCAACTTACTACAGTAGATCATATCGTATTTGCACAATATTGCACATCAGCATTTGCGACCGGATTTTCTCAAAAACTAGCCAAAATTGGGCTTGGCTAAACTGGAAATGATGTCTTTTTTGCGACGTATTTTACAATATTCTACAATTTGATACCAATATCTGTTGTTATCACAGAGATTTGACATCTTTTCCGAACGGCTGCTAGCCAAATTTGATGTTTCAAAGGTTTTGGTTGAAAAACTGGTCGATTGTTTCAGTTGCCATGAGAAACAACACTTTATTACTTTAATATCGACTTTTTTGGTCTTTTTTTTGGTTTTTAAAATTTTTTTGGGTTTTTTATTACCGGTTTTTGAGATTTTAAATTTTTTCGAAATTTGACAATTTTTTTTGAATTTGTATGCTAATTCTGACGATTTAAGTTTTTTTAAATGTATAATGCGAAAGGATAATCTGATTCTAGTTATACTATAAAATTTTGTTTTGGATTTAAAAATTTAAGCACTTCAAGAATTTGAATTTTAGTTTTCCCGCCAACTTGAAAAGTGCTTTGGCATTCTGTTGCAAGTTGTAAACATGACAAAAAATTGCATATGCTTTATTTTAACACATTTTTTACATTATACTTTTTGAAATTAGGTAAAATACGCTCGACCTTCTATAGGAAGCAAAAAAATAATTTTGGCGGGAAATTTAAATTTGGAAAAAAAAACTTTTTTAAGTTTTTTAGTGTTTAAAAATCGTTATTTCCTTTTTTTATGGTTGTTTAGAAACATAAAAAATGTAAATTTGGAATTTGTGAACCTAAAAATTTGGATTTCAATTCTTCCGCCAATTTGAATTTTTCTTGGCATTCTGTTTCAGCCTAGTAAAATGACAAACTATATCATATAGAATGTTGAGAAGGTTTTAAAAAACTATTTTTTGTTTAAATTTGAGTAAAATATGCGCGCTTGAGTTGATATGATAGATAAATTTTTGGCGGGAATTCAAAAAATTCAAAATTTGAAAAAAATGGAATTCAAAAAATTTAAAATAAAAAAAATTGTAAAAATTGATAAATAATTTTAAAAAAAAAGTATAAAATTGTCAATTTTGATGACGATTTCGAATCCATCTTTGCTTCTCTTCCTTCCGCTGTCATCTGTCAACCTTAACTTTGCTTTTCCGGAGAAAACTTGAAATCTTTTGTGTTTGCGCCATTTTCGGGTTACTGTTGCTGCTTTTTTTCGAAAATTTATTGGTTTTTTGTTATTTTTATATATTTTTAAAAAAGAAATTTAATTTATTGAATTAAAAATGTTAGGTGCCGACATAAAGAACCCGTTATACTTCGGCACCTAATATTTTTAAAAGAACTTTAATATTTGTCATAGGGTTGAAAATGTCATTTTTGGGCTGAAGATGTCGTATTTATGACAAGATTTCGTTTGATGACATTATTATGAAAAAAAATCATTTTTGAGCTCAATATGACATTTTAGGCTATTTTTAGACTTAAAATAACATTTTTAGGTTTAAATTGACATTTTTCAGCTTCAAATTGTGCTTCAGGCTTAAACTTTTTGTTTCAAAATCTTATTTTTGGCTTTAAAATGACTTTGTAAGCCTAAAGTAAACTTTTGATCTTATAAAAGTTAAGTTAAGCCTAAAAATGTAATTTTAAGTCTAAAAGTGTCACTTTGGGCTAAAAAATGTCAATTTATACTTTAAAATGTTTCTATAAGCTTAAAGTGTCAATTTGCGCTTAAAAGTGTCACTTTAAACTTAAAAAAGTCAATTTAGACCTAAATTTTCATTTTAAGTTTAAAAATGTCACTTTAAGCCTAAACCAATTATTTGTTTTAAAATTTTTATTAACCATAACATAACCACTACAACAAGATAACCCATGGCGAAAACGGTCGCATTCACAGTTAGTTAGCTAGGCTTTACTCTCTCCCGAAGAATTGTAGTCATGACTTTTACTGAATGTCGTTTACATTTACACTTTTAATGCATTTTAATTTATTTTAAAACGTTTTGTGATATTCATAATAAATCGACTTGAAAACCGAAAGACGTACAAACTACAGGAATATTTGACTAAATTTTTGGTTTTGCAGAGTGCGGGTGACATTTTATACTATGAAAGGTATTTTTAGTAATATTTGAGGGCCATTTTTTGTTTTGTAAAAGTTCTTGCCATTGTGTGCCTTGTAAAGAAAGTTATGATTTGTAAAGACAGTTCTTGCAGTTTTTCGATTTGGAAAGAAAGTTCTTGCTATATTTTGTTTTGTAAACAAAGTTCTTGTCATTTTCCAACTTGTAAAGAAAGTTTTTGCCATTTTTGGTTTTGTAAAGAAAGTTTTTGCTAATATATATTTAGTAAAGAAAGTTCTTGTCATTTTTTCATTTTCCTTTCATAAAAGCTTCAAAATATAATTTTTGTTACAAAAGTAAACAAGACTATAACAGGTGAGTACATACCGTTTTTATTATTTTCCGGTTTCGAAATGGTTTTTTATTATTTTTTTGAATTTATTTGCTCAATGAATCAATAAATGACTAAAAGGGAGAATATGTTTTGCTTGATTGATTAGTATGTTGGTCATTCTTACCTGCTCTAGCCCTAGCCCTAGCCCTAGCCCTAGCCCTAGCCCTAGCCCTAGCCCTAGCCCTAACCCTAGCCTTAGCTCTAGACCCTAACCTTAGCTTCTACCACTAGACTCCTAATAACCCTTTTACTTTACTCAAAAATGGCATTTGTTTATTGCACTGTGCAATTATTTTCCAATTCGCGCGTACATAAGTTATAAATGTTGCACTGTGCAGTTTTTGTGAACTTGTCATACAATTAGGTAAAATATCAAAATATTGTTATTTTTTTAGCGTCTTTTGTTTAGGCTATATCATTTACTATTTTTATTTTTTTTACTTGTGAAGTAGCATAAAATGACAATTTCTATATTTGCACGGTGCAGTTTTTTAAATTTGTCACAAAGTTAGATAAAATGACAAAATAGATTTGTAGTTTACATTATATGTGTTAGCGTCTTTTGTTAACGCTATATTATCTACCGTTTTTATTTTTTTTGCTTCTAAAGTGGCATAAAATGGTAATTTATTTTTTTGCACGGTGCAACCTTTTACTAATTCGCGCGTACATAAGTTATAAATATTGCACGGTGCAATGCTTTTTCTTTTCGAAAAAAGACGTTTATTTACTGTGAAAGCGACGTCGAAAATAACGAAAAAAATTACAAATGCGGGTTTGACAGGTTTCTCTTAATAAAGACAGCCTCGAGACATTCGAGAGTTTCGCCAAAAAAGAGGCAGCCGGCTGGCTCTTTTTTCCCTCCCTTTTGCTCTTTTCTCTTTTTAGCCAAGTGTATTATTCGCATTGTACTTGGTTTTATTACTTTTTAATTTTGTTTGTTATGAAAAACTGTTTTTCTTTACAATAAGCGTAGTTTGAAGCGTTTAGGCTTAAATTGGGTTTTTAGGCTTATTTATGGCATTTTAGGCTTAAAAAGGGGGACTGGGTATGAAAATTCGTTAGTTATATTACTTTTCAATTTTTTTGTTTTGAAATGTTTTTTTTTCTTAATGTAAGTCTAAATTTAAAATTGTAGGCTTAATTTTACTCTTTAGGCTTATTCATGCCACTTTAGGCTTAAACAAATAAAATTGTTTATGAAAATATGTTAAAGTACACAAAATTGAGTTCAAAATTGTTTTTTGGTGTAGTTAAATTGAGTTAATTCACTGTTTGAACAAGTATTTAGCAACCTTCTGTTTGTTCTGCACCGTGCAATGGAATTTGTTTTGGTTGCACTGTGCAGTTTTTTAAGGTTCAGGTCATTGTGCAAGTTTAAAAAATAGATTTAATATAAATTTTTTATAGTCTAGTAAGCTGATTTTAATTTATATTCTCTTTTAATTTTTTTTTTCTTTTGGAATAGCATAAAATGGCAACATTAATTTTTGCACGGTGCGAATTTTTTAACTTTAGGTAATGTTCTGCTTAATGTAAAAATTGGTTTGATTTTAAAATTTTATATGTTATCTGTTCTTCGTTAACTTATATTACTTATTAATTTCATTTTTTTTACTTTTAATTGGCCTAAATGGCAATTTTAATTTTTGCACGGTGCAGTTTTTTAAAATTTGTAATAAAATTAGGTAAAATATCAAAATGGGATTACTGTTCACATTATATGTGTTTGGGCTTTCTGTTTAGACTATATTATCTACGATTTTTATTTTTTTGTTAGTTAAGAGATATAAAATGGCAATTTTATTTTTTGCACGGTGCAACTGCTTTCAATTCGCGCGTACATAAGTTATGACTTTTTGTAAAAGAGCATGATAAGTCAAAATTTAGATAATAAAAGTGTATTATATCTCAGTAGTAATGGCAGTACGTTTTGGTATTAAAAGTTTTGGTTTTTCTTTGTGTAGTTTAATTGAAATGGCAATTTTAAGCCTTGCACGGTGCAATAACTTTGCTTGGCCGTGAAACTGCACCATTAACACTACTACAAAAACTAATAGTGTCTTCTATTTTAGTGAGTTTTATAGTACTTATTGGTATCAAATTTTTTATTTTCTAGGCTTTGGTATCGATTAAAAATGGCATTTTAAGTCTTTGCACGGTGCAATCTCTCTTATTTTCTCTGCACTGTGCAAGTATAAAACCTACTTCAAAATAAGCGTTTTTTAATGTTTTTGGGCCGTTTGAAGAATGCTGAAGCTATAAATAACGAGCAGCACATAACCGCTGTTTACATTTTAAAAAAACTCGGATATTTCGGGAAATTTTTAATCTACCACGCACATATTAGTCTTGTTTAAGGCGTTTTTTAATGCATGTTTAAATTGTGGCTAGGTATTTTTGCTAATTAGAGGATGTGGAAAGAAAGTTTTTGTCATTTTTTAGTTTGGAAAGAAATTTTTTGCTATTTCGTATGTTTAAAAATGGCATTTTAAATTAATTTTTATTTTAAAAATTTTATTTCTTTTTGCACCGTGCAATATTTTAATTTGTTTGCACTGTGCAACAAATTTTTTTTACACTGTGAAATTTGGAGCTTATTTTACGCAACAAATATTGTCATAACTATTAGTCTGGACTTATAAAAAGTTATTAAAACTATTTTCATTATGATTATTTAAGAAAGAATGGCACAATGAATTTTTGAAATATGACTGCACCGTGAAAATTAAGAAAACCTTGCACCGTGCAGAAAAATTAAAGTTTCTTGCTATTTTATGTTTTGTAAAGAAAGTTCTTGCTATTTTATGTTTTGTAAAGAATGTTCTTGCCATTTTTTGTTTTGTAATCAAAGTTTTTGCGTTTTTCATTAAAAAAGTTTTAAATGACATTATTTTTTAGATCTAGTCATGTTAATAGCCAAATCCTGACCATTAGAGATGTGAAATGAACAAGCACGACAACCTGTTCAATAACAACAACCAATCGACCACGGTGCTGGTCGATGAAGATTCGCCCGATTCGTTCGAATTTCGAAATTGGCAAAGTCGACATGTTTTGAATTGGCTTAAAGGTAAAATACGGTTTTTCTATCTGTTAGATCTACAGTGTTTTGAAGTGTAAAGAAAATTTTTGTCATTTTTTACTTTGCAAAGAAAGTTCTTGCCATTTTTTTCTGTAAAGAAAGTTCTTGCAATTTTTTGATTTGTAAAGAAAGTTCTTTCCATTTTTAAGTATGTAAAGAAAGTTCTTGCTATTTCTTTGTTTATAAAGAAAGTTCTTGCCATTTTTTGTCTTGGAAAGAAAGTTCTTGCCATCTTTTAAATTTTGTAAAATACGATTAGTAGAATGTCTAAATAATATTAAAAATCAATATTTTAGGGTTGGACGACGCCTTAGGGCCATTTATTCGTTTATTCGCTCAAAACCATGTGGACGGTGAGAAGCTGGCTCATTTGGACAACGATCGACTGCGCCGGCTAGGCATTAATAAGGAGAAGTTACAATGTAAAATCACAAATTCTATTGATCTCTTGTACTATTATGTGAGTTTTTTTAAATTTTTAAATTTTTAAAATTAAAAAAAATTTTTTTTGAAATTTAAAAAAAAATAATTGCTTTTAACATCTAAATATACCGTATTTTACATTTCAAAATTCACAAAACATTCAGAACAGTGCAGGCCTTTTTAGTTGATTGCACGGTGCCACAGTTTTATGACTGCACGGTGCAATGTTTTTTAAAACTGCTGTTCGGTTGTAGTTTTTTAGGTACAAATCCAATCTTTTGTGCATGATATCACGGTACTATGAGCGTTTTTCACCAGCAAAGAAAGTACTTTATCTGTAAAGTTCAAAAAGTTATGGCATTTTTTGTAAATTTGCACGGTGCAGTGGATTTTAGATTGCATCGTGCAGGCGGTTCTTTATGGTTATAAATTTGAAATTCAGTGTACAATACAATACTACTATTAGCAATATTTTACAGTAAAAAAATTTTTTTTACAGTAAGTTTAAAAGGCTATTGCAGTTTTTAAAAATTTGCACGGTGCAAAAGATATTTGCACCGTGTAACCGGCTGTCTGTAGCTACAAGTTTGAAATTTGGTATATAAATTTACAGTATTGTTAGAAATATATAAAAGAAGAATTTTTTTGCATTGTAAGCTGAAAAAGTTATGGCAGCATTTAAAAATTTGCATCGTGCAGGGAATTTTTGTTTGCACGGTGCAATAAATGTTTGATTGCACCGTGCAGCCGGCTCTTTAGAGATACAACTTTGAAGTTTTGTATATTACATTACTATTATTATTAGTACTTTTTGGAGTAGAAGAAGTTATATTTCATGTTATGTTCAAAAAGTTATGGCACTTTTTTAGAAATTTGCACGGTGCAATATTTTATTTTTTTTAGTTTTTTTTTGTAAAAAATATGCAAATTTTCAATTTTTTAAAATTTTTATGTCTATTTCACCCTACATTTTTAATATGCGATGTATGAAATAACGTATTTTACCTTTACAGGAAGACGAGATTGACAACGAAAATGCTCAGAAATTAGCGCTCAAAGTTACAGTATGCGTTCAGAATCTGCTCAACGCGGTGAAGATTGCCACGCCCATTATTTTGAATCCAAATCAGTCTAGTCGAACATTGGTTGTGCTGAATTCGGTGTTGTTATTCGTGGCTGATCTACATGAAGATGTCGCTAAATTGATATTTTGGCTGGATCGGTAAGTGAATGACATTTTTTATGGGTTGTAAAGAAAGTTCTTGCTATTTTTGATTTGTAAAGAAAGTTTTTGCTATTTTTTGTTTTTTAAAGAAAGTTATTGCAATTTATGTAGTAAAAACATACATTTTGTTGTACTGCAGCCTGCGGGTGACAGCTTATACGATGAGTAACGTTTTTCGACTTTTTTGGTTTTGTAAAGAAAGTTCTTGCTATTTTTTAAATTCAATGAAGAATTATCCGTATTTTACAAAAAAATGTCATTTTAGACATCCATTTAATGAGAAAAAGTGGAAGTTCTTGCTATTTTTAGCAAAAAACATTATCTTTATGCTTTGCAGTCTGCGGTTGACAAGTTATACGATATGATCTTTTCATTTTTACTGGCTTATGTAAAGAAAGTTCTTGCATTTTTTTGGTTTTGAAACAAATTTTTTGCCATTTTTTGTCTTGTAAAGAAAGTTTTTGCCATTTTTCGCTTTGTAAAGAAAGTTCTTGCGATTTATACATTATTTAATAGTAAAAACGTAAACTTGGAGAATTTGCAGCCTGCGGGTGACAGTTTATACGATGAGTAACATTTTTTGGCTTTTTTTGTTTTGTAAAGAAAGTTCTTGTCATTTTTTAAATTCAATGAAGAATTATCCGTATTTTACAAAAAAATGTCATTTTAGACATCCATTTAATGAGAAAAAGTGGTTCACCGAGATCAGAGATCAATTAGCCTTGTTCATCAATGAAATTGTGGATTGCATCAATGATCCCAACAATCCAAAGTTTTTCTCTGTTCCACAATTACTGGTCGAAGTAAGTTTATTTTTAATTGGAAGGTCAATTCTACGACTAAGCCTAAGCCTACTAAGCCTAAGTCAACTAAGCCTAAGCCTACTAAGCCTAAGCCTACTAAGCCTAAGCCTACTAAGCCTAAGCCTACTAAGCCTAAGCCTACTAAGCCTAAGCCTACTAAGCCTAAGCCTACTAAGCCTAAACCTACTAAGTCTAAGCCTACTAAGCCTAAGCCTACTAAGCCTAAGCCTACTAAACCTAAGCCTACTAAGCTTGAGCCTACTAAGCCTACTAAGCCTAAGCCTGTTAAGCCTAATCTTAATAAGCCTAAGCTTACTAAGCCTAAGCCTACTAAGCTTAAGTTTTCTAAGCCTAAGCTTAATATGCTTCTATTTACTAAACTTAAGCCTACTAAGCCTGAGCCTACTAAGCCTACTAAGCCTAAGCCTGCTAAGCCTAATCTTAATAAGCCTAAGCTTACTAAGCCTAAGCCTACTAAGCTTAAGTTTTCTAAGCCTAAGCTTAATATGCTTCTATTTACCAAACTTAAGCCTACTGAAGCTAAGCCTATAAAAAATATTGTTTATTTTAGAAAGGCAAACGAATTCAACAACTAGCATACGATATTATTCATTCCAATGACCCGGTGATCTTATACACAGCCTACATACAACGAGTGGTACTGATGAAAAGCAATGATAATGATTGGGTATGTTATGGCATTTGGGTGTATCTAAGTACATAAAACCCTATATTTTAGGGAGTAGAGTTCAAATCGACCGCAAATGGCATTCACCTGGTGACAAAAGTGAAAACTGGTAATCAAAACAACCTGGCTGCCAAAATACATGTTGGCGATGAAATTGTTGAGGTTGGTTTCTCATTTTAAACTTACTTTTTGGGTATAAACATGATTCAACTGATCAACTCTTTAGCATAGGCTGCACGGTGCAAAAAATATAAACCATGGTAATATATTTGTTATTGATTTTGAAAGTTTAAAAATAGGTATAGGGAGGTTACTCAGTAATAGTAATTAGTTACAATAACATTTTTTTATATTTTACGTTTAGATTTTTAGTTATAATAGATCAAACAATTTGCACGGTGCAGAGTATAATTTCTTGCACAGTGCAAAAATTTAAACCTTTTTATATTGACGTTAGTTTTGATAGTAAAATTGTAAAAATTGAGTTGAAAGATTTACTCAGTAACAACAATAAGCTGCAGTAACAGCTATTCTTATTTTATGTCCAGTTTTTTTATTATTGTAGATCAAAAACTTTGCACGGTGCAAACAAGTTAAGTTTTGCACGGTGCATAGAATTTGATGTAAATTTTTGGTTTTTTTAATAAAAGTTGCATTTTTAAATTTAAAAAATTGTATAGATAAATAAAAAATTAGCAAAAACTTTCTTTACAGTACACAAAATTTCAAAAAAAATTTTTAAAAAAATAAAAATGGCATGATTTTCAAAATTTCAGATCAACCGTCAATCTGTAGTTGGCTGGAAGCCCAAAAACATTCGTCGCAAGTGGGATTCATCAGTCAAGACCAGTCCTCATGGTGGCTATGAAATTGAAATTACCTTGGCCAAACGGCCAAGGGAGACTTGGATTCCAATCACTTTACAAAAAAGAACATTCTCGAATGTCAGTGCTGAAATTGATCAACCGCCAACTGAAACCGAAAGGAATATTAGAGATTTCAAGAGGAAGATACAGCCCGATTTTTTTGTTAGACATGAGGTAAGATGGGTAATTAAGTGGAAGGTTAATTTTGAGGGGGAAGAAGTCTTTTAAAAATCCTATAATTTTTGTGACACTTCGTTACAAGGTTGAAAATGATTTAATATACATTTTTTAGTTTAAATTTAATGATTTTGGGGGTTTTTAAGTGATTTTTTGGATTTTTAAAAAGTCGATATTTTTTATGACATTTCGTCACATTTTCATTTTTTGCGTAAAAATAGTACAATTAATAATAATTATTTTTAGTAAAAATTTTTAAGTTTTATCTTTTTTAAAGTGATTTCCGGTTTTTTAAAAATCAATAATTTTTGTGACATTTCGTCACATTCTTATTTTTTGCTTCAAAATTGCCAGTAAAATCAAAAAATTCAAAATTAAACTAGACTACAAATCAAAAACGAGCAAAATTTTCATTTTTTCATATTTAAATAAATAGAACCTTGAAACAAAAACCATTTTGGCGAGTAAACAAAACAAAAATAGGATCAGAAACTCGACACCCGAGATTAGGCGAGTTTACATTCAAAACACACGCCCGCCGTTCAAATTACACGCCCGGGCTTTTTTCGATGCTTGTTATGAAGAATATTGAGGGTTAATTGGAAGTGTCCACATGGATTTTTGGTCTATTTGTGGATATAATTGATTTTTTTTTTAATTTTTAAAAATTATGTAAAAAAAAATTTAGGCGTTAAACCAATTTTATGACATAGTCAAACATGTTTTTACGTCTTATTTTATTGAATTTTAAATGAAATCGTATTTAAAATTTTGCATCGTGCAACGACTTTTTCTAACTGCACTGTGCAAGAACTTTGGTGCCAATTTATTGCGTCTAGGATAATATAAAAGATTGAAATCACTTTTTTAAGACATTTATACCCCCTTTCTCACTAATATAAAACCAAAATATTATCAAAATTTTAATTTTTAGTCTATTTATCATCATATTTTAAAATCTGCACGGTGCATCACTTTTTATGCGTTGCACGGTGCAAAAACTTTTCTCCTTCTTTTTCGTGTCAATTTCCAAAACAAAGAATTTAAAATTGTTTACAGCTTCTAAAGACACATTTCAATTTGTTTATTTAAACATTTTAAATTTTTCAAGAAATGTAAAGAACTGCACCGTGCAAAAAGTAATTTTGACTGCACAGTGCAATAACTTTGCCAAAGCTTTTTGCATGTTTATAGTAAAAAAATTGAAATGAAATTTCCTTTGATAGAAAAGCAAACTATTTTCTACCTAATTTATCTATTATTGTCTTAAGTTTAATAAAGTTTGGCAGTTTTATAAAGCTTTGAAAAAGTTGCACGGTGCAGTCGAATAATTTTTTTGCACCGTGCAAGGTTTTTTGTTTAAAATGATGATAATTTTAAAAAATAGGTAATAAAAATTGAATTTTATGACATTTTGGATTGTTTTCATGTAGTTATGACAAAATTAAATGACATTTTTTATAGGAAATAGGCAAGCCCCGCCAAATACGCTCAGCATCGTTCTGTTCCGGCTCCGACCATCAGCTGATCTTCAACTACCCAGAAGAAGACGAACTTTATCGTTCCCCCTCGCCTTCTGGTCCCACCAAGAGCCCTACAGCACTAATTTTGACCGAAAAACGACCAATCTTCCGGCGTGCCTCGGTGTGGACGGAGAGTCCGCCGGCCGTGCTTAGAAGTCCATTCGATCGGTTACGGTATTCGGATGAATCCAATGCTTGGCTACTGTTGCTAGCATCGTGGGCTGAGACGATTCCGAAGAATAAGGCCAGAAGTCAGTTCCGGAATCTGATCGTGAACGGCGACACTATCAAGGAGGAGGACGAGGATTCGGACGCACCATTGGGTAGGGGTTTTAGGTTTTTTTTTGAAAGGGGTATTTTTAGGGAGGGTAGATTGTATGTTTTTTTTTAATTTTTTTAATATTGGAAGGGTAGGGTTAGGTATGGTAAAGTTGCGGTAGGGTTTTATGAAAGGTTAGATTTTTAGAGTCGGGCAGGGTAATTTCTAGGTAAGGGTACATTTGTAGGGAAGGGTAGATTTTCACGAGAGAGTACATTTTTAGGGTAGGGTAAATTATAGCTAAGAATAATCTTCAAAAGGGGGGGGGGAGGTTACATTTTCACGGATGGGTGGATTTCTGGAGGTAAGGTAAATTTTTAGGGCAGGGCACACTTACTAAGTCTATGGTAGACTCTTAAGTATTTAAGGGCATGGTCGATTTTCGTGGCGGGGTAGAATGATAAAGGCGGGGTAAATCAATAAGGAAAGGATTTTTTTAAGGCTTGGTATGGGCATGGGTTGGACTAGGGCTCTGGCCTAGAGCTCTGGGCTAGGGCTCTAGGCTAGGGTTCTGGGCTAGGGCTCTGGGCTAGGGCTCTGGGCTAGGGCTTTGAGCTAGGGCTCTGGGCTAGGGCCCTGTCTTAGGACTCTGGGCTAAGGGCAGTACTAAAGCTAGGCTGGTGTTAAAGACTAGTATAGCACTTTAGGTAAGCAAAACACGTTTTGATAGAATTAGAGAGTAAGGGAGTGGGTTTCCGGCAGGTGTATTCGGAGTAATTTGTTAAGATTTGTGACTTACTCATTACTGATTACAATCTTGAGTTACTCTACTCCCTTTTACAACATAGTTATTGGGGAAAGGAAGGTGAATATTGGTGTTTTATACTCTACATTGTATCTACTATAACATTATTAAACACTTTAACCATAAGAAGTTTTATTTTCTACCATACTCCTACAGTAACCTACCGTAACCCTATAACTACCCAAAATAGCTACAGTAACCTAAATAGTTACAGTAACCCAAAATGTATATCAAACTGACCATAATTCCAGAAGAACTAACCATAGATCTCAACAACCTGGACACGCTCTCGGATTCGGAGCTGGAGAATCTGAATCCGAAGCCGAGTCCAGTCGAAGCGGCCGAATGGAACGCGCCCATCGTCGAAGACATAACCGGCTACAAATTCCAAAAACGGGTACACCTGGAAAGCTCGTCCAGCTTGACAAATTCACTGGAAAGCCCTTTGGCGTAAGAATTTTTGTTATTAGGGTTATATATGATATTGTTGTAGGCTAAAATTTGAATTTTTGATTTTTCGCCAAAAAATGGAAGTTTTTGGCATTGTGTTACAAGGGTTAAAAATACAATACAAGTGTAGCAAGTAATCGGTTTGGGCCTTAGGATTATAATTTTAAGGTTTTTGGGATATACAAATTTGAATTTTTAAATTCCCGCCAAAAATTAAAATTCTTGGTATTGTGTTGCAAGACTTGAAAATTGCTCAGTAATATAAATAAAGAATATCTAAACGATTTTTAGCTTCAAGGTTTAAAAAGTTTTATTTCAAATACTTTTTCAAAATTGAATTTTCAGTTTCCCGCCAAAAATTAAAACTTCTTGGCATTCTGTTATAAGTGTCGTAAAAAGCAAAAAAAAACTTTAAAATATTGGTTTTTGGGTTGTAAAATACGGATACCGGCATTTTTTTAGCCATATTTTTAACCTTTTAAAATTTTTTTTCAACAAGTTTTGGCATTCCGTTGCAGGTTTTTCAAAAACTGCAAATTTAATTAAATTTCAAAAAAACATCGAAAAGAACTCTGTGAAATCCGTAGAGAACAACATGTTTACAATCCCAAAAATCCTCTAATTAACTTTTGCATTTTAAAATTAACCTTAATATTGTATGAATGCTACTGCTTAAGGGCGAACGACGGCTTAAAGGGGGGGGTGGGAGGTTGTTTTACTTTGAAGTAAATTGATTAATCTCCGGAAAATGGGATTACGAAGAGTATGTTAACAAATTGTGTCCAAATTTTTGTGACTAAGTTTCGAAATTCACTTCGAAGTTTATAGTTATTTGTTTCAACCTTAGGGCAAGGTTAATTTCTAAGAAAAGTAGAGTGGATTTTTAAAACAAGGGCGGATTTTTTTGGGTAGGGTCGATTTTTAGTGAAGAGTGGATTTTTAAGGCAGGGTGGACTTTTAGGGTAGGGTGGATTTTTAGGGAAGGGTAGATTTTTTAGTGTAAAGTAGAATTTTCTGGGTAGACTTGGCCTTCGGGATAGAGGGAAGTACGGTATTGCAGAATAGGGTAGGGTAGAGTAGGGCAGCGTACATTTTTTAAGACAGGCATGATTTTATAGAGCTGTGCGAGTTTTTAAATCCTAGAAGGGTTTAGGGCAGGCTAGGTTTTTAAGATGGCAAATTTTAAAGAGCATGGCAAAGTTGGATGAGGGTGGGTAATGTAAGGTAGACTGGGGAGAATAGGGATGGGTAGGCTATGAAAGAGCATGGTAGGGTAACAAAATGTTAAAAAATGTAAAAGTCAAAGCTGTTTTGTTTTTTGTTTGTTTTTAGGCTTAAATCTGTTAAGAATTTTATCAATTTCCTCGTTTGAGAAGATTAAATGATGTTTTTTCGTATTTGAAATGACTTTTTAATTTTAAAACGTAATCTTCCTGGTTTTGTGATATTTTTGTAAAATACGTATTTTTTAGTTATTTTTAATATTTTTTAGTTGCATTGTGCAATCAAAAATACTGTTTGCACCGTGCAAGGTAAAAAGAAAGCTTTGTATCTTTTAAAAGACGAAAGTTACAGTATGACTATTTGAATTAAAAGTACTGTAAATAAGTCATATATTCTAATATGGTACAGCAAAGTTACAAAATTATTGAATTTTACCGTTTTATGCTAAGTTGAAAATTTTGCACCGTGCAGTCGATTTAGCAGACTGGACAGTGCTATAAAAAAGTGGAGGAGAAATTTGTTTTTTAGGCGTTTTAACTTGTTTTTAGGTATTAAAGTAGTAAAATAATAGTTTATTAGTGGTTTCCGAGTCATATAACATTCGTTTTGTCAAATTTAAAAAAATATTTCTGAAAAAAAAAATTTTCAAAAAAAGTTTTTTAATTTTTTAAAAATTTTAGGTAACAGTAACCTTAACAATGCCATTTTCAGTAACATTCAACAAAAAATCACTCGCTTCTTCCACGGAGCGGATTCAGAACAAAGCGCCAGTGACGATCTGCCCCAGACCCCCCTCCGCCAAGGTTTTTGCATCAATTTTCGCTACTACGCCTAAAATTTTGAAAGATCCCAGTTTTGGCCAATTACCCAGTCCCAGTCCCACAGTGGAAGAGGCTGTCATCTCCAGAAGTCAGTCTCCAATCATCACGATTCATACCGCAACGCCTTCTATTAATAGTGCTGCGGCCAACTCCAAGGTGGTTAATGTGGTGTCACGGAAAAGCCGGTTGGCTGTAAGTTTTGAAATTTTTAGTGTTGATAGGTATGGGTATGGGGCGTGCTTTCACAAATTTTTGGGAAATTTGGACAAGCGGTACATTTTAAAATGGCAAAAAAGTCTGATGACCCCAGAAGTTTCAATAACTTTGCACTGTGCAAAACTAAAAATACATTGCACAGTGCAAAAGTTCAAAATTTAAAATTAAAAAAAATGTAAAATACGTTTAATAGTGTTTAAAAAATTTTAATTTTAGCCCCTAGCCGAACCAGACGAAATAAGCGATGTTGATGATGAAAGATTGGAGAATTCTGGATTGAAGCCGGTCATCGTGTCATTAGCCTCTACTAGTAACATTCAAAAAAGCTTGTCGAGTGTAAGTCAGTCCTACCGCTAAAACCCACCCTGTCCTAAAAATCTACCCTGCTCAAAACCACCCTGCCCTAAAAATTCACCCTGTCCGAAAAAAATCTGCCCTGGCGAAAAGAATGTACCCTGCCCAAAAAAATCTATTTTGTCCAAAAAATCCACCCTGCCCTAAAAATCCACCTTCTTCAAAAAAATCTGCCCTGCCCTAAAAATCCACCCCGACTAAAAAATCTACTCTGCCCTAAAAATCCACCCTGTTCTAAAAAATCTACCCTATCTTAAAAATCTACCCTGATCTAGAAATCCGCCCTGTCCTCAAAATCACCCCTGCCCTAAAAATCCACCCTGCCCAAAACCTCCGCCCGGCCCTAAAAATCACCCCTGACCAAAAAAATCCACCCTGTCAAAAAAAATCTACTCTGCTATAAAAATCCACCCTGCCAAAAAATCCACCCTATCTTAAAAATCTACCCTGATCTAGAAATCCGCCCTGTCCTCAAAATCACCCCTGCCCGAAAAATCCACCCTACCCTAAAAATCCACCCTGCCCTAAAAACCTACCATACCCAAAAAATCCACCCTGCTCTAGAAATCCACCCTGAATTAAAAATCCACCCTATTCTAAAAATCTACCCTGATCTGGAAATCCGCCCTGTCTTAAAAATCCACCATGACTTACAAATTTACCCTGAAAATCCACCCTACCCTAAAAATCCACCCTGCCCTAAAAACCTACCATACCCAAAAAATCCACCCTGCTCTAGAAATCCACCCTGAATTAAAAATCCACCCTATTCTAAAAATCTACCCTGATCTGGAAATCCGCCCTGTCTTAAAAATCCACCATGGCTTACAAATTTACCCTGAAAATCCATCCTACCCTAAAAACCACCTTGCCTAAAAATCACCCCTAAAAATTTTTACCTCCACCCCTACCCTACCGTATTCTATGTTGTAACCCCTATTGTAGCCTACATATGCACCATAATCTCTAATCTGGCCCTTACCCCTACCCCCGACTTTTATAATGACCCACCCAAAACACCACTACCTCCACTCCCATAATGAACCACTAAACTCTGTCCTACCCCACTCCTATAATGACCCACCCGACACTGCCCTACTCTCACTCCCATAATCACCCACTAAACACACCCCTACCCCCACACCCATAATACCCCACCCAACACTGCCCTTCCCATAAAAAATGTCATTTCAGGACAATGTCTCTCGAATCGACCACTCTTCCCTCGAATCGCTAGCTGCCACTCCAAGCGAACGTGTACTAGGCAATGTAGCTGAAGGCTGGATTCGTCGCAAATTCTTATCACTAGATGGCAAATCGACCGGTAAATGGTCAAAGTGTTGGGTGATGCTGACCGTGAACAACTTCTTCGTGTACTCGGACCAGAAGTCGAAGCACGCTGAAGTCGTTTTCGAGCTGAAGCAGTGTTCTTTGAATCTGAATTCGAAATTGAAAACTTCGAAGAAACACGTCTTTGGCATTCAATGGCCTCAGGGCGAAATGGTCTTTGCTCCGTTTAGTCAGGCTGACTTTAGCTTGTAAGTTATAGTTATGGTACTGTGATGTTATGTAGGGCAGGGTAGGGCTGTTTCGGGGTATTTTTTTGATTTTTGAAGTAGGGGTGGATTTGGCGGGGGTAGAGGTAGGTGTGGCAGGGGTAGGGGGTAGATTTGGCAGGGGTAGAGGTAGATTTGGCAGGGGTATGGGCAGATTTGACAGGGGTAGGGGAGATTTGGCAGGAGTAAGGGTAGATTTGGCAGGGGTAGATTTGGCTGGGGGTAGAGGTAGATTTCTAGGGCGAAGTAGACTTTCGGATTATTGAGGCATGGTAGGGCTAGGAAGAGGGAAGACTTCAGTAGGGGAGTAATAAGAGAGTGGTAAGGATAAGATAGGACTAGAGAAGGGAGGGGGTCAAAAAAGTACTGGGCTGGGGTAGATTTTTATCGCAGGGTATATTTTACACTCAGGGGTAGATTTTTGAAGTAGTGATATAGGTAGACTTCTGAACGGAGTAGATTTTCAGGGCAGGGTGAATTTAAGCTTTGGGGTGGATTTTTGAAGTGGGGGTAGATTTGGTAGGAGTAGAGATAGGGGTAGCTTCATAAACTGGAGTAGATTTTCAGGGGAGGGTAAATTTAAAGTTAGGGGTCAATTGTTGCGACAGGGAAGGGGTAGGTATTGACACAGGGGTACATTTTGAATATGGAGTAGATTTTCAGGGCAGGGTAAATCTTAAGTTAGGGCAAGTCTCGACTGGGCAAGGTTTTCAAAATAGGGGTAGATAAGGTTAGAATAAGGGTAGAAATGGAGGCAAGGGTAGGGGGTAGAGGTACTGAAGTGTAAATTTCTTGCAATATACGTTAGTATGTTATTTGAAAATGACATTGTACTACCTTTCAGCTGGATTCAAAACTTGACAGGGAAAATGCACACCGATCAGCTACCTAAATCAACATTGCCTAGGGTTACTAAAGGTAATTTTATCAAAAAAAAACTTTTTTTTTCATTTTTTGAACTAAATATACATTTTAAAAACTGCACAGTGCACTCTCGGTTTTATGACTGCACCGTGCAATTTTCAATTTTTCGAAATTAAAGTTTAATTTGAAAAGTTTTATTAAATTTGACAAGGCTATTCTGCTCAAAAAGTCTATAGAATTTTTATTTTCAATCCATTTTTGTGTTTTCTATTGTCGTTTGTATCAAAATGGCACGTTGGTTATGACTGCACTGTGCAATTTATATTTTTTGACTGCACCGTGCAAAATTAAAAAAAAATCAAAATCAAAAAAAAATTTTAAAAAAATTAAAATGCAATTTCCAGAAGCCGTTTACATTCGTGACCATAACCGTGATCTGGATTCTGGAGACGAGCTAGAATCGAATGCCTCGAACCAGGCTAGTCCGGCATCTCGAGTCTCATTTCTGTTCCCAAGCCGGCTGTTCTCGAGGTTGAGTCGTCGAGGAAGAATGTCATATCGAACGCCTGCCAGCTCTGTAGCTGCTAATTTGTCTTCTGAATAGGGATTCTATTGATTTTTGGCCCGAAAATGGGCTTTTGTACCTATATTTTGGTGATTTTTTTTCGATTTTTTATCGACCGGTAGATTTTTTGAGACTTTTTTTTAGTACGGTACGTCTTGAGAGACCGTATTTTACAATTTAAAAAAGATTTAAAGTTCCTTTGCTGCTATTAAGATTGGTTTTTGGCTCAGAAAGCTATGTTGTCCATGATAATATCGATCTTTTTGCACTTAAAGCTAATTACCGCCATATTCCCATAACGTATTTTACAAAATTAGCCTTCTACTATCATAACCTGTCTTTTCCCAATCTAGTCCATCTAATTTTGAAGCATGGTAACACATTACATTTGTCTAACACTTCAAAATATTCAATTTCCCTTGAAAAACAGCTAGTTTTTAACAAAAAACAGTAATTCACCCCCTTTAAACCACCTTTTCATACCTAAATCTTTCCCACATTATGTAGAAAACACTGTAGAATATTACTTTATATTCCGGTTTCCATTATTTTGCCTCAAATTGAAACGTCTTGTCATTAAAATGGTTGTATCGATATTGTTCATGATCACGGGTTGTTATTTTCAATTTTTTGGTGGAGCTTGGTTAAAATTCGATCTGAAATAAGTAAATATAAATAGATTAGGATCTCCAGAGTATTTTAGAAACATTTTTGGTTTTAAAATCCCTTAGAATTTTGTGCACGGTGAGGTTTTATAAGACGCGTCGGAATCGACTGCACCGTGCAGAATTTCCGAGAACTTTTGGGTTTTTTGGACCTAAATCAAAGTAAAATTCATACTGAACGTGCTTTTCCTTACCTTTTAGCACCATTTTAAAAATTTTGGTACATCAAAAAAAAATTTTTTTTAATTTTTTTAAAATCGACCAAAAATTTTAAAAAATGCCATTCTTAACCATACCTTACCTGAAAATTCATACAAAATTTCATCTTTCCATTACCGTTCTCTTCTCCATTATTTTCACTCTACCTTTATATAATTTCTATCCAAAAAGCAGAAGAAATCCCGAAAAGAGACGAAGTGTCAAAAGACGAAGTGTCAATATTGACCCAAAATTAATTCTTTTTGGATTTTCTTTAACTTTTCGGCTTTGTTTATAAAATTTGTGATTTTTAAAGACTAGTCCAACACTTTTTGTTATATTTTTCTCTGATTTTATTTTAAAATTGTTGTTTTATATATTTTTGCACTGTGCAAACAATTTGTTTCTCTGCACCGTGTAAAGGAATTAAACTGCACGGTGCAGAGCTTTTTTAACGTTTTTGATATTATTTTAGTTTGTTTTGAACTTTTGTGGATTGTATAATTGTTTGTGAATAAATAAACATATTTGACCTTATTTTGAATAGTTTTTCATCAAAATGTTTATTAAAATTGGTTGGTTTCCACTAATTTTTATTAATCAATTTTTCACTATGCCATTTTCTAAAATCATGTTACTAAATATCAAAAAATGTAAAAACACAACCTCTGTTATGTTTTCAAACCACTCTTTTTATTAAATTTTTTTTTATTTTAACAAAAAATGGCAGAGAATGTTTTGCACTGTGCAACCAATTTTTAAAGCTGCACAGTGCAAAAAGTCCGAGGACTTTTGACTTTTTTTACGAAGTGGATGTAAGAGCATGACCTTAGGTATAGATTTGATATGGAGTTTTTAAAATTTTATGTTTTGTTTTAGTAAAATGAATTTTTGAAAATTGACTGCACGGTGCAGCGAAATTAGGTTGATTGCACCGTGCAAAGGCTACTTTATGGTTTTTAATGGTTTTAATTAAAAAATGTATTAAGAATATGAATTTAAGGTTTGACATAGGTAAAGCATTTTTAATAAAAATTTTAGGCAATTTTATGTTTATTGAATATTATTCTCGTATTTTACCTCGTTTTACCTCAAAATCACTGCCTAAAACACTAAAAACTTGTTTTTTCAGATCTCAAAATGAAGTTACTGGTATCAACTATCGTATTATCTATAATCCTTTTTATAAAATGTCATAGTGAGCAAGATGTGACGAAAAATCCGAAGAAATACCTGATTTTTGGGGTTAATATAGGAGAAGGCTTCAATTTACGAAGGGATGTCTACAGTAGGATTGCTAATACAGTACGGCAATTGAGGAAGAAAGGTAGGTGATATACTTGGTTATCATGTAAAATTAATGTTTTTCGTTTTGGAAACAAAGTTTTGGTTATATTCGATTTGTAAATAAAGTCTCTGCCGTTTTTCATTATGTAAAGAAAGTTCTTGCCATTTTATGTTTTGTAAAGAAAGTTCTTGCTATTTTTTGTTCTGTAAAGAAAGTTCTTGCCATTTTTCATTCTATAAAGAAAGTTCTTTCTATTTTACGCTTTATAAAGAAAGTTCTTGCCGTTTTATAATCTGTAAACAAAGTTCTTGCCATTTTTCTCATTTTATCACAATTTCAGGTCACAATTACCGCCTAGTCCTACCACCATTTCATTCCCTCTTCCATTGGCGGCACAAATCAAAGGAACAACCTTTTTATAAGTGGGCAGAGTTCTTCGACCTTGAGGCTATGAACCAGTTTGTACCAGTAATGGAACTAGAAGACTTTATCAAGGGTAACTTTTATCGTTTTTTTGGTTTGTAAAGAAAGTTCTTGCCATTTTTTGTTTTGTAAACAAAGTTTTGGCTATTTTTAAGAGAGTTTGAAAACTGAAAGTTGAGTGGAAGATTTGTAATGTAATTTGCACTGAAAATCTTCCACCCAACTTCCATTTTTTAAAAGTCTTAAAATGGTTGGAAAACATGTTTTTGACACTTTTTAAAAGTGGAAGTTTGATGGAAGATCTTTAGTGCAAATTACATTACAAATCTTCTACTTGACTTCCACTTTTTAATGGTCTTATTTTATGATTTGTAAAGAAAGTTCTTGCCATTTTTTATTTTTTAAAGAAAGTTTTTGCAATTTTACACTTTGTAAAGAAAGTTTTTGCCATGTTTTGTTTTGTAAAGAAAGTTCTTGCAATTTTAAGCTTCGTATAGAAAGTTTTTGCTATTTTACGTTTCGTAAAGAAAGTTTTTGCTATTTGTCCTGGACCGCAAAATACGTCGTATTTTACTAAAAAAAATTTTAGAAAACGGTCCAATAGCGGACACGGTGCTATACCTACAACATTATGAAGAAGGCTGGGGAGAGAACTTTGAAATGAAATTTGATATTCGACCATGTATTGATGGGAACGTTTACTACACGATTAATGAACAGACTGGGCGATGGTAAGAAAGTTTTTGCCATTTTTTGTTTTGTAAAGAAAGTTCATGCCATTTTTTGTTTTGTAAAGAAAGTTCTTGCCATTTTTGGTTTTGTAAAGAAAGTTCTTGTCATTTTGCTTTATTTTAACATTATTTTAGGCTCCCATATCTATCAGCACTGTTGCAAATCGAGTTTAACAAAATGAAATGTTTGTCGATTCAAGGCCAAAGCTCAACCTTAACCGAAGCCATTTTAAAATCAGAGCCGGAGTCGTAAGTTTTTTATTGTTTTTATTTTTTACATAAGAAATATATCGATTTTTAAAAATCGATAATTTTTGTGACATTTCGTCAAATTTTGGAAACACGTTGTATAAGAAAAGTGGATCGTCGTATTTTACAAATTTAAGGTTATTTTTACTGTTTTACGCTATTTTTAACCTTTTGCAAAAATCAATAATTTTTGTGACATTTCGTCAAATTTTGAAAAAACGTTGAGCTTGTCGTATTTTATTAATTTACGGTTATTTTTATTGTTTTTATGCTACTTTAAAGCATTTTTAAAATCCAATAACTTTTGTGACATTTCGTTACATTTTACCTTTTTGCTTAAATCTGTAAAGTAAAATACGTTTCTTTGGTCTTGTTCTATTGTATTAGTTATAAAACTTTACATTTTATACGTTTTTTTAGAAAAAATGTCTTAATCGACCGTTCGGAAACGATATTACATGACCATTTCGGAGACAAGTTCTATTGGGATGCGAGAAGATCAATGCGATACGCCAAGAAATTGGTTGATATTGGAGATGAATTTAGGTAAAATACGCGCATCTCCATTCTTTTGTTGAAAAATGGCAAGAACTTTGTTTACAAAACAAAAAATGGCAAGAACTTTCTTTACAAAACAAAAAATAGCAGGAACTTTCTTTACAAAACATAAAATGTCAAGAACTGTCTTTACAACACGTAACAACGGCATTTTTTAGAAGTGCAAGATTTGTAATGTATTTTCCACTGAAAATCTTCCATTTTCTTTTTTTCTTTATTTGATGCCATTTTTAATGTAATGTACAACAAATAATGATGGAAAACATTTCAGAAGGACCCACCTTAACTCAACAGACCAAAATGACAAAACATATCTACCCTCAAGCTGGCTAGAACACGAGCCAAAGCCAGGCCAAGCCATTGGTGGACCCTACTTGGCCGTTCATTGGCGTCGCCGTGATTTCATTCACGCCCATTCGAAAAAAGTACCATCTGTGGATGGTACTGTAACTCAGGTGGTACGGAAGCTGAAAGAGTTGGATTTGGATACTGTATTTATTTGCACTGATGCTGAAGATGGGGAGTACGGTAGTTTGAGGGAGAAATTGGAGCAAAATGGAGTTAGAGTGGTCAGGTTTGAAGATGACAAGATGGCTCCTGGCCAAGAAGCTGTTGTTGATCAGGTAGGACATTGATGTTTGGTTGATACGCGGTGTTGTTGGGTAGATTAGGTAAGGTAAGGATTGGGTACGGTGGGGTAATGCAAGGTACGGTAGTATAAGGCAGGGTAGGGTAGGGTAGCGAAGGGTAGGGTAGGTTAAATTATGCTAGGGTAGGGTAGAGTAGTGTAAAGTAGGGTAAGGTACGTTAGGTTAGAGTAGGTCAAATCACGGTAATAGAAAGTACGGTAAGGTATGGTAGGGTATTATGGAGGTACGACAGGCAGAGCGGAGTATTGTAATATAAGTTAGGGTAGGTTAAGCTACTAAAGTGTAAATTTAGGTAAAATACGGCAGAACTTCATAGGATTATGTTATGTTAGGGCACGGTAAAGTTTGAGCGAGTTTACGTTAGGTCAGGGTGGGGCATAGTAAATTTGGGTATGATAGAGCACGATGAGATTGGGTGGATGCAGGGTAGGGTAGTGATATAATGAAAGGTATTGGGAGTATGGGCTGAAAGTGACATCTTTTACGATGAAACATGTTTTTTGGTAGGGTAGTGTAGGGTAAGGGAGGATACGGTAGAGTAAAGTAGAGTAGGGTAGGTATGGTAAGGTAGGGTGTGATAGGCTGGAGAAGGGTTTTGTAGGGTAAAGTAGAATAGGGTAGGGAAAGGTAACGTACGGTAAGGCAGGGAAGGGCAGGGTAAAATACGGATGGAATAGCTGTTAAATTTTTAATTACGAAATCATTTTTAAATTAGGTAAGACGTGTTTAAATTGCTAAACTAATTAATGTGCCTACTTATTTAATTACGTATTATAATTTCATAATTAATAACTGATAAAGCTGATTATTAATTTGATTTTTACAAAAGTAGATCATGGGGGTGGTAAATAACTTAATATTATGAAATTAGTCATCAATATCAGTATTTAAATAGCCTTTTTTAGCTATACGTTTTGAAACTTTTTTGCTACACTTTTCTTATCAGTCACAATATTTTTTAAAAATTTTTTTTAAAATAATTTTTTAAATTTAAAAAAAATTTTAAATTTTAGTGGATCGCCGCTCACGCCCGCCACTTTATCGGTACCCATGTCTCAACATTCAGCTACAGAATCCATGAAGACCGCGAGATTCTAGGCTTCGACCCAAAAACAACATTCAATGACCTATGTCCAGATGATGACATTAATTGTGAACAACCAGCTAAGTGGACCATTAAGTACCAGTTGGATCCATATTGGCATAAAGATGAATTTTGAAAATTTTTTGTTGAACTTTGTGTTTTTGTTGCTAATTTTGAATGATTTTTATATCAGTTGTTATTATAATGTCAGTTTTTGGCTTGGATTTTCATTGCACTGTGCAAAAATATTGGAGTAGGTGACAAAGGCGTATTTTACTATACAAAAAAATGAAAATGGCTTTTATGTTAACTGATTAGGTTTGGTAATGATATGCATTTTAGTTTTTGCCACATTTTTCTTCAACTTATTCATTATGGCAAAGTCAAAAATGATGCACTGTGCAAAAATTAAAAATTTCGAAAACTGCCAAATTTAAAATTATAAAAAATATAAATTTAGTCTTAAGGACAGTTAGTAGAGTTGCTAATGTATGGCATTATATATTTTGTCATATTTTTACCTGTACTATTAATTATGGCTAAGTCCAATGTCTTGCACTGTGCAAAATAAAAAATCTTTAAAACTGTCAAATTTACAAACATAAAAACTTCAAAACTTTTATATAACTTTTTTAGTACAAAATTAAAATACGATTTTAATTTTTTTATATCATTTGCAGTATTATCCAAAATGGCAACTCAAATCTTCTTGCTCAGTGCAACCATTTCTTTTTCACTGTGCACTGAATTTCTTGTTGTTTTATCACAAAAATACGATTCTTTGGTCTTGTTTATGTATCGAGAAGTTTCAAATTGAACAATAAGTCTAATTTGGACCGTCTTATCTTGTAATTGATAGCATAATCCCTTTGTTAGTGACTTTTTGCTAATTTGTTACCTAATCACCTAATTTTTACATGTAAAACTGACGATGCATGATTTTTTGTTAAGGATATGGCTATATTTATTACGTTTTTCAAATTTTTATTATTTCAGTTATAAATTTTAAAAAATTTGAATTTTTGGTTTTGCACCGTGCAGTTTTATTTGATTGCGCCGTGCAAAGAGATAAAATTTTAAAAAACTATAATAAAAATGAATTTTTAGATTAAATTATAATTAAAAACTAGTTAAAAATAGTTTTATCTACCCCCAAAAATAATATTTTGCCCTTTTTTTTCTTGAAAAATTCATTCGAAAAAATCAATTTTTCGTCGAAATTCGCCAAAATTCGAGTATTTTTCCCGTAAAATCGAAATTTTTACCTCAGGCAGTCTAGCTGAAACAAAAAAAAAGCGGCGGCATGATAAGATGAACTCGCTGTTTTTGAGAATTCTGTCGCCGACAACCTCACAAATTCATGGGAAAACAGCTGAATGCACCGTGCACTCTTCTGAAACAGCCAAAATCTGATAACGAAAATGACAAAAGTTATGGAATTGACTGTTTTTTTGTGATTTATGAGCATGTGTGAAAAGGTTTGTCACATGAAGGTTGAAATTTGAAAATTTAAGAAATTGATTTTGAGTTTTAATTTTTTTGCACTGTGTAAAATTTTTTAAATATTAGAACTCAAAAACTAAAAGTAAAATGACAAAAAATAATTTAGTACCGCACTGTAAAAGATTGAGTTCGTACAACTTCTAGATCAAAATACTATCAATACCAAACTCTAGATTCTGTCAACCGCGCGTTCAAATACCAATAATACAGACAAAATACAAATGATAGGTTTATTCAACCGCAGATAGTACAATATAAAATACGACGCTATGCGTACGTACAAACAGAATAGATAGACTTAGACCGATCGGCGGTCAAGAAGCGAGACGTCGATTTACAGAAGACGACCGAGCGGCGGTCGAGCGAAAAGGAAGACTCATTGAGAAAGTGAAATTCGAATTGAGACGGTTCAATTTATGCAAATTGAATCGATTGGAATACACGCACTAAAAAAGCTCATACAATACTATAAAATCAAGTATTATTATAAAATGTCATTAATCCGATTTTTTAAAAAGCTTTTAACTTTTTGCACTGTGCAAAATTTTAAAATGTCATAAATCAAAAACTAAAAGTAAAATGACAAAAACTAGTTTAGTACAGTACTAGAAATACCCATTCAGTACTATAAAAACAACTATTATTATAAAATGGCATTGATTTAATTTTTTTTAAACGTTTTAATTTTTTGCACAGTGCAAAGCTTTTGCCATTTTATAATAAGATTTCTAAACTTTTGAATAAAAAGTTTTTATTCTAGTTTACTACTGTTACTAAGTACACGCTTTGTACAAATTCTTAGATTTCTAACATTGAAATTGAGTTTTGTACAAAACTTTATATTTTCTGCACGGTGCAGTTATTAAAATAATTTTGACTGCACGGTGCAGTCAAAATTTGATTTTCAAAAATGCTTCTAAAAATCTTAAAAAATTGATAAACAAGCTAAAAATACGTTTTTAATCAAAATAATTGTACAGAACGGTAAGATCAGACGTCAGAAGTTCAGTTCAGAACAGTCTTTTCGTTATCAGATTGAGCAAACGTACTTCAAAGAGCTATAACAATATTATAAAGCATGAATAAAGGGCATAAAATGACATTTTTAGATACATTTTAAAATGGACTTTTATTTTTTGACTCGAAAATTTATTTTTCTATAAACTTTTTGACCGAAAATCTGGAAAAATGTAAAAAATAGTCGAAATTTATCAAGAAGTTTGAAACAACAAGCTAAAACCCATGCCCAACTAAAACATTATTACTAAAAATAGAAGCCTAATGATAGTCCACAATCTATTTCTCAACATACAACCATCACACATGAATAAAAGCTGTCTATGACACGTTTATCAGCTCGAATTCGACGTTCAAACAGGCATTTTCGGCCCTCCACCCTCACTTTTGCTCTATTTCTGCCCTTTTGAAATCAACAACCCGGAGGGTGCTTATCGCTGATCGTCGCGAGACACTCTCCTTTAACGAAAAATCGAATGGGCGTTCTTTAAAATCGTATTTAAGGCTCGTGGTGGGTCAAAAATGTCATCGGTGTTCTCCGGTCGGCCTTTTTCGGTCGCTTAAGGCTAACGTGGCAAAGGTTTTTTGGCTATAACTTTTGGTAGAGTTATTGGACTAGACTTAAATTGAAGACATTTGTAGCACCTTACTTTAGCTACAGCATCGTCAATTTCCGTTTGGATTCATAGTGTAGTTTTGAAGTTACAGATCAATATCTGAAAAGCCAAAAAGTTGTAAGTTTTCGTTTTTTTTATTTATAAAAATTTTTATAGCCGTATTTTAAACTTCATTAGAGTTGCCTAAGCACAATATGACGACGACCTTTGTCTTTTTTTGAAAAAAATTATAATTAATTTTTAGGACTGCACTGTGCAAAATTAAAATATTCATAAAAATTTCAATTTCAATGCTAAAAACTTAAAAATTTAGATTAATCACTTACTCAACAACCATAATTAAATTTTGTAACAGTTTTTGCTATATAAAGCTTAACTTTTTAGTTTTAAAATAGCAAACATTTTGCACTGTGCAAGAAATTTAAAGCTTTTTTTTAAATCAAATTTTAGCTAAAAATATGACAAAACTAGATTTATAGGCATTTACTTTGTCATTTTAATAATATTTTTAAATATTTTTTTGACACTTTGCTTTTAGTTTATGAGTTATGACAATTTAAAAATTTTGCACAGTGCAAATTAAAAATCAAATTAATGTTATTTTATAATATCATTTAATTTTTTACTACTGCATAGGCATTTCTAGTACTGTACTAAATTATTTTATGTCATTTTACTTTTAGTTTTTGAGTTATAGCATTTTAAAAATTTTGCACAGTGCAATCTTCATAAAAAATTTGCACGGTGCAGTCAAAAAACTTTAAAAACTTATATTAGTGACAAAATTTAACAACAGTTTTTTTTCAGAAATACCCACCATCACCTATTCTACCACATCCATCATCAAGAAGCCATAAAACTTGAGCCACCATGTCGCTACATCACTTTACCCTACTATCTACCGTATTCGCCTTAAGCACCGCCAAACTTGAGCTAGTCTCAGTACAATCAATCTTTAGGCACGGTGATCGTGCCCCATCCTCGCCGTACCCGAACGACGTGCACGGCGTGGAGCATTGGCCGAATGGTTGGTCTCAGTTGACCAAGTTGGGGGCGGATCAAACTCAAGACCTCGGGCAATATTACCGTAGTCGTTACGTTGATCAGTTGGGGCTTCTGAATCCGACAAAATTATCGACCGAGGTAAGAATGAGATCGACAAGTAAGCAAAGAGCGATAATGAGTGCAGACAATGTTATGCTGGGGTTGGTTGGGAGCCAGTTCGAGGCCTTCGATATTCACCATGACTATAAGCAAGACCTATTGCTTAAACCTAACAGTGTGGCCTGTCCAGCCTATGACAAGACGGCGGCTTTTGATAACAGCAAACTGAATACGTTTTACAACAATGTCTACAAAAAGTTTTTCAAAAAGTTGTCAAAATCGACCGGTATGAGCGTTTCAATGGAGAATATCGACCAAGTTTTCGATGCCTTGTTCAGAGAGAAAACTCATGGTCTAGAGCTGCCAAAATGGACCAAAGATACTGTATTTGATGTGGTTAAGCAAGAGTACAGTACTGTGTACGACTTGGTAGTGGAGTTGAAGAGAGTACACAGATTGACAGAGTTTAATTCGGCCAAGAAGTCAAAGTTAAGAACTGGCTATCTATTGGGACAGATCATTGAGTTCATGAAAAATAGTACTACTGGTACTGAGGCGCCAAAATTGATGTTGTTTTCATCGGTAAGGGTTTGAAATTCAAGTTTTTTGAATTAAAAAAAAATTTTTAATTTTTAAATTTTGAAAATTTTTTTTAATTTAAAAAATGTATTTTACGCCATTTTTTAATGCAAAAAATTTGAGCAATGTAAAATACGTTTCCCCCTCTCATGTATTCAATAAAAAAATTTCAGCACGACGCCACCCTAACATCCCTACTGTACAGCATTAACGCTTCGGATGACAAATTGACCCCATATGCAGCTGCCATTACTTTTGAACTATGGAAAGATCCAGAAGGTCCACACAAACCTACATACTACGTTAAGGTAAGAAATATTACCCTACCCTACCCTACCCTACACTACACTACCCTACCCTACCCTACCCTACCCTACCCTACCCTACCCTACCCTACCCTACCCTACCCTACCCTACACTACACTACCCTACCCTACCCTACCCTACCCTACCCTACCCTACCCTACCCTACCTTACCTTACCCTACCCTATCCTAATACGCAATTTCTTTGCAGTACCACAGACCCTATCCTACTGTATTTTAGGACCCCTTATCCTACCGTATCCTACCATATCATATCCCGCCATAACCTATATTACAGTAGCCTAGCCTACTCTACCCTAGTTTACTTTATACTACCCTGCCTTGCCCTACTCTATGTTACCGTGGCTACCCCACCCTACCGTATCCTAACCTATTCTGTTCTACAATCCAGCCTAAGATAGCTCTTTTTAACTTCACCATAAAAAAAAGTACCACATTGCACCAAATTCATATTTTCAGGTCCTCTACCGCAATCAATCGTACTCAAACAAAGCCACCGTACTTAACATCCCTGGTTGTACGGCACGAATCTGCGAGTTTGGTCAATTCGTCTCCGTACTCAAGAACAATGTTGTTGATAGTGTTCAAGGCCATCAAAGGCTGTGTCGTGTTCGCTAAGCTATAGCTCTTTGTACATACTATGATATCTTGAGGTGTCAAAAAAGTCCTGTTGTCAAATTACATGCATTTGTACTATGAAAAACAACAAAACTTTTTTTGGCTGCTTAATGATATTAGTTTAATGTTATTTAGTAGTTCAAATAATTCTGGGCCCCCTTTCAAAGCTAATTTGACGTTTAGAGAGAGGGGGGAGCTCAGAATTATTTGAACAACCTATTAACATCTTCTTGTCGATCTCACAATAAATAAGTTAATGTAAAATGGCATTTAGTATTTTATAATCATCGTAGTATCATTTTATCATCTTATAGTACTCTGTTGAGTACTATATAGTACATACCCTACTAAGCACTGTATAATACGCTCCCTAATAAGTTCTATATAGTGATTAAACTACAAAGTGCTATATAGCACGTACCCTACTAAGTGCTATATAGTAAGTACCCTACGAAGTACTATATAGTACGTACCATAATAAGTACGATTATAAATAGTACATACCTTACTAAGAACTATATAGCCATATTACCCTATGTATTACTAAATAGAAATATTTTTCAGGTAATACTATTTAAACATATTACCCTAAATAGTACTAAATAGTACGAATCGTATCAAAAAGTTCAATTTATTCACTTTTTCATAACAACATTAACATGTTAACCGATATTTTAAGTTGAAAATTGAGAAAATGTGACAACGATAAATGAATGCACAAATAAATAAGTTTAGAGTTTACCCGTTGTTACCTAAATTTAACTATTTTTTTGAAAAAAATCCTAAAATGGCAAGAACTTTCTTTACAAAATAAAAAATGGCAAGAACTTTCTTTACAAAATAAAAAATGGCAAGAACTTTCTTTACAAATCGATTAGACAACAATAACAACCAGCTGTTAAGACTAAATATATATATTACAGTAATCCACTAGAAAATACAGTAACCGAACATGCTATACAGCATCATAGATTCAATGTTCGACCGCTGAACTAAATAGTACCAATAACAGTACTAAACTTGTACCAATTGAACCATTAACACATTTCAGTGCCAGTTAGTACCATTAGTACCGATTTGAACCATCAATAGTATTTTACCTGGTATCAGCCAGCAAATTCCATCACTAGTACTAAATAGTACGACCAGTACTGAATTGTATCACAAATACTATATTGTACCACTAGTACCTATTTGGACCACTAATAGTATTTTATTTTGCATTCCAACACTAGTACTAAATAGTACGACCAGTACTAAACAGTACGACCAGTATCAAATTGTACCACCAGTACCACTACATATGTAGATGTAGGTTAGGCAGATGAATGAGTGAATTCTGTTGTGACAACAATGATTTTTGGGATTCTGGAGTGGGTGAGTTAGGTTTGATGTTGTTGATGTCGATCCCGGCTGCTTCCTCCATTTGTTTTTTGGCAACAAATTTTGTGTTCAAAAAGTCGGTCAGTCGATTATTGTCATTCGCACAAAACAGTCGAAAGTCTTTGAGTAAAAAGTCCAGGAATTGCTCCGTGCACCAACTAAAAAATGTTAATTTAATACTTTAAAATGCAGTACCCTGGCGATCTAATATTATCCTACCTTACACTACCCTACCTTACCCTACCCTAACTTTCCCTACCGTATCCTATCCTACCCTAACTTATCCTACCCTACCCTATCTTACCCTGCCCCATTTTACACTATCCTACCGTACCCTACCTTACCCTACCTAACTCACTGTGCTCTACAAACTACCGTACCCTAATCTCAGCTACAGCACCCTACCTTAGCCTACGTTTACAACCCTAAACTACGGTATCTTGTGAAACCATATCCTGAGCTGCCGTACTCAATATTAAACTACCGTACTTTATTCTCTCAGAACAGTAACCCACCCCACCTAATATTATACTACCCTACCTATCTCGACCTACTGTTTCCTACTCTACATTAACTTACCCTGCTTACTACTATCCTATACTACCGGACCCCAAGAAACACCCTACTCTATCCTACCCTATTTAATATGAGGTTGCCCTACTCTACCGTACCCTAAAATCCTCCTCCCAAAATTTTCAAAACCTTCTTACCTCGCCCTGTAGCGATGACTTAGCATGTGATTCCACGCCCACATCAGTTTCATGGTTTGATGATCGAACTTGACGAACATGCCTCCACTCAAATGAACGTACTGTACCGTGGGTTCGATTTCATTGCCGTGAATGTTCTTCAGGCGTTCCGAATCCTTGTGAACGGGACAGTTCATGAGGATGAAGCCGAAGATCTCGAGGATCGCCTTCAGAGCGTCCCAGAAGATGCCATCTGGGATCACATCTCTCGCCAGCTCGACGAATATTGGACATCGTAAAGGTGAGGAGAGGAAGTTGGTCGGTTCGGCGAAGGCGTCTTCTGGTACTGGGAAGATGTGGAATTGGAGCCGTTGGGCGTTTCGAAGCCACAACTTTCGAACCAAATCCGACATTTTCTGGGAATTGGCCATAAACCACTTCAGCCAAATCTCGTACGCTTTGTAGGGCGCGAATGAACGCTCGTAGTAAATCTGAAAATATTTTAATCATTTTTTGTTTTGTAAAGAAAGTTCTTGCCACTTTTTGAACTATAAAGAAAGTTCTTGCCATTTTTTGTTTTGTAAAGAAAGTTCTTGCCACTTTTTGAACTATAAAGAAAGTTCTTGCCATTTTTTGTTTTGTAAAGAAAGTTCTTGCCACTTTTTGAACTATAAAGAAAGTTCTTGCCATTTTTTGCCTTGTAAAGAAAGTTCTTGCCATTTCTTGTTTTGTAAAGAAAATTCTTGTTATTTTTCGTTTTGTAAACAAAGTTCTTGCCTTTTTTCGTTTTGTAAAGAAAGTTCTTGTCATTCTCTGTTTTGTAAAGAAAGTTCTTGCCATTTTTTGTTTTGTAAAGAAAGTTCTTGCCATTTTATGTTTTGTAAAGAAAGTTCTTGCCATTTTTTATTTTGTAAAGAAAGTTCTTGCCATTTTTGGTTCTGTAAAGAAAGTTCTTGCCATTTTATGTTTTGTAAAGAAAGTTCTTGCCATTTTTGGTTCTGTAAAGAAAGTTCTTGCCATTTTATGTTTTGTAAAGAAAGTTCTTGCCATTTTTTTTGTAAATTTTGTAAAAAACCCCTAAGCTAGCCCAAAACTACACCGCACACCCCCCCCTAAAAATTTAAAGAAAACTACCCCTCCTCTTTAAAAAACCGCAAAAACTACCCCTTCCCTTTAAAAACCAAAAAAACTACACCTCCCCTTTAAGGTACAAAAACTACCCCTACGCCTGCCCCGAATCCAATATCCACCCCTACCCACAAAAAAAATTTAAAAAATACCCCTACCATACAAAAAAACCAAAAAAACCACACCCTACCCCCTTAGAAGTCCAAAAACTACCTCTACCCTACAAAAAATCCAAAAACTATCCCTACCCTCCCCACAAACCCAAAAAATCTAGTCCTTTCCTTTCAAAACTCCAAAAAAAACCCCTTACCCTTCCATAATCTACGAATTGACTCTCGGGATGTCTGACATTATAAGTGACGAGGTGGGTCTGATTCGCAAACAGTGAATCCACTTCGACCGGTACACTTTTGGACACGAATCGACAGTCTCGGTTTTCGATTTTACCGCCGCAGGACTGGCAGATTTCGACAAAAAAGCGGGTTTGGGTCTCCGCCTCCCTCAGGTCCTTCTGGATGTTATCCGTGACGATCAGGTAGAAGAAGAAGCCGAACATGAACTTGGGTTCCGACTGGTCGGTTTGCCCCTTCAGCGCTTCCGAATCGTCACGGTCGTTGTGGAAGCAGTGGGCTTGGCGAATTCGCGAGGTTTTTAGCATTTTTTGAGCAAACTTTAGGGCAGTGTCACGTTGTTCTAGACCGTCCACGGTCTCGGTTAGCCATTGCACAAAGTCGAACGATATGAACAGGGTGTTGGGGAGTTGGGGAGAACCTAAAACATTGATTTAGTATACTAGTCTTGAAGCAAAAAATAGGTTTACTATTTCGTTTTTTGTTTAAATAGTTCTGTGCCCCCCCCTCAAAGCAAATTTTAGGGGTTAAGGGGGCACAAAAGTATTTGAACAATACAATAATTTTCAAGTTTTTAGCCATTGTGTCAATAATTTCGGAATTGTAGTTTTTGGCCTGTAAAGAAAGTGCTTGCCATTTTTTGTGTTGTAAAGAAAGTTCTTCCTATTTTAAACCATGTAAAGAAAGTTCTTGCCGCTTTTCGCTTTTTAAAGAAAGTTTTTGCCATTCCTATTTGAAAAAACCATACTTGTAAATTTTGCAGCCTGCGAATGACAAGTTATACGACGTATCACAATTTCTGCTGTTACATGTTTTGTAAACGAAGTTCTTGCCATTTTTAGTTTTGTAAAGAAAGTTCTTGCCATTTTTTGTTTTGTCTGCACAGTGCATTCAAAAATCAAAAGTGCACGGTGCAGTAAAACAATGCCAAACAAAATTAATAAAAAAAGCTTCAAAATAAAAATTGTTTTTTATAATGAATAAAACAAGAAGAACCATCAGGTCGTATTTTACTATAAAATAATAAAGATTTTTAAATTATATCAAAATCAGTGTTTTTCAGCATATTTAATATTTTGCACCGTGCAGTCCGTATATGAGACTGCACGGTGCATCAAAAAAGCAGATATTAATCATTTTTAAATGTTTTTAGGTATAAAAGTGTTTTAAAAGCAAAATTTAGACTTTTTCCGACAGTATTTACCAACATGCATCAAAATTTTCAAAATCAAAAAAAAACTTTTTTCAAAAACAAAAAAAATTTCAAAAATTTTTAAAAATTCTTACCCCTCCTTCCAACACTGCTTAAAATCGGCGTAGATTCGCATTTCCTCCGCCATTCCTTCAAGATATTCTCCTCATCGTAAGGTATTCGAGGTACCACTTCCATCACATCATTCGGAATGGCAGCGATGCTCTTACTACTGCCACTATTATTGTGACTCTTCTTTTGGAAATCCTTACTCGCGCCAAACTCAAAGCTCTTGGATGAGAGTTGAGAAGTGGGTGTGTATGAGGACTTGGAGTAGGATTGTTGGCCTAGTCTGATCAGGTTGAAGGCTTCGAGGAAGCGAACAAAGTTCTTCTCTAGCTCCACCGAGTCGAAAGGTTCGTAGACATCGGCGCGGCCGAGAGACTGGAGCTTTTCCGAGAAGATGGTGCTTTCTGGTACTATTAGGAATCTGAAAAATAAAATTAATAATAGTGCTCAAAATTTAAGTTTAAATTGCACTGTGTAAAAAAAAGTGTTTACAAAACTGAATTCTATAAAATGGCGAAAACTTTCTTTACTAAACAAAAAATGAAAAACACTTCCTTTGCAAAACAAAAAATTGCAAAAACTTTCTTTACAAAACAAACAACGGCAAAAACTTTCTTTACAGCTTAAAAAATGACAAAAACTGCAAGGACTTTCATTAAAAAACCAAAAAAAAAGTACCTCACTCCTTCCCCACGATTGCACCCTGCAAAGCAAAAAAAATTAATTGCCCCGTGCAAAAAATAATAAAAAAGCATTGCACAGTGCAAAAAAAATTTTAAACGTAATTTAGCATTTCAAACCAAAACTCCGTCATCGCTTATCATTTGAACGTTATTTTATCAAACAATCGGTTTTTTCGTCAAAAAGCACGGTTCAACGCATAAAGAATTGACTGCACCGTGCAAAAATAATAAAAGAGCATTGCACCGTGCGAAAAACAGCATTTCATACCGAAAGTCCGCCATTTTTTTCAATTACACGCTACTTTCTCAAACAAAAATTAAATTTTTAAGCATTTTCAAACCCCTACCGTGACGAAAAGCACTTCATATCGTCTTTGTACAGCCCAGCCATCGTCCTAGCTTGCAGCTCCGCATCCAAGTAACTCCAATTCAATTTGTCCAAATTGTGATGTTTAAAGGCAGTCTGACTTGCCGTATAATTGGCATCATCCGGTACTTGAAAGTAGTAGTTGTACTTTGATACTCGCCACAGTTTTTGTGACACTTCGCCAGCTATGGTCGACTTTGGCACGAACTGTTGAATCAAAAAGTAATGTGGTTCGTCGGCTATTAGTGAAATACGATGGTAAATCTGATTGAAAGACAGTGAGCATTCGCGTAGTACGGTTTGATGAGGTCGTTCTGGTAGGACTTTTCTGAAATTTAAAAATTTTAAAAATTAAAAATATTTTTTTCTTAAAAACGACCAAAAATTTGGTAAAATACGACATTTCATACCACTGAGCCCTTATAAATCTTAAAAAACCAAAAAAAATATTAATTTCTCAAAAAATACCAAAAAACGTATTTTATCCTTGCACCATGCAAAACTTTTTAAGACTGCACAGTGCAATAATTTTTTTAAAAATCGCTGTGCCTTTCTTTTTAAAGCAATTTTAATAAAATCAATTTTGATAGCTTTTTACTAGTCCAGACTAAATTTTGGAACCAAATTTGTTACCTAAAATACGTTAAAAATCTTATTGTAACAAAAATACAATTTGCTGCACGGTGCAAGAAAATAAAAAATTGCATAGTGCAAAACAATTATAAACTATAAAGTGTAAATTGATTAAAACATATGCAGAAAACGTATTTTACAAAAAAAATTGCGAAAACTTTCTTTACAGCCCAAAAATGCCAAAAAAAGTTGGAAAATGCACACAAAAAATTCAATGTTATGCCATTTTAAAGCCTACTGTATTGCAGTGTGAATCATCTCCTTCGGCAGTAGTACTATTTGATAGCCTCTTTGTAAGCGTTGCCTAATTAGTTGTTCGAATAAAAGATTCTCGAGATGAGCTTCGGTTATTGGTCGGCTCACATCGTGTGGTACCCACTTCTTTAGGTCTTCGTAGTCGATTAGTACCGGATGTTCCTAAACATATTCTTGTGTAAAGTTGTATTAAAAGAATTGAGGAATCTTTACAAGATAAAAGAAAATTTTAAAATCTGCAAAAACTTTGTTTACAACCAAAAAATGAGTGAAAAATATCAATAGAATGCAGCCCTACCCCAAAAAAATCATCAGTTCTACCCCCAAAAATCAAACCTACCTCAAATGAATCAACCGTACCCCCAAAATTCAGCCCACCCATAAAAAATCAGCCCTACCCCCCAAAAAAATCAACGCTACCCCCAAAAAAATCAAACCCACCCCCAAACACCTGACCATCCATAAAAAATCAACCATACACCCAAAAAACCAGTCCTACCCCAAAAAAGTCTCCCCTGCCCCCAAAAAAGCCACCTTACCCCAAAAAAATCCGCCCTGTCCCCAAAAAATCAGCCCTACCCTTAAAATCAAAAAAGCACCCCAAAAAACCACCCAAACTCCTACCGTTAGATGATAGTCGTTTAGAGACCGAGCGTCTGGAAAGAAGTCAGTAGTGATTGGAAGCAGTCCCGACCGCACCAAACTCTTCCAGTCCATGCCAATCTCCATATCTGGGTTCCATTTCTCTTCGCCTGTGGATCCCCACGCCCAAACCGTGGTTTTTCCTTTGGCGCCCAGGCCTGTCACCTTGTTCTCGGTGTATGACTTTTCTTGGTTTTGAGGCGAGGGCGGCCGACGAGCTGGAGAGTTGTTGGCTATGGCTGGGGATTGAGTTTGTTGGGGAGAGGGCTCCTGGAATTTTTCGATTTGTAAAGAAAGTTCTTGCCGTTTTACGTTTTTTAAAGAGTTCTTGTCATTTTTTGGTTTTTAAAGAAAGTTCTTGCCATTTCTGTTTTGTAAAGACAGTTCTTGCCATTTTTTGTTTTGTACAAAAAGTCCTCGCTATTTTTAGTTCTGTAAAGAAAGTTATTGCCATATTTTATGTTTCTACAATTTTTAAAGCTATTCCTTCATCTTGCACAGTGCAATCACTTTTTTGCACGGTGCAATTGTTTTTGGCCCTTCCACAGTGCATTCATTTTTATTTTTGCACAGTGCAGTCGTTTTACGCTTGCACGGTGCAAACGCTTCTTTTCTTGCACCGTGCAGCACATTAATAAATCGTACTGTGCAAAGTAAAAAAAAGCGTAAACTTTCTTTCCACCTTCTGAATTTTTTAAAAAACCGCAAAAACTTTCTTTCCAAACTCTAAACTTTCAAAAAGCAGAAAACGCAAGAACTTTCTTTCCACTTTCTATAATTTCAAGAACAGTCCTTACCGGCTCCACCGTCTGTAGTACGTGTACAGTACTCTTGCCCACCACATAATGATGAGCCAATTTAGCGCGGCCCAATCGATCCACGGGGAAAACGTGAATCCATCGTCGTCGGTTGGCGGTGATTCGAACAATGAATTCCTCTGGTCGAAATGGGTTGATCAAGGTCCTCGAGTCGGATGTCAGCGGTTTTCGACCTAAATTACCGGTAAATTGTTAATAAAAGGGTAAAGCGTACCATTCACAGTCGGTTCGAGTGCTCGTACAAAGTCGGGCACGTCTTGGCACGGTGTGGTCGCGTAATTCTGGTCCTACATTTTTAAATTTGTAGAAATTTCAAAAATTGTTGATTTTAAAATTTTTTCAAAATTTCAACTTACGGTAATCGGAGTGGACTCTTTAGGTAACATAATGTTCAAATATTTGCAAAAAGCCGACAACTGTGGATTGGAAGTGTTCTCTTCGGCCGAAAAATGTCGCAATGCGTACATATCATAAGCCTCGCATTCAATTTCAGGTATGTTAACATCGACATTCATCGACAAGCCACTTGGTCGGTTCTGTAAATTTTCTTTGATTTTCTTTTTTATGCCATTTTTTAATGCTTTTTTCATTTTTTAAATTTTTATTAATTTTTCTGTTGTAAATAAAGTTATTGCGCTGATTTTTATTCCAACGCCTTTTGCACGGTGCAGTTTTTATAGATTTTGCACCGTGCAGTCATTAATTATTCTTGCACAGTGCAACCTTTTTTTCGTTGTGCACGGTGCAAAGATTGTTTTCCCCTCCGCACAGTGCAATTACGCAATATCCGCACAGTGCAACCTATCTTGTTCCCGCTGCACCGTGCAATTACGCAATATTTATCCGCACAGTGCACCCATTCCTTTACCTTTCGCACCGCGCAATTGCGCAATATTTTCCGCACCGTGCAGCCATTTCATTTCCCCCTGCACCGTGCAATCCCTTCTAAATTCCCTTTGCACCGTGCAATCCCTTCTAATCCCCTTGCACCGTGCAAACCCCTAAATACCCCTCCAAACCTACATTCAAAAGAGCAATTGGGAAGTTGATCCTAGTTTTGAACTTGACCATGATGCTAGTCTTATGTGGCATTCGAAAGTACGAGTAGTTCATCCAATGTGGTATGAAATAGTCCTCAGTTTGTTGATTAATTTTGGATTTGAACACGAATAATGGCACCGCGTGTAGAGGTTGTTCACCTAGACACACGATATCCAATGAGATACCCATATCGATTAGACGTTGTTTTGTTAGATTTACCATTTCTCGATCAACGTTGAAGACTCCACCGCCTGGGGTTACAAAGAGAATCTAAAAAAAATGAAAGTTGTTACCCAAAATTTGAGTTTTATAAGCTAAAAATCACTTTTTGTTACCTAAACGTTCAAGCTTCTTTACTGAAAAGCTTTTTTTTACCTATAAATTCAATTTTGTTACCTAAAAAACTCATTTTTCGACCCAGAAAGGCCGTTTTGTTACCTAAAAATAAACCAAAATGCCATATTAACACCTGCAAACAGCACTGTGATACTTAAAACAAAAAATAAAAATGCAATATCAATACCTATAAACAGCAGTTTGATACCTAAAAGTTACATTACTAGACTTAAACAGCCCTTTTGTTACCTAAAATTTGCAATTTAAGAACGAAAAGTTAACTTTGTTACCTAAAAGTTATATTTTTAACTTATAAAGACCAGTTTGTTACCTAAAAATCCCATTTTTGGACCTAGAGAGCCCTTTTGTTACCTAAATAACACATTTTTCCAAACTAAATCTCTCTCTTGTTACCTAAAAACCAATAAAAATCAAAAAATTTCCTACCTGTTGCCCAGTAGTTTCAAACCGTCGATCCGAGTGATAAACAAAGAAGCTATTCATAGACATGTTCAGCACCTCCAAGAAGTTGCCATCCCTGGCCGTTGACATTTCACAAAAGTCGTTTCGATCGCCCAGTTCCGGCAACAATTTACGATGGTAATTCTTGATCGTATTCTGATAATTTGTGAAACACTTCCTTAGGTTGGCCAGAACGTGAGTCCAATCAGTGTAGTGCTCGTTCTGGACTAGTAGGCGATAGAAATCCTGAAATTTTAAAAATTAAGGTTTGTAAAGAAAGTTCTTGTCATTTTTGTTTTGTAAAGAAAGTTCTTGCCATTTTAAAGCTTGTAAAGAAATTTATTGCTATTTTTGTTTTGTAAAGAAAGTTCTTGTCATTTTTGTTTTGTAAAGAAAGTTCTTGCCATTTTAAAGCTTGTAAAGAAATTTATTGCTATTTTTGTTTTGTAAAGAAAGTTTTCGCGATTTTTCGTTGTCAAAAAGTTCTGGCCATTTTTTGTTTTGGAACGAAATTTCTTGCCATTTTTAAAAATATTTTATAACAACTAACGCAAAAACTTTCTTTCCAGCTTCAAAATCTTGCTTTTTCTTTGCTTTGTTACCTAAAAATTTTGAAAAAACTCATTTTTGTTACCTAAAAAACAAAAATTTTCATTTTTCTACCTTAAAAGTTCTTTTTTTTCCTTTTCATTACCTAAAAATTTTTAAAAAAAATTTTTTTTTGTTACCTAAAAACCAAAATTTTTCTAAAATTTGTACCTAAAAATTTAAAAACATGTCTTTTATTACCTAAAAAACGCCGATAGCCTTACCTGAAAGTACCTATCCCTATGATCTCGATTTGCTTTGATCTTCTCCAGCTGTTCTTGATTCAGTACCTGTTTATTATAGTACCATCGTGAAAATACTATAATAGACACGTGATGTGCACACGATTGTAAGCTCCACCTCTTGAATAGCTCTGGCAAGAAGCCTTTGTAGCACTTTTCAAAGTACAAATCGCCCTGAGGGTCAATGTCCCACATTTCGGTACTCAATTGTATGTAGATGAGTACCTGTGATGAGGAGGATCTGAATACGATTCGAGTCTCTTCTGACACGTAGCCTGACCATGCCGGCTCACCAGCTGACCATATGTCGGATACTGTACAGTGGACGCCAAGCCAATTCTCGAATTTGCCTACGTAGACGCACGAATCGATGAGACAGCTTCTGAAGTGGAACATGTCCGCTCTTGATATGTAGTACTCTTTGAAGGTGAGCTCGACTGAGTCCAGAGCTATCTGGAAAATAAGAATTTGCATCAGTTTTATACCTAAAATCAAACTTTGATTCATTTTAAACAGTGTTTTTCATTAAACTTTGACATATTTGTTATCTAAAAATCTAAAAATTTTTAAGAAAATCCAAATTTGTTACCTAAAAACTGAAAAGTTTTAAATAAAATCAGTTTTTACTTTAGAATCCCTTAAAATTTTAGAAAAGTAGATTGCTCAAACGTATTTTACCTCCAAAAACAGTTTTAAACAGATTTTGAAATTTGCACAGTGCAGTCATTTATTACTCTTTTACACTGTGCAAATCCTTTTTTCTTGCACTGTGCAGCCTTTTTTTAATTGCACCGTGCAATCAAAATACGCAATGTAATTTGTTTTTGCACTGTGCAGCCCTTTATCAATCCCTTGCACAGTGCAAAACAATTAATTCTTCCACCGTGCAACCGAGTTTAAAGCGCTCAAGAAGGTAAAATACGTGCTCTAGGAATATCATATACAATAACAAAAATAGAAACCTCATTCCAAATTTTCATTAATGTTCACCTCAACTAAAGACAAAAAAATTACAAAAAGCCTCCCTTACCTTATTCCTATCCACTTTTCTGACTTCAACAAAGCTTCTGGAAGGAAAAAACTCCTTTCTTGTGTCGAAAATCTTGTCACAAATTTGAATCGCATCCCTGGTCGTAGTCTTATTGGTCTCCTTTTTAAACTGAACGTACACAAAATGCTTTGAAACCGTCGACTTCACCTCCAATATGTCATCGTCTTGTAATCCGGGAATTGAGTGAGGGTTCTAGAAGCAAATGCCATTTTATATTAGACTTTTTGTTAATATTATATTTTTTAATGCTTAGTTATTTAAATCTTTCATTTTACATCAAAAATTCATTTTAAACAACAGACATTTTAAAATCAACTTTTTAGATCATATTCACCATGATATCACCTAAATTTTTAAAATTTCAAAAAATAAAATAGAAAATTTTTCATTTTGTGCCAAAACCTACCACACTGATCCCCTCGTCTGTCCTATGCTGCAGTTTTAGTCGGACTGCCTGCGGGCCTTCCACCGCGTGCTGGTTGCGCGACCGCGCGTCGTTCTCTTTTTGGTCCATCAAACTAAAACGTTTTAGCATTAAAATCATATTTAAACTCAATTATTAAAAATAATACTTTAAGATTCTTTTTTATACTGATTGTTTTTCGTTTTTCAAGGTATATTAACGTTTTAGGTAAATTTTTTATTATCCATCAACTTTTTTGAAGCTTGATTTCTTTGACACAATATAACTTGTAATTCATGGACGTTTTTGATGAACTTAACTTCATAAATAATTGCAAATAACCTTATTCTATCTTTGAAAAGCTTATAAACTTTAATTTTAGTCTATATAAGCCATCTGTGTTCAATTTTATATTATCCATCAACACCAACATTGCCTAATGTCTTTAACCTCACATAACCCATAGCTCCTTTATTATTTTTACGTAAAATTTTCGTATTTTATAAAAAATATCCTTTTCATCAATAAAAATATCCCTTCAATTTATTTTTCAAGAAACCCCACAAAATACGTCCAATTTTATATTATCCATGCCGATATCAATGTTATACTGAATGTTTTGCTCAAACTCCTCTCAAATTCTTTTCAAAACCTAAATTTTCAATTTGCAAATAACCAAACGTGTTCTTTGTTCAATGTTCTGATAAAAAATAAACACTGAAAAAGTCAAAGAATAACACTAGAGTTCACGTTTCATCTCTAATCAAACCCAAATGTTTTTGACAAAGTTTAATTAAGAATTCATGTGAATTACAACAAATAATATATCCAAAAAGATTTTTTAAAGCTGGATCTTGTTTTTGATATAGCTGATTAGTAGTTTTAGCAAAGAAAGCATTGGGAATTTTAAAATTTTTATATTATGTTAGGCATCCTGGTGAACCTTGAACAAACGATCGTTTCTATCAAATCTTAAATTTAAACTCTTACATTTTTAAATAATAAAAATATTTTTTCCACTATTTACTATCAATCAGAAACAATATTTCTTCAAGATTCATTATTTTTGATAATACTTTAGATACCTTGGTCTTCCTTTACAAAAATCAATGTTTCTATCAAATCTTGATCAAAAACCACTTCAACCTTTACTTTTTCCAACTCACAACATCCTTATCCAACTCTTCAAAATCCAATTTCGACTTGTTTACCCGCGAATTCTCGAGTAAACAAGAAATAAACATATTATCCATGCCTACCGTATGCGTTCCTCCATTTTGGTCCGCATCATCAGCTCCGGGGCGAAACTCTTTTGATATCACATAAGGTTTTGCAGGCGTTTTTAATGTCTCTCCCACCCCAATCTTTTTTGCGCCTAGTGTGTGTGTTTTTTCGAATTTTCAAGCCCGAGAGCAACGTTTTTTCGCATTCAAAAAGGTGTAGTGGGGGGATGGCGCGGGGAGAGTTCATTTCCAACCTCAAACCTTGCAACCGCCTTCAACACAATCTTAAGACCCTAATCTTTATTTTAACAATCAATTTCGCTTATAAACCTTGAGGTTAAGGACAAAAACTTGAAGGAGAAGGTCGCTGCCTCTGTTTCACATCCTTTACAAGCCTAAAAACGGAAGAAACACAAAGAAAATCAAACTTACAATAAAAATGGTGAACGTGCAGTCAAAGTCTCATCTCTATTCTCCTTTCTTGTTGATTATATTGATTGTCTTGGCAATATCTCGTCTCTAATTGGCACTATATTGTTGCAAATTTCTCATTTTTTTCTTTCTCTTTTTTTCCCGTTATTTTATCGCCGCGAATTGCGACCACGCGAAGGAAAAGAACAGAAAGGAAGCGCTGCGGCCTGCGGATGACATTTTATACGACGAAAGGAGAAAAGTCGGGAAAAGAGAGGAAAAAGAAGAGCAAACCGGCTGGAATGGATTTTTTTCGCAGTTTGTTCAAAATGTTTTTAATAACTGCTTTTGGAGTGTGTTTATAATGCGAAAATTTGAATTTTTTGTCGGTTTAGCGAGTTTCGGAATTTTTGGCCCTGAGGCGGTTTGTTTATAAAAAAGACGTTATTAAGTGAAGCTGGCTGACTTTTTATGATGTTTAGGAGGTTTTGGTGAAAATTTAAATTTTATTTTGATTTTTTAATTTGAAATTTTAAAAAGTTGAATTTTTTAAATTTTTAAAATTTAAAAAGTTTGCTTCTTGCTCAAATATCAAATTTCCAACACAATAACATTATAATAGTTCAAAGCAAACGTAAATCCTTTATTTACTCAAAATTCCTGTTTAAAAGTGCAAGTTTTTGTCTTTTTTTCAAACTTTTTTTTCGAAAAATTTAAGTTTTTTTTAAATGTTCACGTTGACAGTGAGTTACGACCCGCCATCGTTAAATGTTTTTCTGACATTTTTCAAACTCGAAAAGTGACAGGTTTCTGAAACCTACTCGAAATTTTGAAATCGAACCAAAAAATAGAATTTTTTTGAAAATTTTTTAAATTTTAGGTATGGCCGGTAAGGTTATGGCCTCTAACTCAGCATCGGCCGGGCTGGGCGACTATGAGAATTTATCAGGTATAGTGATATTTTGTTTAGTTTTTTATTTTTAGGTATGAAAAATTTTTTGAGAATGGATTTTTTGCACTGTGCAGTGTTTTTGCTGCACTGTGCTGTCTGTTTTCTATTTTGCACAGTGCAGTCATTTTGTAATTTCGTTGCACCGTGCGATAAACTTTATTTTTTGCCCAGTACTATTCATCTTTTGTTGCCTTGCACTGGGCAGTCAATTTATATTTGGCACCGTGCAGTCTTTTGTAATTTCTTTGCACCGTGCAAATTCCTTTATTTTTTGCACAGGATTTCTTTGCACGGTGCAATCATCTTACTATATTCTTTGCACAGTGCAGTTCACCTTTTATTTCCTTTGCACTGTGCAACCTCTTTTATTCCTTGCACGGTGCAAAAAAAAAGAAAAAAAAATAATTTTAAAAATTAACTTAAAATTTAAAAATCTAAATTAAATTTTTTTTTAAATTCAGAAATCTCCCGATTGGCGAATCGTGAAGCCCGTTCGACGTCAGATGAAGAATCTAGTCGTCATTTGGCCACACAAACCCCCGCCAGTTCATCATCGTCGTACCCGGGCGTGGTAATGCGACGACCCACAACTGGTAGTGAAGATGATGAACATACGGAAATGGTACCACAAGTTGGTACCACTTTCTATGATTATCAAGCCAAAGAGAAGGATGAATTGTCATTTCAACGGGGGTCTGTGGTCGAAATTATTGAAAAGGACAGGTAAGTAATGAAATAGCATTATATAATAGTAGTAGTACGCCAGGGGTAAGGTGGGACTATAAAAAGGTTAGGACAGGGTAGAGCAGGGTTCATTGAGTTAGGCAGAGTAGTAGTATTGCAGGGGTAAGTAAGGGTATGGTACGGTGTGGTAAGATAGGGTAGGGTATGGTAGGGGTAAGGCAAAGTCAGGTAGGGCTGGCTATACTAATAGGGTACGGCAGGGTAGAGTACGGTAGGGTAAGGTAGGGTACGGTAGGGTAAGGTAGGGAAAGTTTATAAATTAATTTTTCAATTTCAGGGAAAAAGGCTGGGTATACGGTAAAATCGACAACAAAACGGGTATGGTGCCGGAAAACTATGTCAGACTGATAGGACGACAACCAAAAGAGATCAGAGCTTGTGATTTCGAGAAAATTGAAGAAAAAGTTGGTAATGGAGCATCATCAAATGTCTATAGAGGGCTGTACAAAGGTCAGATGGTAGCATTGAAGATACCTAGGTTTAACAAAGGAGAAAATCAAAGTAAAAAAATTGAATGTAAGTTGATGGAAAGAAAGTTCTTGCCATTTTTTGATTTTTAAAGAAAGTTCTTGCCATTTTTTGTTTTGTAAAGAAAGTTCTTACCATTTTTTGCTTTGTAAAGAAAGTTTTTGCCATTTTCAGCGCTAAAACGAGAAGCCCTGGTCTACGCGCGTCTAAATCACAAAAACATCGTCGCCTTCTACGGAATCTGCATCGAATCACCGTGCTTGCTACTCGAACTCTGTGAAGGTGGCACGTTGATGAGGTTGTATCGAGAACTGTCATTCGCCGTGTTCTCGACTGTTATTAAGTGGGGACTACAGGTGGCAGAAGGCATGAACCATCTACATAACAGAGATGATGCACTACTACATGCTGATTTAAAGGCTGATAACAGTAAGTTAAAGCGGATATGGTGGGGGATGGTTATGGGACGGTTAGGGTGAGATAGAAAAGAGAATGAGTAAGGCGGAGTGGAATAGGACGTGGTGGGGACGATAGAAAAGAGTAGAGTACGGTATGGTAGGATTTGGTAGAGTAGGGTAGGGTACTGTACGTTAGAGCGGCGTACGGTAGGGTAGAGTAAGTTAGGGTTGGGTACGGCAGAGTACAATAGGGTAGAGTAGAGTAGGGTAAGGTAGGATAGGGTAGAGTAGAGTTGGGTACGGTAGGATAGTGTAGAGTACGGTACAGTACAGTAGGTTAGGGTAGAGTACAGTAGGGCAGAGTAGAGTAGGGGGTAGGGTTGCGTAGGGCAGGATAGGGCATGTTACAGTAGTGTAAAGTAGAGTAGGGTAGGGTACCGTAGGGTTTGGTAAAGTAAGGTACAGTAGGATAGAGTAGGGTAGAATAGGGTGGGTAGTGTATAGTAAGATGGGGAGGGTAGGGAAAGGTTGAAAAGGGTAAGGAGAGGTAAAGTGTCAGGGCGGGATAAGGTAGAGTAAAGAGGGTTGGATAGTGTAAAAAAGAGTATTGTAGGGCAGGGTAGGGTAGTGAAGGGCAGGGTACGATACTGTACTGTAGGGTACAATAGGGAACAGTAGGGTACGCTAGGATAGAGTAGAGTATTCTTGTGTAGGAAAGAAAAGGCGGTACAGGTTGGGGTATATTTTTAAAAATTTTTACAAATCGGGAGTGACCAGCACGTATTTTCCTTTACAGTCCTAGTAAAAGAAGTCCCTTGTCTGTGCGAGCACAACGAACGTTCCACCGATCCCCCAACCTACCACAACAATATCTGTACCAATTGCAATGGTACCAAACTGGACAAACTGACCCTAAAAATCACTGACTTTGGTCTATCCAGAGATGTCACCTCGTCTCGTGCCAGTTTCGGTGGATCGTGCGCCTGGATGTCGCCCGAGCTGATCGCACGTCAAGAGTTCTCCAAGGCCTCGGATATCTGGAGCTTTGGGATCCTGTTCTGGGAGATCCTCACCAATCATATGCCACTTCAGGAGTACGAAGGCGCCATCGTGGTGATTGCCATCGCACAACGCGGTAAAACCCCGGACATTCCGGACAATTGCCCCCTGGCTATTCGCAATGTCATGCAGTTGTGCTGGCAACAGAACCCCGAGAGACGCCCCAGCTTCACCGAGGTGATAGTACTATTGAAACAGGCATTAAAGGAGGTGGACAAGAGTAAGGGTTGGAACACTGAAGACATCATGAAGAAGTCGAGGGCCAGAACAGATGTATCGTTGAAAGAGGTCGAGGAGGAGATCAAGAAAAGAGGCATTGAGTAAGTGTTTTATCAAGGAGGGTATTTTAAGAGGGGTCATAATTGAAGAAGGAAAGGGATTTTTTGATTGAGAGGGGTGACCTTAAAAAATTATTTGTTTAAGGGAGGGGGGGGGGTGTAAAATTATTTTTTCATTTAGGAGTAGAGGGAAGGGTCAAACATTTTTTTAGATTTAGAGAGGAGTATCTTAAAATTTTTTAAAGCGAGGGGTAACAAATTTTTTTTTATTTATTGAGGAGGGGGGGTAACATTTTTTTTGGTTTGTGGGTGAGAATAAAGCTTTTTTGTATTACGGAACGGTTGGCTTTAAACAAATTAAAAATGGCAAAAACTTTCTTTACAAAACAGAAAATGGCAAGAACATTCTTTACAAAACATAAAAAAACAAACACTTTCTCTACAAACCCTAAAATTTCTGAAAATGTTTATTTTTAGCCCCTCGAAATACTCAACCATACCCTTCAATCCAAAACCACCAAAAACGGCGGAACGGTCGATAAAGCGAAAACCTCGACCAATCCCGAAAATCAAAGGAAAAGTGTCAAAAGAAAACATTGGTGGACCACAAGACTTTCAACACATGTTTCACGTCATAGCTACCTCAACATCGCCGGACTCCAGGCGGTTCGACTTTTTTGAAAGTGGGTTTTAAAATTTTTATTTTTTGTAAATCTCATTTTCCATCACTTTTTTGTCAAAAATGACCTTTTTTGCACAGTGCATATTTTTTCCTGATATTTTTAAATTTAAAAACTATTTTATTGCACGGTGCAGAGATAAAATTAAAAAACTGCCAAAAGTCCGAGAATTTATGAAATTTTTAAAACGTTTTTTATATAAAACTAGTAAAAAATGACGAAAAACATTGTCATTCACTTTTCAGGCCTATTAAGTTTACAGTGCATATTTAAAATTGCACAGTGCAAAATTTTGTTTGCACAGTGCAGGTTTTAAATGACATTGTATTCAAAATGTAAATTTTTGACCAAAATAAAATTGACTTTTATGGTAAAACAACATATATTTCATCAGAAATTCCAAAACATTACTGTGCATATTAAAAATGGCATTTTTTTTGTATTTTTAAGCTGCACTTTGCAAAATAAAAATAATGATTGCACTGTGCAAGATAAATGCTGTTTTCTCGTTGAGTTTTTGGAATTACTGAAGAAAAATTAGAATTTGTAGACAAAGTAAATCAGTGTGATTACATTTTTGATCAATTTTTTAGGTAACACTTTTCAGTTTTGGCGAAATTTCAAAATTAAAAAATTTTCTTTGAAATTTGTCGTTTCAATAATGCTTTAGACGTGTGTTTCCATTTCGTTGTGGTTAGTTTGAGTCGTCATTTTAATTTTATATCGTTTCTTGTCCAAAAACTTTAATTTCTTTTTTACTTTAAAAATTTCAATTTTTTAAATTTCGAAAATCAAATTTTAAATTCTTTTTTTAAATTCAAACAAAATTAAGTTAAAACCTGTTTTTAAATTTCGAAAAACAAGATAAACCTACTTACTGTTGTCTGTAAACCCGTTCGTAAACATTGGTGTTGTTGTAGACCCGGACAAAGACGTCCATCCCTCACGTCATCATCGTGGCGGGCATCTGGAGCGGCAGGAGTCGGTCGATGCTCAGACATTGCCACGAAGCTACAAACATTCGGTGAAAGAGCCAAAGACAGTGAAGCGGCCCATGGGTAATGAGCATCTACATCCGATGGGGTTCAATCGGAATGCTTCGAAGAGTAATCCTGAACTGTTCGGAGCCTTCTCGATCAATAAGCAACATATTCCGCGGAGAAGTAATGCTTATCGACACAAGGACTTTGAGAGGATTCATCCCAAGATCAAGACTACAAACTCTTCGGATTCTTCCGAAGACAATGTCATCATTTCGGCCGAGGATGTTGGTAAGTGTTGTTGGTGGTAGTTTAGGTATTGTACAGTTATTGGTATTATAGGTATTGTAAAAAAAATTTTTTTTTGGATATTGTAGTAGGTCTTGGTAAATCTTTTTTTATTTTAGGTTTTGTAAAGAAAGTTTTTGCCATTTCTAGTTCTGTAAAGAAAGTTCTCTGGATTTTGAAAAAGCCACAAAACCTTCTAAAAAGTCATAATATAACCCTATTTTTATATTCTAATGCATTTTTAATCATTTTCTTAGTGTTTGACGAAGTGTCACAAAAATTATTGGATTTTTGTTTTATGCTACAACTGAAATTTTTTGTCGTTTTAAAACAAAAGGTAGTAAAAAAGTGAATAATAACAATTAAATGCTTCCTTTTTACCAAACAACATTGTTTTAGACATCCGAGAGCCCCGACACACCGATTATGACATTTCGCAACAATCGAGTCGCAAAAGCAATGCCATTTTCTATGATCTTCCCGATTCGGATTCGTCGATTTCGGCGGTTTCTGACACGCGACAGAAGCCCAGCCTCAAGACCAAGTTCTTCAATTTTAATTTTTTGAAGAAACGTCCATCGCCAACACGAGTGGATCAACTGGTCGATCGACCGTGCCTGCCACAGTGTTTTCATCCAAATCATTCGAACGATCTGGCCAAAAACTTTAGTCATCAGTGTGGATTACAGGTAGGAGACTGGAATTTTTGGTCGATTTTCTGGGTTGTAAAGAAAGTTCTTGCCGTTTTTTGTATTGTGAAGAAAATTCTTGCCATTTTAAATTTCTTAACTTGAAAATGACAAACTACCCATTAAAACCATGATTTCTATTGCACCGTGCAATATTTTAATTTTACCGCACCGTGCAACAAATTTTGTTTTTTATGCTGTACAAGTTGCCACGTATTTTAAGTAACAAATATCGTCAGAAAATTTAGTCTAGCCTAACAAAAAGCTAATAAAACCATTCTCACTTTGATAGCTCTAAAAAGAATGGCACAATGAATTTTTAAAAAATAACTGCACCGTGCAATCGAAAGGGTTGCACTGTGCAGATAAATTGCAATTTATTGCCATTTTTTGTTTTAAAGTTCTTGCCATTTTATTTTTTGTAAACAAAGTTATTGCCATTTTACATTTTGTAAAGGAAGTTCATGCCATTTTTTGTTTTGTAAAGAAAGTTCTTGCCATTTCAATCTCTACAAACTAATCTTCCCATCGTTTTCAGGAGCCTGAGAGCCCAGAAACAATCCTCGGCCTCGAGCCCGAGCTTCATTTGCTTTCAAAATTTGCTAGACTTCATCATCAACAAGCCCAGAATCATGGCCGGCCTTTTATAAAAATGGCCAACGATCCGGATAAACGTCGTCGGCCACAGCCACCAACGCCGGTCCAGCGGCCCGGCTCGACCGTTTCGTCTAAAGTTTTGAAAGCACGCCAAAACTTATCGATCTCCGAGACGGAAGGTTCATTTGATCAGGGTTTCGACGAGGAGGACTTTAATTCATCGATGAATTCGAATTATCAAACTCCTTTGAGCTCGCATTCGACTGGAAATGGCAATATTAACACTGGTGGTAGAACTGACATTATTAATAGTGATTGGTCAAAAAATCGGTCAGAAAGTTTTGGGCAGCCTTCAGACAACTATCAATTTGCTCATCGTGCCGAGTTCTCACTTCCACCTAGCACTAAAGACAGCTCATCGCACCGTGCAAGAGACAATTCACTGCACAGTGCAAGAGACAGCTCGTTGCACGGTGCAGACAATTATCAGTTCGCGCACAGAGTAAACGAGCCAATAAGACATCGAGACAACGTGCCGAATAGTGCTAGAGATGTGTCTGGACATCGTACTCACAGTCACGACCACTTTCATAAACTAGAGTTTAGTGAAAATGGCAGAGACGGCTCGTTGCACCGTGCAGAATTCTCTCTGCCGCGCAGTGCAAGAGATGGCTCGTTGCACCGTGCAAACGCTTCACTCCCACCGATGCAGCGTGCGCCAGACTATCAAATGCCGTTGCATCGTGCTAATCAGTCCTATCCCACGACGAATCAGATGAAACAGTACGAAGCGCCACTATATTCGGATTCCATATCCGACGAGCTCGATATTGACATAGAGGAGATTAAGAAGGCCGCTTCATCGCCCTTCACGAACCAAACCTATCAGCCAATGAAGGATAGTATATACGGTGCTGAGAAACTGCAGAGGCCGAGTACGTTGGCTGTGCACGGTATACCACATAATAGTTTGTCTTCACCGTCAAGACTTGATGATGAACCACCAGTGATTGAGATAGCTGAGTGTCAAGCTGGTGAGCTAGCTCAAGGTAAGATGTCGGATACCCATGTGAGGATGTCGAGTGACTCACACCTCGAAATGTCGCCTGAGTTGATGCCAAAAGGGAGGAGGTCAATGTCGGATCATCAGAATGAAGTAATGTCGCCTAAACTACCCCCTAGACCTACCCATTTGTCTCCGAGTGTACCTAATCTGCCTATATCACCTGGTCGAAGTAGAAACTCGTCGAACTGTAGCTTGACTGGAGATGGTCATAGAAGGCATCGACAGAGACATGTAAGTTTATATTGATCTGGAGGACAGGTGGGAGTAAAGTTAATGGGTACTGCTAAGCGTAGGGGTAGGTCTTGAGGGATAGGGGCGAATCTGTAGGGGCAGGAATGGATCCTTAGGGGCATGGGTGGATGTTTAGGGTAGGGGTGGATCTAGTAGTAGATCCATCATTATAGGGACAGGGGTGGAGCTATAGAGGCAATGGTGGACCTATAGCGGCAGGGGTATGTTTTTAAGAGCAGGGTTGGACATATAGAAGCAGGGGTGGATTTATAGAGCCAGTGGATCTTTAAAGGCAAGTATATAGGCAGGGTTAAGGAAGTAGGTGTAGGGGTAAAGGTAAAGAAAGTTTGAATTTTAATAAAAAAGTTTTAGTCAGTACTAGATCAGTATATTGAAGTACCAGACGGTCGAAGACAATCCCCAACTACTCATGTGCCATTTTTGGAATCACCAAAAGTCGCCGAAGAATTTAAAGAGCCTTTGAAGTGAGTTTGACCCACTTCTTTTACCATTTTTTGTTTTGTAAAGAAAGTTCTTGCCATTTCCTGTTTTGTAAAGAAAGTTCTTGCCATTTTTTAAATTTATAAACACATTCCAGCCACTTTTAAACTGACAAACCCCCTAATACCATACTTTTAGCTACTTTATGTTAAACAACACGTCAGACAAGGACTCACCGCCAACTGAACCAGCCCCACCTCCGCCGACGGCATCACATCGGGTACCGAAAATACCAGTACGGTTGAATAAAACACCCAAAAGTCCGCCTACCTTTATGTAGGTACAACATGTGATTACTGTAACTTTTTTTTCTTTTTTTTTGGGTTACTGTAACATTTTTTGAAAAACTCAAAACTTAGGATTACTGTAACTTTCTTTTTTCAAAATTTTTTAAAATTTAACCTTTTGTTAATACTACTGTAACTTATTAAGTCTCACTGTAATTTTTTAGGTATTACTGTAGTATTTTGTGTCTTACTGTAATTTTCCTCAAAAAAATTTTGAAAATTTTTGATACCTAAAACAATATTTTATACAAAAAACAACCCTGTAAACAAATTTTTTGCACACAGATAGTTGTATCATATTGATAGTCTTTCAAGCAATCTCAGCCTACGGTTCTAATGTTCTTCAGTTTGAAAAACAAGCCAATTTTGTTGAAAAACATGACCTATTTATTGGTTATTCTATAGAAAAAAATATCGGTTCAAAAGTTCTCGGAAAACGTGCAGTGCAATTTTTAAAATTTCAAAACTCCATTTTTTATTCGATTTTTTTAAATTTTCATTTTTTCCCTGCACCGTGCAAAAAAAATAAGCAATGACTGCACGGTGCAAAAAATGACTGCACTGTGCAGATGAAATAAACTGCACCGTGCAAAAGAAAAGAATAATCACTGCACAGTGCAGTTCTTTCCAAGACCTTTTGCAACAGACTTTAGTAGATTTTAATGAATTTGGACGCTATTTTAAATGTTGTATTGTGTGTTATTATTGTTCTTTGACCTACTTTTCATTAGAAGTGAGGATTATTCAAAAAAAAAGAATTGTATTATTAGGTGTATTATAATATCCTCATTTCCATTGACAAGTATTGATATTATACATATTTCTTTGTTGTTTTATTTACATTATTGATTTGCTGTTTGAAAAAAAAGAGAAAAATAAAATATTTTTATATATTCTTCTCGTATTTTATATTTTTTGAGCTTGTTTTAGCTAAAAAATGGCAGTAATTACATTTATCGTATAGTAAAGGGAGGTAAAGGTACATTACACCTATGTTGAGCACAAGTACAGTTCGACACATTGAGTACCATTTGGAAAACCAATGGGGAATGATGAAATTGTGCCTCGAGGGTTTCGATTCGATTAATAATCGAGGTTGGGGATTCGGTTGACCCAGCAAACCGAGGTCTTCTATGTTGTTCTGATAAACAGTCCATTATCAAAGACCAACTGAAAGAACTTTCTTTACAGGGTTGAAAATGGCAAGAATTTTCTTTACAAAAGCAAAAATGGCAAAAACTTTCTTTACAAAACGTAAAATGTCAAAAACTTTCTTTACAAAACCAAAAAAGGTAAGAAATTTCTTTACAAGAAAAAAATAGCAAGAACTTTCTTTACAACATCAAAAATGTCCTAAATCCCCAATAAATCACAGAAAAACACTTACTATTCCCTGGGACAGCTTGGTGGATATGCCAATCCTTTATCAGGCAGTTGAAAACATTGCGTTATCTCATCATAAGTCCTTTGATAATGCGGTTCCGCTCCCAATGTAGCACATTCCCACGCCATTACACCGAACATCCACACGTCCGATTCGGCTCGATGTTTTGGATTCGACCGGTCGAGAGAACAAACGATTTCTGGTGGCAACCATGGAATTGGCAATCTTGGTCCAAAGTCAATTGGTAGACCAAAATCTCCCAGCTTTGCTACGCACGTAGCCAAGTTACGGTGATTTAAGAGAATGTTACGTGCGGCTACATCACCGTGTGTGAATTCACAGCCTTCTTGGTCACGAGAGTCGTGTATATACTTTAGCGCTTCGGAAACTTGACGTAGAACGTGGAGAATGTCACGGATGTAGACCTGAAGATAGTTTTTTTTGACAAAAAAAAACGGCAAAAACATTGTTTACAAATCAAAAAACGGCGATAACTCTTTCCAACTCCAAAATTTCAAAAATCCAAGAAATATACCTAAAAACCAAGAAAAATAATAAAAAACTTACCATTTCTCGTTCCTTTTCATCCTTCCGCCTGATTTGATCACGGAAGAACTCGGCCAAACTACCTCCAGGCAGCCATTCCATTGCGAACATTGGCCGAAACGCCGTGAACGACAGTTTACTGACAGCTATAATCTTGACAATATTTGGATGATCCAACTTGGCCATTCGCGCAGCTTCTTCTAGCAAACCCAACGACTTTTGCGGCATCGGGTAAGACATCTGAAAAATTGGAATTCATGGTTAATATAAAATAATAAAAATTAAATTTTTTCATTTGAATTGTTTATAAAAATATTTTGAAAAGTGTAGAAAAAAGCATGCAAAAACGTTTTGGCATCTCTGATAGTCTCGTTTTTGTAAAATCTCAAAATAAAAAGAAATATTCAAAAATTTATGTGTCATGAATAATATTGCCTCAAAACAAACAAAAATAAAACCTTTTCTATTCAAACTTAATAATAAAACATTGCTAAGTCTATAATACATCTAAAATAAGTGAAACTCTAAGAAAGTTGCACGTTCTCAAGCACTGATCTAAAGCATCTTGACATACCTTAACAGCAGCGAAAGTCTTCTGTTTGAACCTGGTGTGAGTTTTTGGGTAAACATACCCTTTGAATACAAACCCAACAGCTCCTTGGCCAAGTTTACTGTCCGTTAACTCTATAAACATGTCATCCACAAGAAGATGCTCTAGTGCTGAAAAGAATTCGTGGATAACATAGGACTTTACCTAAAATTTGAAGAAAACAAAGGAAAAATGAACTTACAACGTTTTAAAAACTCCAATCTAGGTGTATATGGATAAATTGAGTCCGGAGAAGGTAAACACGTCTGTTTTCCATCTAAAATTAAGCATTAAACATGTTTATTTCTTCAAAATTATATTATGATAGTTCTAAACCTAAAATAATATACTAAACTTCAATTTTTTTCGTTTTATCACACCAAAAAGCTTAAAAATATCAAAACAAATCTTTTTCATCAATAAAACCCCAACTTACGTCGACAAAACCACAGCAACAACACAATATACAACACGAACAATGATATTATTGTAGCCCATGGAGTTTCATAATATTCCGCGCAATGTTTGACCACTTCCGTCACATTTGCCATAGTTCAGCTTCACAACGAGATGGTTGTTGTGTCTTTCCACCTTATTCAACGAATTGAAGTAAAAAATTCGTTTTGCTCGGGAAAAGACGTCTCAAGGTTACCTTGACGTAACTCGAGGAACATCGTAAGACGAGAGTCGAGAAAGACAAATTTTATAACTAAAAGCTTGAAAAAGCTCAAGGTATTGAGAATAGAAAGATAGAGGATAAGACAAAATTTGGAAAAAATTTTCCTGATTTTTATCCAGAAAAGGTGTCCTCTTCTTGTCTTGTCTAGAAAATATGTCATCTCCGTCAATTTATAGCCGCACACGGTTGCCCAAGCCGCTTCTCTTATAAAAAATTTCATTTTGTGAGTATTTCTGACATACATTCTGACTTTCGTTCTGTCGTACTATATAGTACGTTGAGTATACAACGGTTGCTCAAGCCGTATATCGCAGTTTAATTTGACTCTTTCGTTCTGTAATCGTACTTTAAACCCCTTATGTCCTGTCACAACCGCCGTACTATACATCACGTTGAGTATATAACGGATTCCCAAGCCGCATATCTTATAAAAAATGTCATTTTGAGAGTATTTCTGACACATATTCTGACTTTTGTTCTGTATTCGTACTATATAGCACGTTGAGTATATAACGGATTCCTAAGCCGCATCTTATAAAAAACGTCATTTTGAGAGTATTTCTGACACATATTCTGACTTTCGTTCTGTATTCGTACTGTTTCTTTAAACCCTTTATAATACTGTCACTACCAATCGTACTATATAGCACGTTAGGTATATAACGATTTCCCAAGCCGTATATCTTATTAAAAATGTCATTTTGAGAGTATTTCAGACATAAATTCAGACTTTCGTTCTGTATTTGTACTGTCATTACAATCGTACTATATAGCACGTTAGGTATATAACGGTTTCCCAAGCCGTATATCTTATTAAAAATGTCATTTTGAGAGTATTTCAGACATAAATTCTGACTTTCGTTCTGTATTTGTACTGTCATTACAATCTTTCTATATAGCACGTTGAGTATGTAACGGTTGTCCAAGCCGTATATCTCATATAAAATGTCATTTTGAGAGTATTTCAGACATTAATTTTGACGTTTGTTCTGTAATCGTACCTTTCATAATAACCTTTCCATAATACTGTCACTACCAATCGTACTATATAGCACGTTGAGTCTATAACGGTTGACCAGGCCGTATATCTCATTTTTATAGCATGACTTTTGTTCTGTAATTGTACTTCTTATAATACTGTCACTACCGATCGTACTATACAGTACCGTGGGTACGGTTGCTCAAGCCGTGTATCTCATTAAAAATGTCATTTTGAGAGTATTTCTGACATATATTCTGACTTTCGTTCTTTCGTACTATATAGCACGTTGAGTATATAACGGTTGCCCATACCGTATATCTTATTTTCATATGACTTTCGTTCTGTAATCAACTGTCTATATCCTGTCACTACCGCTCGCACTATATAGTACAGTGAGTACGGTTGCTCAAGCTGTGTATCTCACTATAAAAATAAAAAACCGCCACCTCTCAGCCCTCAGAAATATCAAATGGCATGCTTTTTTATCATCACGCGTTTATTTTGCCGCACAAAAAATTCAAAAACCAATGTTAACATTGCGCAACATGATGAGGGAGGTGACTAAAATAAATTATGTTTTAGATCTCTACTGCGGAATCCCAATTTTACGCATTTCGTGAAAGAAGAAGACGCGAAAATCGAATTACCTTAGATTGAGCGTCGATTTCGACGGTTTTGTCGAAGCGCTTATGCGTACTATCGTAACTGCGGTGCTGTTACGGGGTCGAGGCATGCCTCGCTATTATAAACGCTTGTTTGTCGGTGCAAATGCTTTGCGGAGTGAGTGTAATGCGGTGTTTGTGAATGCTGTTACGAGGATTGGCGGTTTGTAATGTGTGATTACATCGTTTTGTTCGTGCAGTTATAGGCTCGAGTACGTGCGATATAATGCTGATGCATTTGAAAGCTGTGGGAGCGCTGGTATACGGTCTGGTCAGCCGTTTAAGCACTGTGGGAGTGCTTTATACAGTACGGAGTGGTTACCCGTACTAGTATTGTGGGAGTACTATGGTTATGATATTGTACTGTGAGAGTATATGATACGGTTTTGTCACCCGTAATTTACTGTAAAAGTACTATTAGTACTGTGAGAGTATTATGATTATGTTATCGTACTGTGAGAGTACTGTATATGATACGGTTTTGCCACCCGTAATGTGCTGTGAGAGTACTGTTAGTACTGTGAGAGTACTATAAGCACCGTGAAAGTACTTTGATTATGTTAAAGTACTAATAGTACTGTGGGAGTACTATATAAGACACGGACTTGTCAATAGTAATAGTACTGTGAAAGTGCTGTGATTGTGATATTGTACTGTGAGAGTACTATATATGAAGCTGAGTTGCCACCTTTACTAGTACTGTGGGAGTGCTGTAATGTAGGTATATGTTTTACTATCGTACTGTGAGAGTACCGTAAATGCAAACGGCCTAGCCAACCGTGTTCATGCCATTATATACTGTAGCAAATATAGAGTATTTTAAGTACAATGACAGTACGTGCTCAAAATTACTTTTATCGTACTAAAGAGTACGTTATTTATACGTCGCCGGTTTCGGATAGTACGTTTATGCCTGTACTTTTGTACTTGCAGCCTTTACCTCATATTTGACTTTGCAGGTCAGTTTCATTACTGGCTTGTTGTTGAATCCATAAGATAATATCATATGGTTGATTGTCGGGGTGTACGATCGTTGAGATATACGATTGTTTATAACATGTATGGTTTTTTGCTTTACGTAGGTTAAGAACTTATGTACGAGCAAATTATTAAATTCTATTTTATATATGTTATACATAGAGTTTAATTTTTTGCTTTTATATACAGGGTGTCCCAAGATTTTTGCGGAAAAGTAAAAGCTTGTTTCTCGAAAAGTACCAGACCAAATTGGACGATTCTTTTTTTAGTACACTTGAAATTGCGGGCGGATTTGGTATTGGTACTTCGTTTTTTGATATTCGGCGGATGGTCGGCGGAGACCGGCGGAGGCTAGTTTTTTGCTTTGACCAATCCAAAACCTTCATTTTTTGGTTCCTATGTCACCTGCTGATTCGTCAAAACGCTTTCCAATCAAAACATGTCTTTCCCTGCATCGGCGGACGACCGGCGGAGAAAAACGGCGAAGGCCATAACTCCGCTCAAACTCAATATTTTTTCACCGGACAAAAAATGGAAATGTTATTTTAAGCTTTTTAATACATTTAATCAAGTTTACAGTTCAAAAAATTTCATTGGCTGACGATCGGCGGAGAAAATCGGCGAAGGCCGTATCTTGGTCAATTTTTAATAGTTTTTCTTCGGAAAACAAGTAAAAATGTTCTTTTAAGCTTTTTAATCATTTCAATTACGTTTAAAACTCGAAAAATTTCACCGGCAGACGATCGGCGGAGAAAATCGGCAAAGGCCGTATCTTGGTCAATTTTTAATAGTTTTTCTTCGGAAAAAAGTTGTTGGTACCCTAAGGTCCTTCTCTACCTAACTGTTACGAATTCAGAAATTAGTGAAGTTTTTAAAAATTAGTTAAGATTACTTTCGATCGACAGAGATCATATATTTTTTAAATAAAATCATAAAAACATAGTTGAAACTTTTCTGACTTGGTGTTATTTTTATTTTTTTAAAACTCGTTGATCAAGAAAAAATGGTTTGGGGTGCTGATGTTAAGAGTGAATGTGTTGAATGGTATTTTAAGTTAGGGGAAAGTCCTGAAAGCGTTCGTAGAAAGTACATGGCCGTGTATCACCCCCGTAGCCCTCGTGCACCCTGTCCGTCAGCAGATTCTATTAAACGCTGGGTTATCGAGTTTCGTAGTCGTCGCCACTGCCTCAGAAAAGAAAAAGTGAAAACAAAGTAAGCACAACTAACAAAATAACATTTCTTTAGCTTTGTTGCCACTCCTGAAGTTGTTGCTAGAATTGGGGATGCTATTGCCGAGAATCCGCGAATATCTGTAAGGGAACTGAGCCGTTTTGAGGGTATACCTTCGAAGAGTACATGTAGTCGGAAATTGCGCGAAGATGGGTACCACCCATACAAACTTCAAAAAGTGCAAGAAATCTTGCCAAGGCACATAGTACAACGTTTATCGCATTCAAATGTTATGCTTGAGCAGCTGCAAAACAACGAGGCGTTTTTGGAAGAGCTAGTTTTTAGCGATGAATCCACGTTTCATATCCATGGCCGCTTAAATCGTCAAAATTCAAGGTGGTGGGCTAAAGAGAATCCTCACTGGTGTGTATCAGAGCCGCTGCATTCTCCCAAAACGAATGTGTGGGCAGCCATCGGGTGGAACGGGGTTGTGGGGCCTTTTTTCATTGATGAAAACATTAACGGGGCACGTTATTTGGAGCTGTTAGAGCAAGATGTGTTGCCACAGCTTCTACAGTGGCCAAATTCAGGTACGAAAAACAAGCAAAATACTAATTTATATCTTTTTAGCTACTTTGGTGTACATGCATGATGGGGCTCCGCCTCATCATAGCTTAGTTGTGCGCGAGTTTTTGAACACCCATCTGCCGGGTCGCTGGATGGGTCGGGATAGTCGCGGCGCTCCTCCTCCGTTCGTTTGGCCGGCAAACTCGCCCGATCTAACCCCAATGGATTTTTTCCTTTGGGGTTACGTGAAGGCAAAAGTATACAGTGTTCAAGTCGCGTCGTTACGCGAACTAAAGCAAAAAATTCGCGATGTGGTTGCGGAGATTTCAGTGGAAATGTGTCTCCCAACTTTGCGTAACTATCCGAAGCGATTGCGACGGTGTCTTGATGTTGGTGGTCAAAGTGTGGAAAGGAGTTACCCAGCAACCAACGATGAACAATCTCATTAGTTAGCGTTGTTGTTATATAGGTTATTGTTAATAAACTTTTTATAAAAAATATCGGAATAGTTTTAAAAAGTTAAATAAAAAAATAAAAATAATAATATTTTTATAAAAAAAATTTTAAAAATTTAAAAATTTTTAAATTTGTTTGGTAGAGAAGGGCTTTAGGGTACCAACAACTTTTTTCCGAAGAAAAACTATTAAAAATTGACCAAGATACGGCCTTCGCCGATTTTCTCCGCCGATCGTCCGCCAATGAAATTTTTTGAACTGTAAACTTGATTAAATGTATTAAAAAGCTTAAAATAACATTTCCATTTTTTGTCCGGTGAAAAAATATTGAGTTTGAGCGGAGTTATGGCCTTCGCCGTTTTTCTCCGCCGGTCGTCCGCCGATGCAGGGAAAGACATGTTTTGATTGGAAAGCGTTTTGACGAATCAGCAGGTGACATAGGAACCAAAAAATGAAGGTTTTGGATTGGTCAAAGCAAAAAAGTAGCCTCCGCCGGTCTCCGCCGACCATCCGCCGAATATCAAAAAACGAAGTACCAATACCAAATCCGCCCGCAATTTCAAGTGTACTAAAAAAAGAATCGTCCAATTTGGTCTGGTACTTTTCGAGAAACAAGCTTTTACTTTTCCGCAAAAATCTTGGGACACCCTGTATGTGTATCCAAACATCATTACAGCCCTTTTAATAGCCATTTCATACCCCCACTAAAAATTCTACAACTCCCACCCTCCCCCTTACCCTTTTAGGTACTGGTCGTATATCATCAGACATACACATTATACTGAAACGAGGATAATTTATGTGTGATAAACGAAATTGTGGCCCAATTTTCGCGAAAAATTTATTTTTTGACGAACCTTGACAGTTCATTTTGACAACCGGTTGTCAGTTAACATAACTCAAGGCTTTCAACATATGTACGAGCGAATTACTTGATTTTATGTTATATAGCTTATATATGTAAATTTATAAATTTTACAAAATTGAACTTATGTACGAGCAAATTATTAAATTCTATTTATAAATGTTGTATAGGGATGCGATAACCTATCAAGTAGTATTATTCATTTGGTAAAAAATTTTAACTTATGTACGGCCGAATTAATAGATTTTTTTATATTACTGTAATTCCTACTTTACCCTCAACCACCCATCTTATTCTAACTTATTACTGTTAGCCCTATCCTACACTACCTCATATAACCTTACTCTTTTTGCCATACTTCATCATATTGCATCCTACCTTACCCTACCCCTCGATATTGCACCCTACTTCACTCTGCCCTATCCTACCCCACCTTACATCAGACTACCTGATCTCACACTTCTCTAACTCACCCTACAGCACACTACCTCAACGTACCCTGAGTAAAGGGACCGCCCACTTGGGTGGATCCTAAAGCAGTGTTTTGCCGGACCCGTCCGGTCCGGACCGAGGTCCGGTCCGGAAAAAATTTTTTTTTTATTTTAATAAAACTGTTTTAAAAATTGCAAATAAAACATATTTTTAAGTGTTTTTAAACGTAAAGAAAGCAGTTTTAGCGCTCCTGGCTCTTTTTAAAAATAAAAAAAAATTTTTCCGGACCGGACCGGACCTGACCTTTTTGGCCCGGACCGGACCGAAAATTTTTCGGACCGGGCCGGACCGAAAAAATTCTCATCCGGACCGGTCCGGCAAAACACTGTCCTAAAGGCCCGATCTGAATCGGAGAGAATAACTTGTGAACGTCTGGGACGCGGTCGCGTCCCTTTTGTACCTTTATATTTGTAGGTCTGATATTTCCCTACCTTGGGATATACACTTTAGGGGTAAGTAGTAATCAATAAACTTGATAATATAAAAGATCTGGGCCATTATTTTACTTCTGCCCTAACCTTCCCTAAAAACCTTCTTCTAATTATTCTTAGTAAAAATTCGACCAACGTACACTTTAGTCATCATTATCAAAATTTATTAAAAATAATCGTACTTCAGCTCTTTTCAATGCCATATTTAGTTGGCATGTAGGTATTGCCCGCATCCAAAGCCCGATTCACAATGTAATAGTATATAGCTACACACGACGCTATGATCACACCAAAAACGTTTGTCCAAGTCGGGTTGAGGTCGTAGAACAAAAAGACTGACAGTCCATAAGCGACAAACAATTGAATTCCACTGGCCAATATATTGATCATGCTCGAGTGTAAAGCTCCACAGTAATTTAGACAGTAGAACAGAGAGACTTGGAAGCCAACTCCAATCGCTACCATAATTGTCAAAATGATGACAAATAGGAAGGTGGTACTAGTGGCTAGGTACATGAAGGAGTCTCGGATCTCGTCCTGAAGGTTTAGGTAATAAGTTGAGCATTTTTATATTTTTTGGGCTTGGAAAGACAGTTCTTGCCATTTTTTGTTTTGTAAAGAAAGTTCTTGCCATTATTAGTTTGTAAAGAAAGTTCTTGCCATTTTTTGTTTTGTAAAGAAAGTTTCTGCCGTTTTATGATCTGTAAAGAAAGTTCTTGCAATTTTTTGCTTTGTAAAGAAAGCTCTTGCCACTTTAAAACAAAAAGCCTTACTTGAATAAGATCAGCGACCAGCAAAACACACAAACAATTGAAGGCATGCATGTACAACACCTCCAACCATGAATTATATTGATCTTTGAGTTTTTCCATCAAAAATAGTGCGTAAGACTCCATGCAAACGGCCACAATGCCATAAATAATTGACCATAGGTCAAATGACCAATCGTATACGGCTGAATTTTTTTTAAAAATTTTTGTTGGCGTTTTTTACTATTATTTTTTAATTTAAAAATCAGCATGCGACGAAGTGTCACAAAATTTATTGATTATATGTGACGAAGTGTCATAAATTTCATTGAATTTTCAAAATAGCTTAAAAAAAGAAGAAATACTGATCGTATTTTAACAAATATGTCGTGCTTACAAGTTTCAGTTGTTGAAAATTAGTGAGTAACGAAATGTCACAAAAGTTATAGGGTTTCTAAAACTGCTTAAAAATGACAAAAATGGCATCATGTGACGGTACTTTAACAAATATTTCATGTTAATTACAATGTAGTAGATTGACGAAATGTCACAAAAGCTATTGATTTTTCTATTTTTACTGAAACAGTCGCAAAAGTATTTTTATTAGTACTAAAGGAAAGTTCTTGCAAGTTTATAGTTGTAAAGAAAGTTCTTGACGTTTTTTTGTTTTGTAAAAAAAGTTTTTGCTATTTTTTGCACCGTAAACAAAGTTTCCGTTATATATTATTAAAACTTACAAGCAGCAGCGGCAGACAAGCAAATCACCCCAATACATCCCATGTCAAACCTCGATGGCCTAGCCTTCCTATTGAAGTGTCTGTTCAGTTCAATAATCAATAATGGCGTAAATCTTTGAATAAAAGGAAACAACGGCATTGTAGTGCCATCCAAACAGTTTAAATTCAGAAAATGTGACATTATGTACAGTAATGAAGCTGGAAAGACATCTTTACCACGTTGAAAGGTATATGCATGCAGCTTGACTGAAGATGTCACTCTCAACACTTCAATACCAAACAACAGGACTGCCATTTGCATTATCAGTAGTACTATTGGGTAGTCGAAGAAAAATTTTGTCATTATGACACGGTTGAATGTACAGTAACATACTGAGAGGATACCGTAGGCCAGCATACTGTAATTGATAGTAGTATTATAAATTTAGGTAACAAAGTTAACAAAAGTTATATTTATTAGGTAGTTTAGAAATGTACTAATCACTGATTAATATTTTCTCAATTATTGTCACATATATTATGTCAATAAACAAAAATTTCCTGCACGGTGCAATGATTTTCATCTGCCATTATTTATCGTATAAAACTTTTAAAAGCAAGTTTTAAACTTTTCAATAAACTTCAATTGACATGTTCTTTCAATAGTTTTAACAAAAATATTGGTTATTTACAAAGTTATGATCTATCGAAAATAGCTGCACCGTGCAAACAAAAACATTTCTTTGTAAAATACGTACTGCTTTCTAAAAATTGGATAAAAATTAACAAAAGCTAACAATTTAAGACTTGTATGCTCTGAGAATTTGAAATCCATTTTGCATAGCCTTAAAATGATATTGGACGTATTAAAAGTTGGCTGCACAGTGCAAAAAAAAGAATACTTTGTAAATACGAGGAAATTTTAAAATTTAGTAAAAAGTGAAAAGATTTATAAATTTAGAAGTTGTTATAATCTTAAAACTTAAAATCTATTGCTTGTTTTTAAAAATGTCATTTAATTTAATTAAATTTGGCTGCACCGTGCAACTTTTTAATTTTTTTGCACTGTGCAGTCTTATTTTTATTTCTTTGCACGGTGCAGTTTAAACTATTTTAAAGCAGCAAAAACGTTAAAAAAATTTAAAAATTACCTTTTGACTGGAGTGTACATTAAAAAATCGACCACTTTGTTCATTTTTGTAACTTTTGTTTAATCAAAACTGGCAATTTAAATATTTTTTGCAAATTTTAAAAATTTTAATAAAAAATAATAAAAATTAGTATTGTAAAACAAAAATAGCCAAAATACAGTTAGAAAAGCAAGGTAATTAAATTTCAAATTCGAAAAACCACGTCAGCTTGACAATAATAGGTATGCATCCTCGCTATTTGATATTATCTACGACAGTTTGACCCATTAATGTAAGGAAAATCGTGTTTTCACGTCTTTTAAATTGCCGAATTCGAGAAAGAAAGAGGAAAATTTACAAAAAAAAACTATTTTTACGTTAAAAATGAATAAAAATAGCAATAACTTTCTTTACAAAACAAAAATGGCAATAACTATCTTCACAGTATGAAAAATTGCAAAAACTTTCTTTACGAGGGCCAAAACGTTTCGTTTCCGTTCCACAGTGCAGTTTTTTTTCCTTCCCAAACAAAAAAATGACAAACAATTTTTTCACGAAGAAAAAATGGCAAGTACTTTCTTTATAACACGTAAAATGGCAAGAACTTTCTTTACAAAGGCAAAAATGTCTATTTTCCGTTGCACAGTGTTTTTTCAAAAGCATTGCACAGTGCAATCTTTAAAACGCTTATAAAAGCTTTAAAAAACACTTTAAGCTCTAGTTGTAGCATCTATAGCTCTACCTTATAAAACAAAAAAAAATCAAAAAAAATTTTTTTTCATTTTATTTCTCAGTGAAAAATTCCCATAATCAGTAATGGCACAACGTTTGAGCAAAAGTAGAATCATGATTCCAGCCTCTGAGAGGCTGATTTGCTTCGTTTTGTTGGTGATACCAATTGTTTGCTTCGAGACCTAGTTGGTACAGATTGTGCCACTTTTTCCTTGCTACTTCTTCCTTTAGCACCAGCTGGTACCAATCTCTGTGGCTCAACAGAGACTTCAGAGCTTGCTTCTTCCTCGGATTCCTTTGATTCCTGTTTTGGTGCAGTTGGTGCCACTGGTACATTCTTTGCCACTTTGCGTTTGCTTCGTTTGGTCCTTCTAGTACTACTTTGATCTTGTCTTTGTGGCTCAATGTTAGTTTCAGAGGTTAATGGTGCCACTGTTAGCTTTTTTGACGGTGGTACCATTGGTCCCATTTTACCTTCCCTTTGTCTTGCCTCTCTAGTACTCATTTGATCTTGTCTTTCTAGCTCAGCGTTGCTTCCAGACGCAGTTGGTGCCATAGTTTCCGTCTTTAGTGCCATTGTTTCCATTTTTGGTTCCGCTGCTGCCACTAGTGCATCTTGTCCCATTTTCCTTTTGTTTCGTTTCGTTTTTCGAACACTGCCTTGATCTTGTAAGCCAGCTTGTTTTAGAGAACTGTCTGGTGCCATTTTTGCCATTGGTACCATTTTGGACGACTCCAACGTCTTAGAGACTTTCGCCATTGTTAAGCGACGTTCCACCGAGCACCACACGTACCAAATGACCATGTTGACAAGGAAGATTGGAGTAGAAGCCGGGAATTGCAAAAGTTCTTCAGCTGTGATCTAAAATGAAGTGTTATTAGATAACAAAGTTAAAAAAATTTTTTTTTTCAATTTTAGGCAACAAACTAAAATATTTTTTTAAATTGTTGTAGTCTTAACATACCTTTTCGACAGCCTTTTCTAATGTAAAATCAGCATAAGGTTCAGATCCATCCGAAAAGATCTCCCAGCACAACACTCCCCAGGAAAAAACGTCGCATTCCGATGTGTATTGACCAGTTCGTAGGGCCTCAGAAGCATACCTTAAAAAATAAAGCTTAATTTAAAAGAGTAAAATAATAAAAAACCCTACCTTACCCTATTCTAACCCTACCCTACCCTACCCTACCCTACTCTACCCTGCCCTACCCTACGATAGCCCTACCTTAGTGAACCCCTATCCTACCATAATAAACTACCGTATTCTTAACTTACCACAACCATTCCTTACTGTAACCCTATTTTATAATAGCCATTCTACTATATCACTACTCTACCCTAGCCATGCCATACTTTAGCCGTACCGTACGATAGCCATATCCTAGTTTAACCCTAGCCTATTATAGTCATACCCTACCATAGTTATATCTTAATGTAAGCTTACCATGTTCTAGTCACATGCTGCTGTGATCATGCCCTACCATACTCTACTTTATGTTTACTCTACCATATCCATACCCTACTCTAAGCTTACTCTACACTATTCATGCCCTACTGTAACCCTAACTTGCTTTAGCCACACTGTACACTAGTCCTAAATTACCGTACTATAGCCTTACGCTTCTGTAGCCTAGTTTAACGTATCATATCATTACATAAAATTACTGCGCCTCCCCTTTCTCTAAACTTTCAATACTCTGTATAACATACCATCGAATTGGAAAATCTTCATTCTCGTCCATTTCATGCGTTTTAGCAGTCACAGCCAATCTAAAAGTGCTCAATTTCAACGTTCCTCCCACAATCAAAAAACTCTTGGCTCGAATGTCGCGATGTAACATTCCCTTGCTATGTAGGTGCTCAAGTGCATATGAGGCTTGCAAACAATATGCAATCTTGGTCTCGACTTGCAGTGATTTCACTCTCAAAGCAATGGCTAATGGGGCGTCGGCTAGCTCCGTGACAATCAGTATAGGGTCTTGGAGAGCGGCTAAACCGTGGAAACGAATCACGTTAGGATGTTTTAGCAATCGCATCGCTCTAGCCTGAAAAATTTTAATAGTACTATGTAGTATGTTACAAAACATATATTAATGTGAAGTACTATATAGTACGATACTGAACTATATTTAAAACAGCACTATATAGAACAGCACTAAAAATATTGTTTTTAAAATTGTACTATCTTTTACAGCAGTAAAAATACTTTCTTATATAGTACTATATAGTACGGCACTTGAAATATTATTTTAAATGGTACTATATAGTACAATAAAATTTTTTTACAAAAATAGTATTATGTAGGGTTTAACAGTATGATACTAAACAGTACTATACTAACAATAATTTTAATAGTGCTATACAATACGGTATTTAAAAAATGCTTCGTTTCCTGATACTGTATGTACAGTATGGCATTAAAAAACTTTCCTTACAGACCAAAAAGTAACAAGAACTTTCTTTACAAAGCAAAAAATGGCAAAAACTTTCTTTACAAAACAAGAAATAACAAGAACTTTCTTTACAATCAACAAGTTAACCCACCTCATTCAAAACTTGTTCAATCTGTTTACTAGTCCAACTTTGCGTTTTGTGGACCTTTATAGCCACGGGGGTTTGAGTGCCATCTTTTTTCAACTTTCCTTCCAAAACTTCTCGGAACTTGCCTGCCTTCAGCTCCTTCACCAGTTCAATGTCACTATGCTTGAGTTGCCAAGGCAGTCGAACCATGAAACGGACAAATCTTAATGAAGGGTGTACTGTAAAGCCGGCAGGACCCTGCATAAGGGCGTTGATCAACTCTGGCACGGTTGGAAAGGATTCGTCATTGCCATGGCAGTAAAATGTGCCATCATCGGGAGACGGAGACATTACAAAGTGGAGGGTCTGGAAATCAAAATAATTTTTTTAAAATTATTAGGGTACGGTAAGGTTAAAAATTGTTAACAAAAAGATTTTTTTGTAATTGGGCGGGGTGAGGTTTTTATAGAAGTAGGTTGGGATCGGATAAGGTAGGATAAGGTAAAATGGGATAGAGTAGAGTACAGTAAGATAAGATAAGGTAGGGTGAAGTACGGTAGCATAAAATAAGATAGAGTAAAGTATGGTAGAGTAGAGTACGATAGATAAGGGTAAAGTACGGTACGTTAAAAAAAGGCACTGTAAGGTAGCGCAAGGTACGGTATGGTACGGTAGCGCAAGGTATGGTATGGTACGGTAGGGTAAGGTAGAGTAGGGTAAATTAAGGTAGGGTCAGGTAGGGTAGGGTAAGGTGGAGTAGGGTAAAAAATGTTATCAACCTACCCCCTCCTTGCCTTTTTCCTTGTTTTCAACAACTGAGAGAACAATCTTGCGTGACATTTCTTCTGGCCCAGCACTGATTCGAGTCAGAAAGTCACCGTCCTTTTTCAGTATCTCGTCGACGTCCTCACGTAGTAGGAAGCCATGGTAGTAATCTTCGTTTGGTAGGGTAGGGTCCTCGAGCTCGATCGCAGACCAGGACGAATTGTCATCGGAGGTTGGGCTTTGACCTGGACTGGCACGGCGATTTGGACTGGGAGTTTGGCTGGCACGGCGACTCCGGTTTGGACTGGCACGTCGGCTTTGGTTTAAATTGGCACGACGACTTTTGTCGGGACTGGCACGGCGACTTTTATTTGGACTGGCTCGTCGATTCGGACTAGGAGTTCTACTGGCACGGCGACTCCGCTCTGTACTGGCACTTCGACTCTGATTCGGAATGGCACGGCGACTTAGCTTAGAATTGGCATTTGGGTTCGACTTGGGACGAGGAGTTCGACTGGCACGCCGGCTACGATTTGAATTGGCATCGGCACGACGTCTACGATTGGAACGACGGCTTTGCGGCATTTTACCACCGAGTTTTGGTTAGATATTGATACGAAATAAACTGATTTTTGACGTTTTTGACTAATTTCAAATTAGAAAAAATTTTAAAAAACATTTTTTAGGCAAACCAAGACAGGAGAAATGGAGGGGGGAGGAGGGGAAAGGTGGAGGATGATAAAAACGCTACGGAAGAGTAGTAGTAATACGGTGGGGAAGGCTAATAAAGGTAAAGTCACGGCAAGCTAAAGTTAAAAAAAGCCCCCTCTATAAAAGTGGCGTACAGTACGATAGGGCCACAGTAAAGTAGAGCTATGACTAGCTAATGCTACAGTTCAGCTAGGTTATTGTAGGCCAAGATTAAGGTAAAGTAGGGTTGCGGTAAGACAGTCAAAGTATAGAGAAGAGTATCACAGAGTATGGTTACAGAAAGTAACTGCAGAAAAGGGTTAGTGTGGGACTATGACTGGGCAAGGCTAGGGTAGAGTAGGAATACACTCTCTCCCCTTCAGTGCCTCCCCCTCCCCCCCTCCCCCCCCTTCCCCCCCCTTCACCGCCTTTTTAAAACATTTAAAAAACAAGTTCACTAACTCATCCTCTCAACCCCCCCCCCTCTCCCTCCCCCTCCAATAAGCAAAAAAAGTTTGCCTCGCCACAATAAAAACAGACAAAAACTTTGTTTACAACATCAAAAAGTAAAAAAAAGCGAAAATTTTTCAAAAATTTTAAATTTTATTTTGAAAAATAAAACTCACAAAATCGGTCATTTGTCTTGCATTTTCTTGTATCGGGCAACAGTCCCAACTCCAGGGAATCTCTTCGCAATGGCCCTAAATCTGGACGATTTGTTGCTGCGGTTACTGAGTGTGGGCAAAGACCCGGACAAAAGCGGATTGACCAGAGTCGTTTTCCCGGACGAAATCGTCAGTATATGTAGTAAGTCTATCGATTTTTGTACAAAAAAGCAAGAACTTTCATTACAGAACAAAAAATTGCAAGAACTTTCTTTACAAACTAAAAAAATAGCAAGAACTTTCTTTACAAAACACAAAATAGCAAAAACTTTCTTTACAAAACATAAAATGGCAAGAACTTTCTTTACAATGTAAAAAATAGCAAGAACATTCTTTACAAAACATAAAATTGGCAAGAACTTTCTTTACAAAACATAAAACGCAATAACTTTCTTTCCAAACCCCCACTTTTCAGTCAAAGCCAGAGAAGTGTTTCTGAGCCAGGAATCGATGGTCGAAGTGGACCCACCAGTGAAGATTTGCGGCGATACTCACGGCCAATACTCGGACGTGCTGCGGTTGTTCAACCGTGGCGGCTTCCCACCACTTTCAAACTACCTCTTCCTGGGCGACTACGTGGACCGTGGACGTCAGAATCTGGAGACAATCCTCCTTCTGTTCACTTATAAGATCAAGTACCCAAACAACTTCTTTTTGCTTCGAGGCAATCACGAATGCTCCAATATCAACAAGACGTATGGTGGGGTATTTATTTATTTTTTATTTTTTTTTTCAAAAAATTAAATTTTTTAAAAAATTTTAAAATCCACATATATTTTCCCAAAAACTTCAAAAATATCACCCACGGCCTTCAAATCTACCCAATCAACCCGCACTATCCAAAAACCCGCAAAAAAACACGTTTAAATTTCCATTGCACCGTGCAAAACAAATTCCTTTCTTTTTTCACTGCACTGTGCAACAAATTCCCTTCTTCTTCACTGCACTGTGCAATCAAATAAAGAAAAACAGAGAGCGAGCGGTATGAAGAGACAAAGCAGAGAAAGAGATCGTTTGCGAACGTGCGGAAAAGGATTGCGCAACAGATCCTTGGGAATCTGGAGAAGTGAGAGAGCGCTGCGATATGAGAATGTTGTTAGAGAAGGCCAGAGAAAAACAAAACTGGCCTGATTTTTGAGATTTTGAGGGCCTCAAATTTGTCAAAAATCCTTTGATCATGGAGAATATTTGTGTGATTGAAGAGTAATATATAGTTTTACGTCGATCGGGCTACAAATTTGTGCTTTGACATTAATTTTTTAGGTAATAAAATATATTTTCCTTCGTTTTAGGCTTGAAATTCTTTGTTTTGGTAATTTTAGGCTAAAACAAGGAGAAAAGGCCTTAAATCTCTACGTTTTGATAACTTTTAGGTAGCAATCTGTTTTTTTTATTTTAGGTTTAATTTTTGATTATTTTGAAGTTTAGGCAACAAAATGGCTTTTCTTTGATCTTAGACTTTCGTTTTATAATTTTTGGCTATACAACGTTTTCCTTTGCATTCTTCTGTGGTTTTAGGCTTAAGTTTTGTTTATTTTGATAATTTAGGTAATAAACACCATTTTCTTTGATCTTAGGCTAAAGTTTCGCAATTTTTAGATAACAAAAATTAGTTCCTTTCGTTTTAGGCTTAACTTTTGCTATTTTCATTAATTTTAGGTAACAAAACCAATATTTCCTATGCTTTATTTTTTAAAGATAAAAAATGTTTTTAAAATTTCGTATTTTAGGTTTCGCAGAAGAATGCACGAGGCGATATCAATCGAATGGCGGCCGGATCTGGCAGTCGTTCCAAGACACGTTTTCGGTAATGCCATTAACAGGACTGGTCGGAGAGCGGATCCTGTGCATGCACGGTGGAATTTCGCCATTGTTGAAGTCACTTCAGCAGCTACGTGATGTAAAGCGACCAACCGACGCGCTTGGCCCCACCTTGGAAATGGACTTGTTGTGGGCGGATCCAGTTGCTGGTAAGGATTTATTTTACCTTTTTTTCGGTTTTTAGGTAATAATGAAGGGCTTTGTTGGTTTGTTTGAATGGAAAGTGCAAGAACTTTGTTTATAAAACAAATTATGGCGATAACTTTCTTTACAAAAGAAGAAATGGCAAGAACTTTCTTTACAAACCAAAATATGGCAAGAACTTTCGTTACAAGCCAAAAATACTTTATTTTAGGCATAAGCGGCTTCCAAGGGAACATGCGCGGAGCATCGTACGGCTTCGGATCGGACGTACTCGGCAAGTTGTGCCAAGAGCTGGATATTGACATGGTAGCACGAGCACATCAAGTAGTTCAAGATGGATATGAGTTTTTTGGAAAAAGGAAATTGGTAACAATTTTCTCGGCTCCATATTATTGTGGACAGTTCGATAATGCAGCTGCGATGATGGTCGTGGATGCTGGTTTAATGTGCTCATTTCAGGTAAATTTGAAAAATTGAAGTTTTAAAAATTAAAATTAAAAATTTTTTTTTTGGTTTGTAGGTATCTTTCAGTATCTAATTTGTCATTTGTTCATTTTATAAGTTCGAAAATGGCATTAGAAAGATGAGCTGCACCGTGCAAAGTCAATATAGTGATTGGACAGTGCAAAAATTTGTAATAGACTTAAAATATGGTTAAGATTTTGGGAAAAACAAATTTTTAAGAAATATGAATTTTTACTGCTATTTTTTAAATGCGATTTAAAAAAGTGAAATTATTTTAAAAGCAATTTCATTTTTATGGCAATTCAATAATTTTGCACTGTGCAATCAAAAAATTTCCTTGCACAGTGCAAAAATAACAGGTTTTTAGTTTTTTAGGCCTAAATATGATATGAAAGAGTCATTATAGACTATTTTAAAACTTTTTAGGTTTTGTAAGGGTGGGTTTTTATTATTTTTAAAAATTATTTCTTTTTCAGATTCTCCGTCCAGCCATTGGTCGCACCAGCGCGCGACCAGTCCGCACAACATTGGGAAAGGATTGACAAATCAAACTAACTTTTTTTTTGACAGAAATGAAGTCTAGAACTGTCAATTTTTGTTTTTTTTTATATTTGAAGGCTTTCATGTTTTGCACCGTGCAGTTTTTTTATCTGAAGTCTGCACAGTGCAGTCTATAATAGTTGTTGCACCGTGCAATCAATAATTGGCATTGCGCAGTGCAGTCAAGTATTTTATACATACTATGAAAATACGATAGTGTTTTATATTTACCATCTATATACGATGGTATGTTATGTTTATTACCAATATACGATAGTGTTTTACATTTATATGTCAATACGATGGTATGGTACAATTTCACATCTTAATCATGCCCCTAGCTTTATCCAAGATGTCCCGTTTGATTTTCGGGTATTCCGGAGACATACGAAGCACAGCATGACAAACATCAATACAATCAAATAAGCGGCGGCACTTTAGGTAATTGTATGCCAATTTATACCCGATACCAGGGCTTCGTTGTCGACACAACCTCCAGGCAAGTTCGAAATTGGCGGCCGCGTCATTGTACTTTTGCTCTTTTTCTCTCAAAAACCCCATATATTCGTAGGCTTTCGTAGCACTAGCATTGTACTGTAGCACAGTACGAAGAATCGCGGTCGCTTGGTCGTTCTTACTTTGGTTCACATAGATGTCGGCTAGGAGGAGCCAGCCTGGAAATGGAAAAATTGTGGTCATATCAATTATTATGGAAAGAACTTTCTTCACAAGGCATTAAATGGCAAGAACTTTCTTTACAAACTCACATTGTTCAAGATAATCGGAATCTTCAAGTGTCCATGGATAAGAATACACCTTTTTCAAATATTGTTTCGCTTTTTGAGTTTGTTTCAATAACATGTAAGCGCGAGCTGCGCCCAGAATCGCTCCGACATTTACCAAATCCTAAAATTTTATTTTGAATTTAAATGTTTTTAAAATTTTTAATTTCTGTTTACAATATGATTTTTTCTCAAATGTGATAATTTTTAAAGTTTGCACGGTGCAAAATAATTTCCGTTGCACCGTGCAGTTAAAATAACATTTCCCTGCACCGTGCAATTAAAAAATATTGATAAAACAAGAATAAAAGGGCATTTATTCTTGTTTTAAGCATTTATTCTTGTTTTAAGCATTTATTCTTGTTGAGCTTAAAAACTTTAAACTTACCGGTCCATTCGGATTGGTGACATCAGGGCCAAGAATTTCCAAAAAGTTGTCCAAAGCCGTTTGGACATTAGTTTTGTTTCCGCTGGCTAATTGAATGAAATTTGAAAGTAGTTCATGCTCACTGTTGTTCAGCCTTTTGCTCTTGAGCTCCTGGAAATGAAAAAAATTCAAAATTTTTCCGAAAAACTTGGGTTTTACTGTCCTAAGTTTAAAAATTGATTGCACGGTGCAAAGCGATTTTTTATTTTTTTTTGCATTGCACCGTGCAGATTTTTCAAATACTGTTAGAAACCTACAAAGTAGGTTTAACTACCATGAAATGTTAAGTATCAAAGGCATTTTACGTTTACTTTAAAACCCTGTTTTTAATAGTCAAAAGCTTCAAAATTGATTGCACGGTGCAAAATAATTAAAAACTTGCACTGTGCAATCATGTTCAGAACTTTTGGCTAGTAAAAGCCAAGGTTTAAAGTAAATGAAAAATGGCCTTGTTACCTAAAATTGCATGGTATTTAAACTTATTTTGTAGCTTTTCCAACAGCTTTTGAAAAATCTGCACAGTGCAACGGAATAAATAAAAAATTGCTTTGCACCGTGCAATGAAATATACCAAGCTGAGAATTAAAAAAAATAGCTTTGAAATGACCTTATTTCACCTATATTTATTTGTTACTATTACTAAAGGTTCACACCTTTAAAAACCGATCGGCCGTTTTAACAGCGATTTCTTTTGACTCATTGCGAGCTGCGCCCTCCTCATTCTCAAAAGTTTCTCCGCCAATAATTTCATTCTCCGGATTCATGCAGATATGAATCATGTTAACCAAGGCACGCTCTCCCCATTCCAAATCGCGTCGTGCTCTATTGAAGGCCTGAAGTGCACTATTTGGTTCGCCAGAGTACCATTCGATTAGTCCTTTGCAGAAATTGAAGCCGGCTTCAGTATTGGCTCGAGGGTTGTGTTCCAAAGCGTTTTTGACGTATTTTTCAACTTGTTCTAGGTCTCCCTTCCTCCAGCCTAATTCAATATAGCGGGCTAGGGCGTGGTAATGATTGGGGTTTCGGTCCAAAAGTTCGGAGAAGTATTTTAAAGCTGTGTCACCTTCGTTTTTCTGGTAATTTACGTCGGCCAGCATCTGTAAAATGACTTTTTGATGGGAGAACAGATAAATTTTATGTTTTATACCTAAAAATAACTATGTAAATAAAGTTTTAGCATTTTTTGTTTTGTAAAGAAACTTCTTGCCATTTTCCGTTTTGTACAGAAAGTTCTTGCCATTTTGTTTTGTAAACAAATTTATCAGCATCCTTAACCCATCCTTCTTACCAAGGTGGCCTCATTATTGTTCTTGTCCAAATTCTGAATGGCATTACATTGTTGATGACATAACGTGACATTTCCAATTGTCATATAAATTCTGGCTAGCTTGATCATGATTTGTAGATGAAAGTGCTCCAATGAGTCTGGCTCCGGATTCTCGACCATGTGAACGTCTCTTTCGTTGATGAAAATGGCTTCTTTATAGTAATCGATGGCTTTCGTATGTTCACGTCGCCGGGCGTGCAGGTCGGCTAGTCTGGCTGCCATTCTGAAATTGATATTGTCATCAGGAACGTCGCTACGGATTTTCTTGGAGCGGGGGGAGGGGGCGTATTTTACAACAAAAATCGAAATTTAAAACAGTTTCTGTATTAAAAAAGTTTTTAGGAGTTTCGCAATCTGCAGGTGATATCTTATCTGATGGGTCAACTTTTTTGATTTTTGAGGGTTTGTAAATAAAGTTCTTGCCATTTTGAGTTCTGTTAAGAAAGTTCTTGCCATTTTGAGTTCTGTTAAAAAAGTTCTTGCCATTTTTGTTTTGTAAAAAATTTTTGACTTTTGATTTTTTTAAAAATTTTACTTGCTCCAGACGTATTTTACCTACTCAGCAGCAACGCGTCGTTCCGCTTGAACATCTGGAATGTCTTTCATGGCCAATATCTTGTTCTGGAGGGTTCTGGCTTTTTCTTGAGCTGTTATAGCCAAGACCACATTGTTGGATTCGGAATGCATTTTAGATAATAAAATCCAGAATTTGACATGATTTTGGAGCTCTTGGAAAGCTGAAATGATCAAAAAGGTTATTTTAGGCTTAAAAAGAGCTGTTTTTGGTAAAAAAACGTTATTTTAGGTAACAAAACCCAATTGTTTCCTTGTTTTCAATAAAATTTTGGCCATTTTCCCAAAATTTTTCCCCCTCAATCTCATTTTCTGCCATTTTTAAATACACCAAACTAATTTTCTTACAATCTGGCTCCAGCGCTTCGTCAATCACATCCCTGAGGACCCGTTCACACTTTTCCAAATTGTTCAATCTCAACAATTGTTCAGCAAATCTCAATCTTAACAATGGTTGCTTGCTCTTCTTCATCGCGGCTTCGTAGAAGTTGATGGCTTTGTTGTAGAGGTGACATTTCACATAAGCATCCCCAATTTTCACCGCCAATTCATAGTTGTTTGGACTGCGACGCATCGCTGTTTCGTAGGCGTCAATGGCGTTGGTTGGCTAGAATAGCGGATTTTTTAGAAAATTTATCGACTGGTCGATAATTTTTGTGCCTAAAGTATAAAGTTGGCCTAAGGTTTGTGTGTAGGTTGTTTTTGAAACTTCAGGTAATAATATTCAGCAAAAAAAAATTTTTTATTTTTCGACCGGTTGATAATTTTTATTCATAAAATTTAAAACGTTATAGTGGCAGGTCACTTTTTGGAGTTTTAAGCTTATATTCTTTAGCGAAAAAAAATTTTTTTTTGAAAAATTTTATCGACTGGTCGATAATTTTTTTTTCACTTAAAATTAGGCCCGAATTATAATTGTAGGTCAATTTTGGGCATTTTAGGTAATAATTTTCAGCTAACAATAAAAAGTAGTATTTTACGTATATAATTCAACGTATTTTACCTCCTGAATGCTCATATACGCATCTCCAAGTAGAACATAGGTCTGTGAAGATGGATTATTATCCAAAATGGCTTTGTAACATTGAGTAAAATGGATGTGATCATGCTTATGTTCCAGGTAGATTTGTGCCATTTTCATTCGAGCTGCATTGTAATTTGAGTCTTCTGAAAATGAAAATTTTAGTTTCAATCTTACTACATCATGGTATACTACAGCAGAGATACGAAGTAGGGCAAGGCTACCGTAAGGTATGGATGTGGTAGGAATAAGGGGGTAGGAGTAAAGTGGGAGTAGTGGTAAGGGTAGGGCTAGAGCTTACCTGGTTTGACAGTCTCCAGCACTTTTAGTGCTCCATCAACGTCACCACGTTGAAGCCGCAGGGCCGAGTTCATTAGTACTAGTTGATGTTCTTCTGTTTTGCCTTGGTATCTTTTGATTGCTTGCTGCATTACTTGGTCTGCTTCTCTCTGAATGGAGTACGGTAGTGTTAAGATAAAGTAGGAATTCAGCAGGCAGGGCTGGAGGCATGGATGGAAAGGGTAAGGATATCTTGCAGTGAATTTTAGAAAGGTAAAAAAGATCGACTGGTCAGTAGATTCAAAGTAGGATACGCTAGATTTACAATAGATGAGGGTATGGAAGCTGTAGGGGGACTACGGTATTTCAAAGTTATACGTAGGTTTAGGGTAGAGGTATGAGTAGGGTATTAGGGGTACGAATGAGTGTAAGGACATGGGCAGGGGTATTAATATGTTTGGGTGAAGAGGTGGGGTAATGGTATGGGTAGGTAGCTTACAGTCTGCCCAGCCTGTTGAAGCAAATCTATCAATTCCAACATGATTTGAATTCTGTCAGCTTCAGTGACTTCCAATCGCTCCAAAGTCATATCTCTGCCTAGAAATGGCACATCTTTTACTTTTCCATAGGTTTTTCTGTTTTTTTTTCTTATGCTATCTTATCAGTCTTTCTTATTATACAATGTACTATAATGTTCAAATAATTCTCTGCTCCTTTCCAAAAAACATTTTTAGAGTTAGGGAGCACAGAATTATTTAAACAACTTAATAGCACTAGTTTTGTTTCAAAAAACTAAAATTTTTTGAAATTTGTTACCTAAAAATCCAAAAATATCTAAATTTCTAAGCCTATGTTACCCTGAAAAGCCGGCAGGTCAAAGGCAGACTTCAGCATCATGATGGCTTCTTCTAGCTTCTTTTCCTTTCTCAAGAATCGACTTTTGATCAAGTAAAAGAGGGGATGATCTCTGACTTTGAAGTTGAATCCAAGGCCAACGTCCAGGCATTTCGACGCTTCTTCCAGGTTATTCTTTTGGAGGTGGATCTAAAATATTAGATTGTTCACGTAATTCTGAGCCCCCTTTACCCTACAAGTTTGCTTTGAGAAAGGGCGCAGAATTAAGTGAACAACCTAATAGTGCTTAAATTGGCTCTAACATACTATCAAAACTATGAGAGTATCATGGCCTAACATTATATTTTAGGCAGCCTACCACAATATTAGAGCTACCCTACCTGAGCCATCAGCAAATGAGCCTCAGCAATATTGTTATTCTTTTCAATCGCTTTTTTCAAATAATTTTGAGCAGCATCGTTCTCCATGCACAGGTACTTGACTTTAGCTAACAAATAGGATAGTCTAGCTATGGCTGGGAAGTTGTCCGTCAAAACCATTAAATTTCTTTCGATTTCCTTCAGAACTGGATCAGGCATGTTGGAAGGGCTCAAAGGCACATATTCAAATAGACGATGAACAATTTCCATTACAAAAGTGGCATTGAGAAGCGTTAGATATTCTAGGCCATAGGTTTTTCCCTGGAAAATATTTTCTAAAATCTTTTTTTTTAAAATGACAAATATTGATTGCATAGTGCAAAAATTTAAACTTTGACTGCACGGTGCAAAATTAAAACATTGCACAGTGCAAACCTAAAAAAATAAAAGATGATCTTAAGTACATTTTTACAAATCAATATACCACATTTCAAACCCAGCTCTTACATGAACTTTGCCCATATGATGATCAACCACATTCCTCATAGCACCCAAGAAGGTCTCCTTGTTAGGTGACTTTTCATTATTGATTACCGCTTCCAAATACATGTATGTCTACAAATAACTAGTATATAATACAGTAAGTAACCCATAGTATCATTAAAAATTAAAAAAGTCAATTTAAATCTATTAAACCAGGTTTTCAATCAAATATATTAAGATAGACATCAACTATGCTCTAACATAATATAAACCTTTTTTTAGGTATGAAAAAGCCTTAGAATAAAGAAAAATTTGCTATAATTAACTTACAGTATCTTTTTCAACATCAGAAAATGTTGCTTTGACAAATTCCATCTGAGTTCTGGCATCATTCATCTTGTTTTCCGCGATATAACACTTGGTCAGCACTAAAACAATATAAATTTGGTCACAGTGATTGTAACTTTAAAGTTCTAAACCTTGGATTATACTCAAAATGTATCTCAAAGACCCAGATTTTATGTTATAACAAAATTAAGTAAACAAACAGATCAATTTCTATCAAAAGACCATGTTATTCAAAACAGGGTCGACCTTCAAAATAATTTTTTTTCTCTTTTTTTAAAATTTTCATAATCCCTACCAAACAATAACTCTGGCCTGGCCAGATTGTGTGTTTCCACAGCTGATACAGCACATTTCATAGCTTCTTTGGCATTCCCACTAGCTAGCAAAAGCTCTGCCTTTAGTGCAATTAATTCTTCTGTTTCTTTGATTTGTAATGCTTTGTCCACAAATCTCCTAAAGTTGAAAAATAGTTTTAACAGTTCAAAATTAAACTAACAATAGCATAAAAAATTTTTTTTATTAAAAATTTTGTCAACAAACGTAAAAAAATTGAAAAAAGAGGTTGCACCGTGCAGAATATTTAATGCTTGCACGGTGCGGCCAAAATTGATGGATCCGTATGCAAAAATAAGAGCTCCAAATCGCAAAAAAAAGTTTAATACATTTTAAAATAGTCAAAACTAATAGCTTAGTTCAAAAATAACGCAAATTTTCTAATAAATTAAACTACTACAACATGACCAACTTTTTTGCACAGTGCAAGCAATAACATTTCGCACAGTGCAGCATATAAAACGAAGTTTTAAAGGCTTACCTTGCAAATTGCTTCACAATATCATTGTCAATCGATACAGATGATAGGAATTGGGCAATAAACAAGCATAGCTCATAATTGGTCGATTCAAATTTGTTAACGGAATCATTTAGTTCTGATAAGAACATTTCGATTTGTTCCGCTTGGCCAGAATATACAATGCATTCTAGGCATTCAAATAGTTGAATTGGGATGCATTGACTCTGAAAATTTTTTTTTGAATTTTTTGAAAAAAAAACCGTTATGATGATTAAAAAATGCAATATTAAATGTCTGCACCGTGCAAAAAATTAACATTGCACCGTGCAAGTAAAATTTGGTGCGTATAAGACGTTATTAAATATGGAAACCGTATTTTACATCAAATTTTTAATTTATACCTGAATTAAAGTAGCTTGTTGTGAAGTTTCGCCAATTTCTTCCCACTTTCGACTCATTATCAATACTCTAATCAATTCAATAAACCCTGCCAACAAAGTTGGATGTTGTTCCACTAACTCAGTGCAAATTTCTCGTAATTCAACCAAATTATTTCTAAAATAGTATTTTTTTAGTATTTTACTGTAAAAATTCATTTTATATACAAAAAAGTGACTGCACCGTGCAATCTCCTTCTTTTGCACGGAGCAAACGACAAAATTACGTTTTTCTACAAATTACGAACCAAAACTAAAAAAATCAAAGGCAATAGAAATTCAATGTCTAAAAATAAATTTGAAAAATAAAAAAAAGCAAAAACTTTGTTTACAAACCTCATTTTCATTAACTGAATCTTCCCCAAATAACCTTCAGGATGATTGTCCATCTCCATCGCCGCTTCAAACTTCTTCATAGCCAAACTCAAATCTCTTCCCCATAGCACTTCCAACCATCCTTTTTGCTCCGTACACTAAAATAAAGTCATTATCGCACTGTGCAATCACCCAATCTCTAAATATTTTGCACCGTGCAGTGAAATTTCCATTAACCGTGCAGTAAAATCAAAAGACTAGACCGATCAAAACTACAATGATATAAGAAAGCAAGCCTCTTTTAGTTAGACAACATCAAAAAATTAAAATTTTTTGTTACAGTAAGAAAATAAGTACTACAAAGTTTTCTTGCACTGTGCAAAATTTTATAGCCATTTTTTGATGAACTATTAGTAAAGTTAAATTTTTTTTGTAAAAATGTAAAAAAAAATAAATATTTATAATTATGTTTGCAATTATCAGTAAGCTACATGCATTTCAAACTAAACCACCGCCTGCAGCCTGCGAAACTCAAAGTCCAAGCCGCGCCCAAATTTCGTGAGATTATTTTGGTTTTTAATGTAATTTTGATTCCTCTACTGATAACAATGTCCCTTCCGTCTAAAATTACGTAATTTCTGACCAGAATCTCGCCAATTTATGAAAAAGCACACCAAACTACAGACTACAGCCTATATTATGTTGTAGTATGTGTGTTAATGTGATGTTCTTGATTAATTTAACGAAATGAACCATAAATTACAAAACGCAACAACTTTTTCATACAAGCTCCACCAAAAAATATCGTTTTGAACAAATCATATTGTACTTGCCGTTGAATTATGCGTATTCGAGTTTGTGACCCGGTCGATCAGTGGTTTCGCTCGTTCGTAGTTCTTTTCAAACATGTATAATGTCCCGCAAAGGAAGGCTCCACGATCGTGCGACTTTGCCCAAGCTGCCTGAGCTTTTTCTTCGACGTTTCGAACCGAATCTTTGTCTAAATTCGCAATGTTTTATGTCTTTTCATTCAAAATTTATATTACACTTGATACTTTGAAGAGGGAGTTAGAAAACTGGCCGTAAAGTCTTCAATATTAAGCAACGCACTTACCAACTACTGTTTCTAAAGAATATGCAATCCGTAGAGCATTGAAAACGGCCAGATCTAGGTCAGGTTCATCTGTCAAAGCGTTTAGAATTCGAATTGCATCCGCGGTTTTACCTAAAACAGCCATGGATAATATAAGTCTTTCCTCGTTTCTTTAAGATATTTTAAGTCAACCTTTGCATCTAAAATAAAGACAAGAATATAAAGAAACTACTCACCAATTTTTGCCAAACAATAAGCCTTCAGAATCTGAATTTGACGTTGATCTTTGACGCGCTTCAGAGAATCGTCACATAATCTGGCCGCACTGCCAAAATAATTGTTTCTAATGTAATAATTGATCATGCAAAACACTTCCGGATCAACGTCCATGTTTTTAAGATTCTGTATGTTAATATGAGGTGTATTTGATGTTTCTTGGCCATTATTCGTGCGCGGTTGAGGTGGGAGGGTTGTCATGGAGATTAGCGTTCAGAATAATATTTTTTATGCTGAAACTTTAAGAAATTCATTTTTAAGCAAGTTTAAACTATAAAATTTAATATAAGATGTAAATAGAGGTGTACGTGAACGTTTCCAGGCCTTTTCAATGTAAAACACTATTTTGTCCGGTCACCTTTCAGCGTATAAAGAGAGCGCGCGGGCTGCAGCGTTTAAAAACTGCGGTTGGGCGCGGTTTGCAAAAGGAAAAAATAATTTTTTATGGAAAAATTTCAACATTTCTCAATGTTCTTATCAGTATCTCACGTTCGTCGTATATAAACCCATTCGTATCTCACATGAATCATTATTTTCAGACGTCACAATGGACGCTCCGCTTGGATTTTTACCTGATGGCCCGGTTTATTTGCAGTTGACCGTCTACTTAACCTTTGCAATCTCATTACTATTATTCTTCTGCGCTTTAATCAACTTTATAACAACCTTCCGCTACTATAGACACAACTTGAGCAGACAAGTCTTAGATGGAGGAGTATTGTCGCTTGGATTCTTCTTCAGCTGCGTATTAACCTTGTTATCCTTGGCAATACCATGGGTTTATTGCGCAGCGCATCTGCACGATGTGCTACGGATAAAATATTTGTTGGGAATATTGTTGGGGGCACACACTTTGTTTTGGATGTCATTTGGAGTCAAATTGTTCTTCACAAGATACGAAAAAGTCGAGTCAAAGTTCACCTTGATCTTCAGTGTGGTCTACATGGTTTTGTTGATTGTGCCGGTGTTTATGGGCGATATATTTGTGAAATTGTGAGTTTAAAAGTTTGATTATATTGTTGGTTTTTAGTGACGTGCACAGTGTGTATGGAAAAGTGTACATCTTCCAGTTTTTGAGCGCTTTTCTTCTGTTGATCGGAGTTTTCTTTGGATGGAATCGACCAAAAGCTTCAGATTCGGTATGTTTCAACTTTACTTTGACTTAAATTAGTTCTAAAACATGCTTACTTATCTACTGGAGCTTTTCCACAAAAATATTTAAGGCTAAAGCATCTTATATTACCTAAACTTATCTATTTAGGGACTGGCCGAGTTCTACAAGAAATCCGAGCTGATTGCCAAGTATATGTGGCCAAAAGAAGCTCATATGGTTAAGCTTCGTATCTTCCTATGTTTCTTAACTATAATAGCTGGTCGGATTATTAACATTATTGTTCCATTATACAGTAAATGGATTGGTAAGTTGAATATGATCAAATTTATATTATTCATGTTTAGTTGATGCTCTCACTGGACCGGATCGTTATTTTTGTTGGGGCCTGATTTTGGTAGCGTCGATTTTGAAGTATCTACAGGGAAATGGAGGTATGTGCTTTGTTTTTGTTGATTTTTAGGTGTTGGTTTTGTGAAATATTGAAGTTATGAGGTATTTTTGGAGGTATACTTTTGGTGGTCAAAGATAATAAAGTTTCTGTGGTTTTAAGCGGTTTTTTTATCTGAATTTGTTGAAAAGTGAATATTTGGTATGAAATTTGATAAAAATAATACATTTTTAAATTGGGTCTTTTATAAAATGGCACTTTTTAGCTATGGGAGGCTTCCTAAACACTATAAGATCAGTTGTATGGTTATCAGTCCAACAATTTACTACATTAACTATCGAGACTGAAGTCTACAAACACTTGCTTCTTCTACCGTATTCTTGGCATATCAACCGCAAATCGGGCGAAGTTTTGAAAATTATTGACCGAGGAACTTCATCCATTGACAACTTCCTTAATTACCTTCTTTTCAACATTGCACCAACAATCATTGACATTATATTATCCATCTTCTTCTTTGTATCAGTATTTGACATTTACTTTGGCATATTGGTTACGGTAACAATGGTGGGTTACATGGTGGTGACGGTATATGTGGCACAATGGAGAGTCAAATTCAGGAGGGAGATGAATGTGGCGTCGAATGAGAGTTCGGCCGTTGCATTGGATAGTTTGATCAACTACGAGACGGTCAAGTACTTTTGTAATGAAGAACTTGAGAATGAGAGGTACAAAAAGAGTATCGTCAAGTATCAAGATTGCGAGAGGAAGGCATTATATTCTCTACAGTTTTTGAACGGTCTTCAGAACTCGATTCTTGGCATAGCTATCCTAATTGGCAGTGTCATGATGGCCTATCAAATCACACTTCCAAATTCAAGGTTATCAGCTGGTGATTACGTTCTGTTCACTACGTATCTACTACAACTTAGTGTACCATTGAACTTCTTTGGTACTGTATACAATATGATTCAAAGAAGCTTCACGGACATGGAGAACATGTTTTCATTGTTGGCAGAACCAGCTGAATTTTCAGACGATGCCAACAGCTACAATATTGAGAATTACAGAGGGTTGAGGATGGACAACGCCAAGTTTCAATATGTCAACGATCGGTTGATCCTGGACAATGTTAGTTTTTCCGTGGCTGAAGGAAAGTCTGTTGCGTTGGTGGGAGCGTCTGGAAGTGGAAAATCAACGATTATACGGTTGTTGTATCGCCTTTATGATGTTAACGAAGGTAAGGGAGAAAAGTTTAATTTTTTGAATTTTTTAAAGTCGGATATAACATTTATTTTTAATAACAAAGTAAAATACGCCATCCGGACCGATATATTTGTTGTGAAACTTACTAGGAGACCTATTTTATAACTTTAAAAAGATTTATCTTAACTTTGAACAATTATTTTAACGTCTTTTAAGTACATTTTAATAGCCAGACCATACTATAAGGTCTATTCCCGCTTTTTATAGGGCTATATATTTTATTAGATGATGGTTAATATAAATTTAATTTTCGGTGCGAAAAAACAATTTTTTTGTAAAATACGAATTGGCCAATTGAAATAGAACCATGCACAGTATTTTAAAGGCATAAAATGGCACTTTACTGATAACATAACCTTAAAATGGCACAAAAACGACTGAAAATGTATATTATTTTAGGATGTGTTTCAATGGGTGGAATGGACGTGAAAATGTTGAATCTACGACAACTTCGAATGTCAATGGGAATTGTACCCCAAGATTGTGTCCTCTTCAACGAGACCATCGAATACAACATCAGATACGGTCGGCCGGACGCTACTTTCGAAGAAGTTGAGAACGCGGCCAAAGCGGCTCAAATTCACGAATTCATAACCAGACAACCGCTCGGATACAAGTGTGTTGTTGGTGAACGAGGGCTGAAGCTGAGTGGAGGAGAGAAACAAAGAGTTGCCATTGCTAGAACGATACTGAAGGAGCCACATTTTATCTTTTTGGATGAGGTAGGGCAGTTTTTTTTTGCGTGTACCGGCCGGGCAATCTTTTTTTTTTGAGGCTTAGGGGTCTTTTCATTGTTTTTTGGGTTTTTACTGTACCATTCTTTGAAAAAATACTCCGCCTTACACTGGTTGAAGGTGTACTTCAATTTTTCATAAATTCGTACAAAAAATTAAAAAATAATATCAAAAATGCATTTTTACAACCGAAATTTTAGGCAACATCATCTCTGGACTCAAAAACCGAGCGTCAAATCCAATCGGCTCTAATGGAGCTCTGCAAAGGCAAAACCGCAGTAATCGTAGCCCATCGCCTTTCCACCATTGTAAACGCGGACAAAATCGTAGTATTGGATCATGGCCAAGTCCTCGAGGAAGGCAGTCATCAAGAACTGCTGGCCAAACAAGGCACATACGCCAAAATGTGGGAACTACAACAAGGTGATATTACCACTCAAAACTCGTCAAACGATCTAAAACTAGATGCCCAGTGAAGGTAACACACGATCTCAAACAGGATTCAACACCTAGTGTCATTAACAAGTCTGTCTAATCGTCTGTCAGTCAGATTTCAAGTAGGTCTTATATTGTTATAGGTTTTAACGTCAGAAATGGGTTATTATTACGATTTTTAGTCACGAGCGTTTGTAAAACAGGTCATTATGACAATTTTAGCTCGAAAAGTGTAAAAATTTGGTAATTGTTATAGTTTTTGGACGACACGTCTAATAGTTTCGTTATCATTAAGATTTTGAGTTGAAAAGTTAAAAAATAGGTCATCATGACAATTTACGTTGAAAACATTAAAATATAGGTCATTATGAAAAGTTATGTCGAAAACTTTAAAAAATATGTCATTATGACGATTTATATCAAAAACGCTAAAAAATATGTCATTATGACAATTTATGTTGAAAACTCTAAAAAATATGTCATTACGACAATTTTAGGTTAAAAACTCAAAAAATTGTTCATTATGATAAATGTCGGCCGAAAAGCCTAATAATGACTTCATCATGACGTATTATATTTAAAAAAAGTCTAAAAATCAGGTCATTATAACTTTCTTAAAACAAAAACTGTTTAACAATAACGGAAATGTCTATAAATTGTGTCATGATCTGACGAACAACTCTATATAATATTTTATGAAGACACACTTTTTTTAAAAGTTTTAAACATTAAAAAATGATTATTTGAATGCTCAACTACTATTTTTTTTCCTACTTACACTCAAATCATATTTTTGTATAGGCATTAACTTTTCTTAATTTTTTTATTTAGGTCTCTAAAAATTTGTAATAATTTTTTTATGTTCAAAAACATTGATACTTTCTTCTTCATAATGTTAAAATTAGGTTTTATATTTTTTTTGTTCAGTAATAAATGATAAAAATTAGATTTTGATGATTACTGAAGCTGAAAAATTTAGTTATCTATATATTACAGTGAAACTTCTGAATAACGAACTGCTTGGGGATTTCAAAATTGTTTTTTGTTATACAGTTTTAGATGTCCCTTGCGGTTTTTGCTTTGGATTAAAAAGTTGTTCTTTATACGGGGCTTCTAGTGTATTTGGACCTATAAAGGGACCGGGCCAATTTTTTTCCGCCCCAGCCCTCTACCCGGGCCTTGTTTTGGCTCCAGCTTTCGAGCTTACATTTGTCGGCCGGGCCCTTTTCAAAGGTGGGAGGCGGGTTGAGGCTAAGCTGGGCCTACTGGGCCAGTCGCACAGTATTAAGGTTATAAACAAGTTTTTTTATAAGCGCGGCTTTTAAGTTCTTATAAGCGCGGCCATTAATTTTTGAAACCGCACTGTGCGTAATATTAAAAGTCCAAGGATAAGGCGGATTTTCGCTTGAATTGAGACAATTTTAGCCGGGTAAAAGGGCAAAAATTTATAAAATTTTGTTTTTGATTCGAAAACAAAGGTTTTGGTAAATTTTTGAAACCCGAAGTTTAAATTGTTTCATTAATATTGATATTAAAAAATTGTTTTTCTTTTAATATATTAGGTTGTTCAAACAATTATGTGCTACTTAACCCTGAAAATTTAAAATTTGCTTTGAGAAGGAGCACAGATTTTTTTGAAAAACCTAATAAAAATATTTTTTTTTGCTTTTCAGATTGTTCGTTTTTAGAAAAAGTTGAAAAATGTACTCCCAATACAAGGAACAGATCGAAATTACACCGATTTCATTGAAAATTTGCCATTCTTTCCACGAATCGTCGACCAAAATTGATGTCAAATTTGTTCAAAAGTGCTTGGATTACACGAAAATTGAACAAACTGGTAAGTGGACACTTTATTTTGTACATTCAGGGACGAGTGTAGCAAGGAGGAGGTGGATTTCCGAAAAAAAAATTTTTTGAAAAGTTAGACCCGGTCTCGTTTTTTTCGAAAAGAACCGTTACCTTTTCTTATCCTATCCTACTCTAGTCTATTATACTATACTCTACTCTACTCTGGTCTATTGATAACCTACTCTTAATTTTCCTCTTTCTATGTTCTATAATGCTCATTGCAATACCTGTAAATTGATGATTTTGGGCGGTGTTACCTAATGTTAATAAGATTATGCAATTGAATAGCCTTAGAGAAATTGCAAGAAATGGTATTACGCAACTTTTTCTTATGTAATATTTTTTAATTTCATAATATTTGCCTCGATGTAAAACGACCCAACAAATGACTGCGAGTGCTGGGATCTTGCTATAAATTTCAGCGAGGCATCTTTTCATCGTCACATTACCTTTAGTCCTGTTTCTTGCCTTAAGTCTTTCCTAACAATGTGTCCTACTCAATAAAGTCTGATATGTTCCAGAAATGTACCACACCTTCTGACCGAAAGTCTACTCTAAGTCAAGAACTACGGAGATGCCTTTGCCCTACCTTTAAAACTATTGTATCCAGCCTAATTTAAAAATTATTCTTTTTATTTTGTCAAACTTTTATATGTACCGCCTTTATACAGTGTTTTGCCCGGACCGGTCCGGAGCGTTTTTCACCGGTCCGGTCCGGCGATTTTTTGGGTCCGGTCCGGTCCAAACTTCAAAATTTTGGGTCCGGTCCGGACCGGTCCAAATCCAAAATTTTTGGGTCCGGTCCGGTCCACAAAATTTTTTTTTTTAATTTTTAAAAAAAAGCAAGGAGCGCTAAAACTGCTTTTTTTTGCTTAAAAACTCTTAAAAATATGTTATATTTGCAATTTTTAAAACAGTTTTTTCAAAATAAAAAAAAAATTTCTTCCGGACCGGTCCGGAGCTTTTTCTTCGGTCCGGGTCCGCAGGTTTTTGGGTCCGGTCCGGTCCGCAAAAATTTCTGTTTCGGTCCGTCCGGTCCGGTTCGGCAAAACACTGCCTTTATACATTTTTATACATATCCTGCTTTACCCTGTCTTGCCCTACTTTACCCTCGTCTACACTGTCTTACTTTTCCTAACTCTGTCATAGTCTGTCTTACTCTACTCTATCTTACCTTGCTCTAGCTTGCCTTACCTTACCCTACAATGCCCTACCTGACCCTGCCGTACTTTATCTTACTATACCCTACTCTTCCCTTCTCTACTTTTCTCTATCCTAATAACATTTCCGGTCTTACTTTTTTTTCTGGATTTGTGCTTTTTATCGTTTTTCTATCCTTGTCTTGTCTTAACTTATCTTGCTTTACTTCAAAGGCTTTTAACTTTTAGTAGTCATATTAACAGGAGTTTCAAAATTAAAAAAAAAACATCAAAAAACAATTTCAGTAACCCACCAAACCGTAGGCCAACTGATTCACCTGGAACGGAAGAAGAATCGACTGAGAAAAGAGCCAGTTGTCGATGAATTTATGAATATTCAAGGGTGGAAGATAAAGGAAGAGAACCAGAGTTGGAGTCCGTTGAGTGATCGTAGGGTTAAGTTGAAAGATAGAAGGCTACGAGAAGATGAAGTCGACCAACTTGACACTGAAGAGCCTCCAGAACTACCTGATGTTGAACTAAATGATTATCCGGCGTGGGAAGACATGCTTAAAGGTGGGCATGGTTTTTTGGATATTAGGAAGGAGGTTAAGCTTTTTTTTGGGTGGAGGGGTGCGAAGGGTAGATATGGGGGGGTAGATTTTTTTCAAGGCAGGGGTAATTAAAAGGCAGCGTAGTGGTCAGGGGCGTCGCTACGGAAAAATGGGTGGAGATCCAAAAAATTTTTTTGGACCACAGGTAAGCTACCTGTGGACTGATTTTTTCAAAAAAAATTTTTTTTCGAGGGGGTAGGGGTATTTAAGTTTCATAATTTCAGGCATAGAACGGTATGCACCGCAGCTAATGCTGGTTGAAAACGATGAAATAGCGATGAATTTGACCCAAGAATTGGAAAAACACTTCCTCATATGGAACTCTGATCCGGTACTCAACTTTCGGTCAGAGTATGAACAATATCTGGTCGAAAATCGACAGTAAGTAATAACTTTCTTTACAAAACGTAAAATTGCAAGAACTTTCTTTCAAAAACAACAAATGGCAGAAACTTTCTTTACAAAATAAAAAATGGCAAGAACTTTCTTTCCAGTATATTTTTCGACAAACGACCGTTCTGGACCTTTGACCAAAGTTATCAAAGTGCCAGTCAGAATATATCGAACACTCTCCTCGTTCATCGTGCTATTTCGAATCATTTTTGGACCACAGTTGTGCCAAGACTAACTTATCCCTGGGATCAGCTGTTATTGACCCAACTATTGGTTCAGGATCTGAATGCTAGGATTGATGAATATTTGAAGAATGCCATGAAGGTTACCAAGTTTGAGTGAGTTACCTTACTCTATGTTTTCTTAACGTACTTTCTCTTACAGTACAGTATCCTATCTTACCCTACCCTACCCTACCCTACCTTATCCTACCCTACTCTACCCTACCCTACCCTACCCTACCCTACCCTACCCTACCCTATCCTACGCTACCCTACCCTACCCTACCCTACCCTACCCTACCCTACCCTACCCTACCCTACCCTACCCTACCCTACCCTACCCTACCCTACCCTACCCTACCCTACTCTACCCTACCCTCCCCTACCCTACCCTACCCTACCCTACCTTACCCTACTCTTCGTGTCCTACTCTAACCTAGCTTACTACTGAATTTCAGATGGGCTCTGGAGATATGTGAGATATTACTGGAGAAAAAAGAATGCTGGATAGAGGACCTTACCCATGATATGAGAAGGAATCAGTTCTTTAATTCGATCGCTTCACTCCAAGCCAAGTTATTGAGGGATATCATATACGAAAATGTGGAATGTTTAATGGCTGAGCTTATGAAACATAAAAGTGTAAGGTCTTTATTGATTTTTTTTGGAAAAATTTAAAAATTTGAAAAAATGGTACAAGGTTGAATAAATGGCACTAATGGTACCACTAGTACACTTTTTGGTAAAAGCCTGAAAAATGAATTTTAAAAGTTTTATAGTGATTATAATGTTATTTTAAAGAATTTTCATAAATGGTACTGTTGGTACCGTAGTGGTACTAATAGTACAATTGGTACACCTTTTTTATAAAAGGTCGAAAAATGAATTTTTTGAGTTTTATAGTGATTACGAAATTATTTTGAAAGTTTTTTGTAATTGATACTATTGGTACAGTAGGTGGTACTACTGTTACATTAGGGGTACTACTTTGTACACATGGTGCATTTTTTGATTAAAAATGAAATTTTAAAACCTTACAGCAGTTTTGAGACCATTTTAAAAGTTTTTTGTCAAGTAGTACCTTTGTTACTAAACTGGTACTACTGGTACCATTCCTAAATTTTTGGGTGCAAAAAATAAAGTTTTAGGTTTTATATTAGTTTTGAAGTTATTTTGATCAAATTTTGTTAATAGGTACTAATGGTACCGGTGTGGTGCTAATGGTACACTTTTTTGGAATATTTTTAAAAAGCATAAACTTAAACGTATTTTAGGAAATTTTGAAAAAAATGTTAAAAATCATGAAGAAGCCTAAAAACATTTATTTTCAGAGCAACACATTTTACGTAAAAGTAGAGCTGGAAGATTTATCGACCGAAAACTACAGTGCATGGGCGATTGCGAAACGGTTGATCGAAATTGGCGAGGATATTGTCCGAGTGGAATGTCGCCTTTTTCCAAACATGTATCCAGATGAAAAGACCTTCTCCATAGCTTCCAGTATTATCATGCAAAAGTTTTACATCGAACCAATTCAGCCATTTAATAAGGTTTTGGAGGATAAAAATCGACTGGAAAAGGAAATTGCAGGTATTGAAAATATGGAAACGACTGAGGATGTAGAGGGGCTAGAATGGTAAGTTTCGATTTTATTGGGATCTGTGATGATAGGGGGGGGAGAAACGGACCTGTAGGCTTAGTCCGGTCTTGAATTTTGGGGTTGGGCCGTGGATTGGGCTTGATAAGTAGACCAGGATCAAAATTTTTTTAAATTTTTTTTAAACCGTCTAGGCCAAACTGGGCCTACAATTTTTTTTTGACTGGGCCGTGTAGGCTAGGGTCTATGCTTTTTTAAATATGCCGGCCTAGACCGAGCCTCCAATTTTTGTGACTGCGTTTCGTAGGAGCCTGGCCTTAAGCTACATTTGGAACGCCTAAATGTTGGGCTTAGCTCCGGGACTGGGCTTGAAAAGTAGGTCGGACCCAAAAGTTTTTAAATTTTTTAAAACGGGCTGTGTCGGACTAGGCCTAAAATGTATTGACCGGGCCGGTTTAGCATGAGAAAAAATGAAAACAACCCGGGCTTAAACATTGGGCCCCGGGCCTGGGCGTGGTTTTTTAATCTCAATTTTTAACTAGATTTGGGTAAGGCAAGGTAGGGTAGGGTAGTTTAGGGTAATGGCCGGGATCAATTTTTCAATCTAGTTTATTTCAAAATTTGAAAAAATATACGTACTTTTATGGCTTGTACTTTCAGCTAGCAGCAAATCTTCAAACCTTGGAAAACAATTCCAAAGTCATCAGAGTTTACTGGTTCAGAGAGCCATATGAATTTGATTTTACAGATGTTAAAACAGTTTTACTGACTTCGATAAAAGGCTTGAGGACCACATTACATGGAAAAGTCAGCGGATTCTTGTATGAACTGATGAAGGAGTAAGTGGTAACGCCCTGGCCTTGCCCTTGCCCTGCTTTGCCTGATCCTGTCTTACTTAACATACCCACCTTTTCCAGCCGTATTTTACACTACTCTGCCTCTAGCGTATTCTACTTTATCATGCCTTACCTTGCCATGCCTTTTTGTAATTTTAAATTTAAAAAAAATTAAGTTTTAAAGAATTTTTACAAGACGTAACTTGCAACGGCGTATTTTACAAAAAATTGTTTTACAAATATTTATTTTTAGCATTGTGGACTTTTACACATTTGCCTCTCAAAAACTTTATGGACATGATCAGCTGGTTCAAATGTACAAATTGGTCGAAGTTCGTGATCACGACTTCCCAAAATTAAAAGAAAAATTGGAAAATCTGCACAAATGCTTCGGAATCTTGTCGGAACAGTTCAACTTCAATGGTATGGAAAGAAAGTTTTTGTTATTTTATGTTTTGTAAAGAAAGTTCTTGCCGTTTTATGGTAAAGAATATCCTTGCTAATTTTCGGTTGTAAAGGGAGTTTTGGTTATTTTATGTTTTGTGAAGAAAGTTATTGCTATTTGCAGAAATAATGCTTCAAAAGTACTACACAGCAAGTCGAACATCGTTCAGAATGAGCTACTTGATCAATTTGGTTTGGCAAAAGTTAATGGTTGATAAGGTCCGCATTGAAAAAGTTGTACGTTTTTTTACATTTTTTCTACCCTACCCTATTCTACCCTCAGGGGCGTCGCTACGGATTTTTTCTGGGGGGGGGGTGGAGGTATTTTTTTTCGATTTTTCGCGTACAGATGGAATTTTTTTTTGTGCCTGTGGAATTTTTTTCGGATTGGCTCTGGGGGGGGGGTATCCACCCCCCCTCTACCTCTCTCCCCCCTAGCGACGCCCCTGCCTACCCTACCCTACCTACCCTACTTTACTCTACTTCTACGTTGCTTTTGCCCTACCTTCTCCTTACCTTTGTCCTGCCTTTTCTTTTTCTACTTATCTAGCTTTGGTACTGACTGACATTTTATGGGTTACTGTAATTGGTTATTATTTATACTATAACTTTGTTGAGTCTTACCGCTATTTATACTTTTCTTTTTGTACTTTTTCATTCACTACAAGACGGCATATTTTACTATACTCTAGAGCATTCTATAGTATCTTTTTCTTTCATTTTTTACACGTACTGGTATAAAATACATCTTAGTTTACAATACTATTCTATATCTTCTAATCTTTGTTTACCGTACTGTTATCTTATCTGTTATAGTTAACCGAAAAAACGAATGCCGTTCACTACGAGACGATGATGTTGGACGAGAACCTCCGCCTCTGTATCAAAAAGTATCGTGTTTGTCATACCACATCTGACCTGAAAGTTCTAGCCAGCCGGTTCGCTGAAATCAATCAGAGAGTTCAGAAACTTCAAACCGAATTTCCAATTTTAACCGCTCAGCTAGAACTATTCGAAATGGAACCACTAAAAGACGATGTAGATGGCCTAGCATACCGGTCGAAAATCATCAACCATACCGCCGGCTGTCACATCAAAGTGGTCGTTTTCGATGAAGAATTTGTCAATTCGAAAGTGGTCGAAGTTGATGTAGATGATGCGAATCGTACCATCGAAGCCATGAATGTCGACTTTGATGAGTTGAAGAAAGAGATTGGCGAACCTGAAGACGAACTGATCCTGGAGAGCTCACAGATGTTCATTCAGAAGATTCAAGTTATGATCGATGCCTTCAACAAGGTCCTACCGGTTATTAATGCCTTGAGGAGTAGGGGCATCAAGGCCAGGCATTGGCATAAGGTAAGGGAGGGGTTTTTGTTTTGATGCGAAAAGAATGGCGCTTTTTTGAGATGGTGAAAAAAATTTATGTTGATTAGGCTTAGGTTTAAGGCTTAGAACTAGTAAGTTTAGGCTGTGGTTTAATTATGCTTATAGGCTTTAGGCTTAAGGTATTTAGGCTTAGGTATAGAGGATTAGGTTTTTTAGGTTTTTTTAGGCTTAGGATTTTAGGTTTGGGTTTTTAGGCTTAAGCTTTTAAGCTTAGGCTTAGTCTTAGTTTTTTAGTCTTGGGATTTTAGGCTTAATATTAGTCTTTTAGGCTTAGTATCTAGCTTCAGGCTTAGGCTTAATTTTTTAGATTTAGGTTTTTAGGCTTAGTATTAGGCTTTTTGGCTTAGTTTTTTAGGCTTAGGATTTTAGGCTTAAACTTTTCGATTTTGGATTAGTAGCTTTAGACTGTGTAGACTTAATTTTGGTAGACTTAGGCTTAGTATTCTTTGGCTTACTTGATGCAAAAAGAACGATACTTCTTTCAGATCCTAGGCGACCGAGAAGGCACCCAACCAGATCACGAGAACATGACGGTAAAAGAATTGACGAAAATCGATTTTCAAGAAAAAGATGCCAAAAAATGCGAGGAAATCAGCGAATTGGCCAGCAAAGAGTTGGTCCTGGAAGAAAGTTTGGCACAAATGAAGGTTCAGCTAGCTGAAGTTACTCTTACACACAACAAGAATCATCTTACGGTAAGTGAAGAAAGCTTTTTTATAATTTTAAAGGTGTTTTTGGGTTAAAAAAAATGAATTTTTAGTTGAAAAAAATGATTTTTTGGTCGAAAAATTGATTTTTTTGTATTGCACAGTGCAAGATTTTTGAAATTTCATGAAATTAAAAATAGGCTTAAACTTGAGATTTTATTTGATAACAGGATTTAGAAATCCTTGTTTATCACCATTAATTTCAATTTTTTTAAATTTTACTATTACAATGGTCATTTATGACATTTTTTAATTTTTGCACTGTGCAATCTTATTTGGATTGCACGGTGCAAGCCTTTCGAAATATCATAAAATGAAAAATAGGTCTAAATTGCAAGATTTTATTTGACAAAACGATTTAAACATGCTTGTTACTTAAACTGGATTTTATTTTTTAAAATTTGTTTACTGAAGTTCTCATTTTTGGCATTATTTAATTTTTGCACAGTGCAAACTTTAAAAATTTTGTTTTAACAAAACTAGGCTTAAAATATAAAAAATTATTGGGTAACACTATTAAAATAGGTGCTTTTATTTTTGAATTCACAAATTTTGATTATTATCTTGTAGTAACAAGGATTTACTATTGTTTTATTTTTTTGCACCGTGCAATGATTTATTGTTTGCACGGTGCAGTATCAAAATTTTGGTTTTAAAGCCCGAGGGCTTTGAAAATAAAATTATGGTGTTATACCAATAGCAAAAATAGTATTGTAACTTATTTTACGTATTTATGTCAATGCCAAATTGGCGGGAAATTTCAAAATTTGAATTTAAAAAATTTTTTTAAATTTTTTGGAATTTTTCCAAAATTTTAAATCTGTTTAACTATTAAAACCAAAATTCAGGGAGTGTATGAAATGCAAATCACCCCAGAAACCGTCTCACTGGTGGAAGAGTTGATCATCAAGACCCAGATGAATATCTCATCTCCATTTGTCACCTCACTGCTGCCATTACTAAAGGAATGGCTGGAGAAGCTGCAACGTCTTCAGAATATGATGGATTTGCATCAGAAGTGCATGAGCAAGTGGATTTACTTGGAGCCATTGTTCGCGGCTGAAGATATCGCTTATCAAATGCCTGAGGAATGGCGAAAATTCCAGGAAATTCGCGACCGCTGGCGGTTTTTGACTGAAAAATTGGTAGGAACTATGTTTACAGTTATTGAAATGGAAAAAAAATTGTGAATATGATAGAAAATGGCAAGAACTTTCTTTACAAAACATGAAATGACAAGAAATTTGTTTACAAATCTTGAAAAATTAAAATTTCAGAGTCACATAACAAAACTCGTCGATTTGAGTGAAATCAACTGCCCGGCCGAAATTACGGAGCTTTTAGACATGTTCAAAGTGATTCAGAAAGGATTCGATGTGTATTTACAAAAGAGGAAGTTCAATTATCCAAGGTAAAATACGTGTTGTGCTCTTGAAAAAGCGTGTTAATAGGTCGAGAATTAGTAGACTGAGGTTTAGTAGGCTTAGGATTAGTAGGCTTAGAGTTAGTGGACTTAGGCTTAGTAGGCTTAGGCTGACTAGGCTTAGGCTTTGTAGGCTTAGGCTAAGTAGGCTTAGTCTTAGTAGGCTTGGGCTTACTACGCTTAGACTTAGTAGGCTTACTCTTAGTAAGCTTAGGATTAGTAGTCATATTCTTAGTATGCTTAAGATTAGTAGGCTTAGGCTTAGTGCATAAATGTTTATTAGGTTTAGATTTTGGAGCCTTAGGCTTAGGTTTAGTTAGCTTAGATTTTCTAAGCTGTCACGCATAGTACGAGTATTCTCAGGCTTAGAAAATTAACCGCAAAGGGCTTATTTTTCGTTGCTTTACTAATTTTAGGCTTAAATTTATTGTAAAATCGATTTCAATTAATAGTCTGCAATTTTAGGCTCTACTTCCTTTCAAATAATGAACTGTTGGAAATGCTGAGCCGAGCCAGGAATCCAGAGAAAGTGGAGCCCTACCTCTTCAAGATGTTCTCTTCCGTTTATGGCCTCGAGGTTCGAAATCAATGCGAAATCATCGCCGTCCTCAGTCAGCACGGCGAACGCTTAAAACTGGCCAAATCCATCAATATCCACCACTTCAAACGGCACGCCGACAAATGGCTAGCCGAGCTGGAGCGCGAAATCCGAAGCTCAGTCAAGGCCAAGCTGAAGAATGTCATGAGGTTGTGTGGCCAAGACCTGCCTAGTATATACGATTTGAGTGGGGATTTCACAGCGCAAAGCGTCCTACTGCACTGTAGAGTGGTATATACGAAGAAGATTGAGGATGCGATTGTTAGTGGGAAGTTGGTCGAATTGGGCACGTACTTTGATGGCTATATCACGAAATTGCTAAAGAACAAGGATTCACAGGTGAGATGAAATTTTTTTAGATAATAGGCAGGTGCGTAGCTAAGGGGGTGAGGTGTGGGAATGGGTTAATGGGGTGGATCTACTTTTCCTTCCTATTCAGGGTTATGTTAGGGTGTAGAAAAAGTTTTGTCGTTTTTGAACAATCTTGAATGTGCAATTTGGCGACAAGCCTTTCTGTTTTCATTTGGTTTACTGTAAGGTAAATTTTTATTGTTTTTTGGGTTACCCTTTATCTCTGCCGTTACCCTGCCTTAGAAATCTCCCTTGCTATAAAAATCTACCTTACATTTAACATCTATCCCGCTCTGAACATCTACCTGGCTTTAGAAATCTACCCTGTCGTGAAAATCTATAGTACTCTGAAAATTTACCCTGCCATAAAAATCTATACTGCTCTGTAGATCTACCCTGCCCGGAAAATCTATACATCTTTGAAAACACTCTGCTCTGAAGATCTACCGTGCTTGCAAATGTATCGTTTCTTATAAATCTTTATTGCCTTGAATATCTACCCTACCCTGGAGATCTATCCTGCCTTGAAAATCTTTCTTTCGCTGAAAATATACCTAAACTCTACCCTGTCCTGAAAATCTGTACTTATTTGAAAATCTACCGTGCTTTGAAAAGCTAGCTTGCTTTGGAAATATACCTTGCTTTAAATGTCTACCCTCTCTTGAAAGACAACATTGTCTTGAAAATGTACCCTGCTCTACAAATCGGCCTTGTCGTGAAAATCTACCCTACCTCAAAAATCTACTCTGCATCAAAAATTTATGCTGCTTTGAGAATCCACACTGCTGTGAAACTCTACTTTGTTCTGTAAACTTACTCTGCCTTGAAATCCGCCTAGTTTTAAAAATCTACTCAATCCCTTTTTTCTTTATCCCTCAAAAATCTATCCTGCTTTTAATATCTAGATTACTGTAGCATTATGGACAACATTTTTCAGACAAAAAAAGAGTCAAGAAATGGTACTCCAAGCCAAACCAACTCAAACCCAACTCAAAAGTCAATAATCTTCACAGCCGAGCAACAAGAACAACTTTTAATTGACAATTTATTAATCGAATACAACGAACAAAAACGAATTATCGACCGGTTGATCAAAACAAACTGCAAATCAGTCCACAATTTCGAGTGGACTAGCCAAATTCGGCATTATTTCATCAATGAAGAGCTGTATGTTAGAGTATACAACCTGAACATACTGTATGGCTACGAGTATATTGCTATTGGGACTCCATTTGTCATGACACCAATCATCCAGAAGGTGCATCGAGAGCTAATGACATTTCAAACACAAGGTTACGCTGGAATGTTGAAGGGACCGGCTGCGACGGGCAAAAGTGAAAGTATCAAGGAGCTGGCCAAGATTTTAGGTAGGGAAGGGCAGGGTGGAAGTAGAATTTTGTAGGATAGGGTAGGGCCTATGTATGAAAGGGTATGGTAAGGTAGGACGTTTATAAATGAAAGTACGTGAAGGTACTTTAGTCTTAGCACGATAGGGCAGTGGTGAAGTTGAGCTACAGTATGACTACCGTAAGCCTAGGGAACTGGATGATAGGACAGTAGGGTAGGGTAGGTTACGGTAGAGTAGGGTAGGGTAGAGTAGGGTAGGGTAGAGTAGGGTAGGGTAGGGTAGGGTAGGGTAGGGTAGGGTAGGGTAGGGTAGGGTAGGGTAGGGTAGGGTAGGGTAGGGTAGAGTAGGGTAGGGTAGAGTAGGGTAGGGTAGGGTAGGGTAGAGTAGGGTAGGATAAGGTAGGGTAGGGTAGGGTAGGGTAGGGTAAGATAGGATACTGTACGTTTATTGGTCATTTTAGGTAAATTCAACTTGGTATTTAACTGTTCCCCAAATGTTGACCGGCACCAGTTGGAAGATTTGATGTGTGGCACTATCTTGGCTGGTACCACCTTATGTTTGGACGAGTTTAACCGCCTGTCCGAAAAGGACATGGCATGGTTTTCTTCTCATATGTTGGGGATTTATCAGGCTATGAGTACTAGTAAGTTTAATATGAAAAATGGCAAGAACTTTTTTTACAAAACAAAAATGGCAAGAACTTCCTTTACAAAACTTAAAATGGCAAGAACTTTCTTTTAGGAAACGCCAAGTATCGTATCCGCAACCTCCAACTACCAGTATGTCCAACGGCAGCGTTTTACCTCACAATCAACCCCAAGTTCATGGCTCGTTCTAATTTACCGGCCAATATCTACTCTATCGTACGTGGAATCTCAATGAACATTGCTGATATACGATCGATTGCTAACGCTTTTCTACTGTTGGCAGGTGGGTGAAAATGGAAGGAATTTTGTTTACAGAATAAAAAATGGCAAGAACTTTGTTTACAAATAAAAAATGGCAAGAACTGTCTTTACAAATCAAAAAAACTGCAGAAACTTTCTTTACAAAGCATAAAATGGCAAGAACTTTCTTTACATTCGTATTTTAGGCTTCCAAAACGCGGAAAAAGAAACCAATTTGCTGTGCAACGTCTTCGAACAATGCCAAACCCTATTAGCACCGATGCACCATTACGATTTTCAACTTCGAACCGCCCTTGCCACCATCAATGAGACCCTACAGCTGATGCAACAGCAAAAAACTTCATTATTGAACACAAAAGTTGATGTTGAAGTAGTTGGTCGAGCCTTGCGGAACGTCCTAACACCATATATTGTCAATTCAGATACCACATCGTTTGAGAAGATCATGAGCACAGCTTTTCAAGGTCAAGTCAGTGAGAATAGTGATCAGATCAAGACGAAGAATGTGATCAGAGAAGCCATAGAACAAATGGGATTGGTGGCTACGGAAAAGTTTGTGGAATGTTGTTACAGTGTAGGTTTAATGTTGCCATTTTTTGTTTTGTAAAGAAAGTTTTTGCAATTTTTTGTCTTTTAAAGAAAGTTTTTGCCATTTTGAGTTTTGTAAAGAAAGTCTTTGCCCTTTTTTGATTTGTAAATGAAAGTTTTTGCTATTTTTTGATTTGTAAAGAAAGTTCTTGCCATTTTTTGTTTTGTAAAAAAAATTCTTGCTACTTGACTGTAAATCGTCTTTATTCTTATTTGCACGGTGCAATAATTTTATTCTTCTTGCACTGTGCAGTCGATATTACTTCGTTTGCACTGTGCAAGCTTTTTATTTTTGCACGGTGCACGTCAAGAAAAAACGATTTTGCTTTTGCGTCTTGAACAGATTTTTGGCGTTTCTCAAATAGCGGAAAAATAGTTTTTCTTCAGCTTTTCTTTTTCGAAAATGCCTTTCGGGTTTATTATTAATGTAGTTTCGAGGCTTTGTAAGGATAAAGAAGATAAAAAATGCAACAATTAAGCATCCATATTAAATAAAAAAGTAGAGAAAATAATTTTCAAAGGAAAATCTCGCCAAAAAATTAAAGAAAAATTTCTGCATGGATAATATGACACTGATATCTCTTGATAACTCAAGTTCTACTCCATAGAATCAGACGAGTTTAGTATCAAATTATTCCTTATTTCCTCCTTAATCCAACTGTTGCTACCGCTATAGCTGCTCATGTGCTCATTGCAAAGTTATGACGTATTTTCGAGTTTGGAAAAGCGTATTTTTAATATGTATACCAAATTTTTATTAAGCGCTCAAACACAAAGAGATTTTTTAAATTAGGGAACTGAAGTGTTGCTTTTTAATTGTTATTAAACACTTTTGTGATATCTGTAATTTAACACGTCGAAAAAACATCGCGAAGTTAACATACTATTAGTTTCTCCTTGTTGCGGAATGCCAAGCGATTTTCTCTGGATAATTGTTTTTCTTTTATTTTTTCTTGACGTGCGGTGCAATCTCTTTTTGACTTGTTTTGCACAGTGCAGTTTTCCTTTTAGAAATAGAAGGGATTGCTGGTACTTATTAATGAAAATTAACGAAAAAATGAAAATAATTTTGAAAATCCTAATATATTTTTAGCTCCTCCACCTATCCCGTCAACGCCAGGCCTTTATCCTTCTCGGCCCAACAATGAGTGGCAAGTCATCAGCCCTAAAGGTCCTCCGCCGTGTACTAAAGCCAACACAAAATTTGAATTGCAAAATGTTTCGAATGAATCCATCTCAAAATGACAGCAACTTCCTCTACGGTCATTACGACTCGAATCGATTCGATTGGATCAGTGGGATATTAACCATGAAGTTGGAGACGTACTTGGATAAAGACGAGGAGGGATGGCTGGTACTGGATGGAGTGTTGGACTCAGTATGGGTGGAATCATTGAACTCTTTGTTTGACAGTAATCAGAAGGTGAGGAATTTCAAAATTTTTTTCAATTTTTTGGATTTTGGCAAGAACTTTCATTAAAAAAATGGAGCGAACTGAAAGTTCCTTTACAAATCAATAAATGGCAAGAACTTTGTTTACAAAACAAGAAATGGCAAGAACATTCTTTATAAAACACAAAATCGCAAGAAAGTTCTTTACAAAACAGCGTTTTTAAAGGCGGATTTTTGTTGCACGGTGCAGTGAAAAATAATGATTGCGCGGTGCAAAATTTTTGCTTTTTAAAAACCAAATTTAAAAATTTTTTGAAAATTAAAAATTTGGTTTAAGTACATGTAAGTGACGCATTTTAACACATTTTTGTCAAAAATTTTTGAAAATCTTTATTTTTTAAACTACTTTTTTCCGTTTTAAAAGGCTGCACGGTGCAGTGAAAAATAGTGGTTGCACAGTGCAAAAAGTTATTTTTTAATTCGTTTAACTGCATAATGCCAAAGCATTTAAAATGGGGTGTAACATAGAAAAAAAAGTTTTTTAAAGCACAAAAAATGGCAAAAACTTTGTTTACAAAACAAAAATGGCAAGAATTTTCTTTACAAAACTAAAAATGGCAGAAACTTTTTTCACACAATCAAAAATGGCAAGAATTTTCTTTACAAAATAAAAATTTCAAATTAAAAAAAATTTTTAATTTCTAAAAAAATTTCAGTTATGCTTAGCAAATGGTGAAAACGTACCCTTGAACCCATCAATTCGTGTCGTCTTCGAATGTGACACATTGGACAAAGTAGCTCCAAGCACAGTAAGCCGATGCCAAGTGATCTACTTTGATGAAGAAACAGTACCACTAGAAGCGATGACCTCTTTATTACCTACATCAATATCCAAATACATTTCCGAAGCCGCACCACATTTGAGTATACTAAGGAAGGTTAATCGAAAGTTTTTCTTCGAAAGAATTAGCCACTTGGCCAAGTTGTACGCCAAAAATGGAGAGTTGCAAAAGTTGTGGCAATTTTTCGCATTTGTCGCAGCAAGAACAATCAAAGAGGAGGAGCATGTAGACAAATGGATGCAGGGGGGTGGGTTTTTGCTTGATTTTTTTTTCAAAAAAAATTTTTTGAAAGCATTGATTTTCATTAATTTTTTTGTAATTTTTTGCATGGTGCAGTCAGGTTTTCAACTTGCTTTGCACTGTGCAATCAGTTTTACTTTGTTTTGCACGATGCTAAAAAACATTTAGTTTTAAGTCAAAATTTACTGTGCACTGTGCAATCAGCTTTATAGTTGTTGCACGGTGCAGACAGGTTTTTACGTTTGCACAATGCCGTCAAGTTTTAATTTGCTTCGCACTGTGCAATCAGTTTTTATTTTTTGCACGGTGCTGAAAAGTTTTATTTGCACAGTGCAGCCAAGGTTAATTAGGTTTACAAGTTGCTTTGCACTGTGCAGTTGAAATTTGCTTTGCACGGTGCAGTCATATTCTTACTTTTGCACCGTGCAATCAGTTTTATATTTCTTGCATCGTGCAATACATTTTGCTCTAAAAAACTTTAAAATACAAAAAAATAGAAGAATTGTTTAAAATTGAAATTTTTAAGAATGTGCTAAACAATAACTCGAAATGAATTAAAAAGTCAAAAAAAATTTATTCAAATATGATGAAAGGAAATGTTCATATAAAACAATAACTATATCCATCAATAACATGATATCATTTTTTAAAATACACCACAGTTTTAACTATCAATTTGTTACGATTGTTTGGCAAGCCCAGCTAGTTTTCAATGAAATCTACGAATGGGTGAAAAACTTTTCGATGACTTCAATCAAGTATAATATGCTAGAACCTCCTTTCTTTTACGGTCGTCAGTATTGTTTACTATAGGTCAGTCCTTTTTACGCTTACCTTTGCAAACATTTTGTAAGAATCGATTTAGGCGTCCGTACTGAGAGGGCAAGAGGGCGTCACCGTTGTTGGCGATGGTATCTTTGACTACGTTAATGAACGTTCGAACGTTATTAATTTTGTCTTTTACGGTGTTGAATGAATTTGTCGTCTAAAAAAGCCCGATTCCGGTTAATGGTCGTGAGCGTCTTCCGGTCGTTATAAATTGTTAAGTTTGGCAGAAGTAAAAGAAGTAAAAGTAAAGTTTATTAAAAGCAAAACGAAATTAAAGAAATGAAAAAATACTATTTAAAAATTTTAAAAATTATTCCACATTTGTAACTACCAATTTGTATATGATTGCTTGTCAAGTTAAATTAACTTTTAATGAAACTTACGAGATTGGTTAGCATTGACAATGTGAGCGAATGATCTTCTCAATGAATATTTTAACAGCAACATAGAGAAAACGATCGGTAAAGTTTTGTAACAAAAGTTTTGGCGCAACTTGTATAATATACCGCAGGCTTCTTTCCTTTATGGCCATATGTTTTAATACATATGTAGGGCAGTCTTTTTCTACGCTTTTTGTTTGGTTTGTCAGTATTCGTTTTGAATCCATTTGGGCGTCCGTACAAGCTGATCAAGGCGACGTCGTCGTTGTTGGGGATGGTGTCTTTGACTACGTTAATGAACGTTCGAACGTTATTAATTTGGTCGTTTTACGGTATTGAATTTATCGTCTAAAAAAGCCCGGTTACGGTTATTGGTCGTGAGTGTGTTTCGGTCGTTATAAATTGTGATGTTTGGCAGGTAGTATAATTGACATAACTTTATTACGCCTAGTGGTTTACAATTAGGTCATTGTTGATCTTCTATATACGAGTATGCGTGTAAGTATTCGTCCTCCTACTGTGGTATTTACGTACTGCTCCTCTTCAAATTTGTTGAAAAAGATGCTTGGGTAGAAATCCGGATTCTCCATTCGCTTCGGAAATGCGTTTTCGTCAGGCCGTGTTACGTATAACCGTTCATTCTAAATGAAATATTGTATCAGTAGGACATTTTGTTACATGAGCTCTTGTATCAGTAGCACATTTTCTACGTTAGGTATGTTTGGTGCTGTCGGTAAGGACTTACGTAGTATAATAAATTTTATAAATTAATTATGTTTTACACATGCAATGTAAAATATAATCGATCTCAATATACCAAATATCTACGACTATCGACTCACCGCTCGGTACCTTCATCTTGACATAACTGCCCCCTCAGCGCGGCATCTCCTACGTATCGCGTTGCCTTTCTATGTGCGCTTACTGTAACCTTACTATAGTGATATTTATTCCTTCGATGGTAGAGTTTGTTCTTGTCAGTAGCTTGCTTCTGAAGTGATACAGGTCTTATTGAATCACTTTTCATTTAGTTATTGAAGTAAAAATGATTATCGTCTCTTATCTTTAAGTATGTATGGCCGGGCCCAACTTTCTGCCTCAGCCTACGGAGAATGCTTTTATCTTGTGCGCTTGTCCTTGGACCTACATGTGCCAGTCTTTAAGGTTTAGCTAGGTAGCTCAGGTCTAGCTATGTATCTCAGGTCTAGCTAGGTAGCTCAGGTCTAGCTAGGTATCTAAGGTCTAGCTAGGTATATAAGGTTTAGCTAGGTATCTAAGGTCTAGCTATGTATCTCAGGTCTAGCTAGGTAGCTCAGGTCTAGCCAGGTATGTTGCGGTCTGGTTGACGTTTTTGTTTAACTACGTTAAACATTTCTTCTGTTACCTCGGGTTTTACAGTTCCTCCATCGCATAAGGTTGTACGAGTGCGTTCGTTAGTCATTGGTCGATTACGGTGTTGTTGTGTGCTAAAGTTTCCATGACTTCTGCCGGTTGTCCTTCTTTGATTACTTTATCTACTCACATAATAATAGTTGCGGCCAAAATGTCTTTAAAATCTATAGACATTTCTTTTTTACGTTGTTGAATGAAAAGACTAATTCGTTGCCCCCCTCCCCTTTCCCTTAGATTGCGACCTTCAAAATTTCTTGTCTTTACATGACTCCGCAGTTGTAACTATCAATTTGTGTATTTTACGACGTTTTCGTCAAACCATTGGCGTTCTTTTTTGCTGAGTTGTGGGCGTAGTAGAGGTGTTTGATCGATGTTCATCTAGACCAATTTGACTTCTATTAGGTTGTCCGGAAAGTTCTGCAATATTTATTCACTTTTGAACTAACAATAATAACAATATAATTAACAACTACAACCAATCAAAGTAATTACCGTCTGAATCAATACAGTCTTGCCAACGATTTACAAGCTTTTTTATTCCACGATTGTAGAATTCCGGGTTTCTGGAGTTGATGAAGTTCTTGAAGGCATTCTTGGCATCGTCTGGAGTTTTGAAGATTCTTCCATTAAGAAACGAAGACAAGTGTTTAAAAAGGTGAAAGTCCGTTGGAGCCAAGTCTGGAGAATAAATTTACGAAGTTTTATCTTACGTCTGTTGTTGATCCTTTTTCCTGTGCTCCAGACTATTTTGGCAATCTTTATCTTTGGATTTGCTTATCAGTTCTTATCACCAAAATCTTTCTTATCCTAAACTGCGATTAATATCACTATAATCGCAGTTTAGGATAAGATAAAATACAAAAGTAGACATCTGTTGAATCTAAATGCAAGCTATTGAAACGTTGGATTTGTCATAAATATGAAACTATTGAAGCCCTTATTCTTGATTTGTAGCAGATGTAATAGATCTTCATATGTAGTAGAGGTGATATCCATGATATATAGAAGAGATAGCATTCCTTATATGTAGTAGATTGTTTCTTATTATGTTCGACACTACGTGTACGTTGTAGTTTCTGACAAGTTTCATTTAGTAGCAAGTTGGTAGTGAAGTTAACCATCTGTTTTCTACGGGCATTTTGTTAATTTGAATAATGGTGATAATCATGACACTCTTGAACGTTTCGCCAAATTATCATAATATTCTTGATATGTAGTAGATTCTTTGTTATTATACTTTACGCATATATGGTTGTTTCTGACCAACTTTTTTCAATAAGCAAGTGAGTAGTGCAGTTAGTCGTCTGTTTCTTACGCTCAGTAGTTCCTTTACGGATGTTTTTAATTATGACACTCGAACGTTTCGCCAAATTAAATCTCTACGAACGAATCCTGAGTTATCCATTTTCATTGCGACTTTCCTCTTTTGTATTAGCACCACTTCCAGGTTGATCTAGGTTATAAAGTGAACAAAGTTACCTATGTAATCTTCTTTCTTACGAATATATGTATTTGTTGTTCATCGTTCACTTCTGGGATTCGAAAGCCGACTGCATGAACAAGGCAATAGTAATAGTTTCCTACGTACAGGTTGTAGTTTCGTATTGATTCTTACGCCCAATGTTGTTTGATTAATATCTTTGTGATAATAATGACACTCTTGAACGTTTCGCCAAATTAAAATATTCTTGGTATGTAATAGATTGTTTCTCATAATATTTCACTACGATCATGTCGTGATTGCGTACCAGAGCAAGTACGTAGCGCAATTAGCCGTCTGATTTTTAGCTGAAGTTCCTGATTCATTTCGTGATAATCATGGCACTCTTGGACGTTTTGCCAAATCATCATAATATCCTTGCTACGGAGTGCAGTTTTCGTCATTATACGTTACGCATACAAGGTTGTTTCATCCAAACTTTGTTTACCAGCAAGTGGGTACTTGGAGTTAGTCGTCTGATTCTTACGCCAATTAGTGTCTGATTTACATCGTCGTAATAATCCTGACACTCTTGAACGTTTCGCCAAATCATCATCGTATTCTTTATATGTAGCATAATAGAATACTATCAACTCCACAGTCGTGCCCATCTGCATTGCAACTTTCCACTTTTGTATTAGCATCACGTCCAAGTTGAACTAGATAATAAAGTGAACTAAGTTGTCTATATAATCTTCTTTTTTTACGTATACTTCTGTTTCTTTGTTCGTCGTTCACTTATGGGATTCGAAAGCCGACTGCATGAACAAAGCAATAGTAGTAGGTTGGCTCAATAATATGAACTCAGCTACGTAATGGTAGTTGTTTTGTTACATTATTTAACACATTTGTTTCGTGTTGTTGTTCGAAAGCTTCATTTACGCAATTAGGGTGTTCAGCGTATCCGTATCAATGATATATGTCTATCAATGATACAAGGCTATAAATACTATATTTGGCCTAAGAAATCCATAAGTATGTACTATACTTGTCCTACTAAACTTGTAAATACTGTACTTGGCCTACAAAATTAAAAAGTACTATGCTTGGCCTACAAAATCCATAAGTACTATGCTTGTCCTACTAAATATTTGTTTGTGAATACTATGCTTCCCTATATTCGCTCTACTTAGTACGCATCTGTTAACCTCTGATCGTGACTATTACCCTATAAATGCCGCGCTTAAGCACTATTGTTTCTCAGCGTATTTAGAAAAACTGCTGCTTTTCATCGTATTTTATTTATTTTACGAACATTTTTATAGATGTCTGTTCCATCAAAGCATGAGAAAGTTGTTTTTGTAACAAATTTTTTTTTTCAGTGAAAAAATAAATGAAAAGTGCCCCGCTACTTTTGGTGGTGTATTTTTTCAAACCAAAAAGGAGCAAGTAGATAAACTTGAAAAAAGTATAGTATATGTTGAAAAAGTAAAGGACATAGTAACAAATACAACCGCATATAAGTTTAACTGACTGTCGTACCCCATTACGCTTCTAGGAATTGTTGGACTTTTGGTAATGGCGTTATAGAATACTTAGTGATCGCTCCCAAGATCGGAAAGTTTTGGTTAGTAGCTAACTTGCTTATTACGCTATTAGCGATACTTGTTCTTATTTCAACTACCCACCTAGCTCTGATGATTTTTATGACCTACCACTATATAAACTAAGTTTATTAATTTATTGCGTCCGGATCACGGCTAGAGTTGGAGAATTACGAGGTAGGTAGGCTAAGTTAGATCGTATGCGGTCCGGGCTTTTATAACAACGCGAGTTGATAACCGTAGGATAAGTAAACTTCCTACTACTATGATTACGAATTTATAAGGTTACTATAAACGTCTTGGTTTTATACGTACATTTATTGTCGTTATAATATATATACAACATGTAAATTACCTCAATATACAGTTAGGCTTACAATGTAGGGACTAAAGATACATAAGACTTAATTCTCTCTCACACTGCCGCTTGCTGCCGTCATAACCTCTCTGGTCTGACCTTTTCTAACCTTATCTTTGTGCTAACCGAATGAGTGGCGCACTGTAACTGATAGGAGCCAGTAACCGAAGCCAGTATCATCTTATTTTGCGTTATGTCTTGAACATTTACGAACTCGACATTCGAATACTTTTAGGGTTCACACCTTCCAGTGCTACTTTGAAAGGTCCGCCAAACTTTTCCATAACCACACCAAACATTAATTTTTACGGTGGTACAGAAATGATGGTCATTTCACTACGGTATTTTGCAACGGACTTTTACGATTTAGCTCTCGAAAATTTTTTAATTTGCACCACTGTGCCTATGAAATATTTCTTTTCCACCCTATCATCTGTTACGAATAGAGTTTTATTTTTAGTTTCAAGCACGGACAGTCCCCTTTCCGAAATACACACCCTTGCCTCTACGATAGGAGTTATGTATGCTAGACTTTGATTTGAGTTTCGAACGCTTTTCGGTTGACGTTTCATCGACTGCATATGAGGATATGAGATTATGGTAGTATGTGTATAAATAGTATAGGATATATATAAAACCAGTATATAATATAGTATATGTTGAAAAAGTATATGACATAGTATATTTGAGAACAATATATAACATATAACACATATGTTTATGTAGTATATAACATATTATATGTTGTAAAGGTAAATGACATAGTATATGCTGAAAAATTATATGACATAGTATATTTTAGTACAGTATATACCATATAATAGTATAGATATAAGTAGTATATAACATATAACACTATATGTACAAGTAGTATATAAGATAGTATATGTAAAAGCAGTATACAACGTATGTTGCACTATAAAACATATATTGTATTGTAAAATACTCCAAAAAAGTAAAAAACAAAGCAAAAACACAACCAAAAATATTGAAGTACTAATGTCAATAAAAGTCTTGTCGTTCTTATCCTGAAAAATAAATAAAACTAAACGACAAGACTTTTTTAATAAACCCATAACCGTTCAAAACCCGGGCAAACACATAAAACACATTAATTATAAGGCTAAAAAACTAAATATCAACTTTGCTATCAATGTTTTTAGCTCTCCATTGATGCTGAGTTAGCATTATGTAGCGCGCGTTGTTTTATTTTGTCTGCGGGTTGAAAGTCTTGGTGTAATCGCTGCTTTCGTGGCTCAAAGAGAGACTGTAGAAAGCTCTAAAGATTTAAAGAGCTAAAGTTCGCTACGAAAACAGTAGTTTTTGATCTATAGACAACAAGAAATGACAGAAACTTTCTTTACAAACTAAAAAATGGCAAGAACTTTCTTTACAAAACAACAAATGGCAAAAACTTTCTTTACAAAACAAAAAATGGCAATAACTTTCTTTACATAACGAAAAATGACAATAACTTTCTTTACAAAACGAAAAATGACAGTAACTTTCTTTACAAAACGAAAATACCAAAACTTTGTTTACAAAGTTTGAAAAATCAAAAGACATTAACTTATCGTATAACATGTCACTCGCAGGCTGCAAATACGCAAAATTTGCTTTTTAACTATAAAAATGGCAAGGATTTTTTTACAACGCAAAAAAAGACAAGAACTTACTCTACAAAGCAAACAATGGCACAGACTTTGTTTACAGAGCTAAAATTAACAAGAGCTTTCTTCACAAAAAAAATAGCAAGAACTTTCTTTACAATACAAAAAATGGCAAGAACTTTCTTTACAATACAAAAAATGCCAAGAACTTTCTTTACAAAACAAGAAATTGCAAAAACTTTCTTTACAAAGCTTAATTTTTCAGCTCGACATAGAACCACTAACATTAATATCGTCAGTTCCAATGGTATATGGCGGCTCAAAAACTGTAATCGATGAAGAAAACAACTCTCAATCTTCCTATAATTTTAAAATCCAATTAATTAAGCAAATGGTCATGTTCAGCAAGTATTTGGTATTGATTTATGGCCTGAATGGAAGCGGAAAGGACGAATTCATTGAGAATGTCATCAGTGTTTTTGAACCTGAAAAGTAAGACGAAATAGACTAAGATTTACGTTTACAATATATAAAATGGCAATAACTTTCTATACCGTGTAACAGTGACATAATTGTTTTTAGGTATTAGGATTAGGCTTAGCAGGCACAGACTTAGCAGGTTTAGAATTAGTAGGCTTAGCAGTTTGAGGCATAGTGTGTAGAGGTAAACAGTCTTAGGCTAGACGTCTTAGCTAGCTGAGGAATAGTTGGCTTAGGCTTAGTATGCTTAGGCTTAGTAGGCTTAGGCTTAGAAGGCTTAGGCTTAGTAGGCTTAGGCTTAGTCGGCGTAGACTTAGTATGTTTAGACTTAGTAGGCTTAGGCTTAGTAGGCTTAGGATTTTTGAACCAAAATTGTATAGGCTTACGCTTGCTGTAGTTAATCTTATATTAAAAACGTCTTTTCTTCTTCAGATGGGATATTCATTACCTAAACTTGTCAAGTGAACTAAACCCAATTGATTTTTACAACACTATTATGAGCTGCAACTTGGTCAGGTATGTCAATTTACAAAAGCTATTTTAAAAATGGCAAAAACTTTCTTTACAAACCTAAAAATGGCAAGAACTTTAAAGACAAAGTGGCAAGGACTTTCTTTACAAAGAAAAGTGATTTTCAGAATGGGACCAAACCACTATACTGGAGCAGGCGACAAATCAGTACTAATCGTACTACAAGGTTTTGAACGTTTACCGGTCGTTTCCAATAACAGTGTCATTGAGTTCCTTCGTTCACTGTTCGACATGGGCAGAGTTGTCAATCCTCAAAAGGAGACTACTAGATTCACTTCTGTCTACTTTTTGGTCGATTTTAGCACCGAAATCATTGGGCCTCAGAATCTACCGATTCCTGAACGATTGCGACGGCATGTCTTTCCTGTGCTTTGTCATCAAACAGTAAGGGAGTTTATATTTAATTTTTTTAAGGGGGAGGGGGGTGTGATGGTGTGGGGTCGAATTTAAAATGTTTGTTTGGGGGGAGGGGTGGGGTAAGAAAAGGCTTGTGGATGATAAAGAAGGGCTACGGTAGGACAAGTTACTGGGTAGAGCTAAAGAAGGACAATAGTGAGTCAATCAGGGCAGTACACGGTCGGGTATGGTACGATAATGTAGATTGAGGTAGGGTAGGGTAAGAGAGCGCAAAATAAAAAATGTTAAGGTCGGGTGATACAGGGTAGGGCAGAGCAGCATAAAGTATGGTTAGAGTAGGACAGTGCATGTAATGGCTAGATATGGAAGGTTAAGAGACGATAGGGTAGGGTATGGAAGGATAGGGTACGATCGGATAAGGTTGAGTTACAGTATGGCTACTGTGAGCCTAGGGCAAACAACGAATGATAGGATTCGTTTATTATTAAAGCTTACTGCAATGTAAAGTTCGGCGTATTGTATTTTTGGGCGGGCTAAGGTTAGGTAGGGTAAAGTAGGGTAGCGTAGGGTAGGGTGGAGTATTGAATTTTAAAGCAAGATTTTACTTTACAGAACAAGACCCTTCCCTACGAAGTCGGCTATAATTTTCTTCAAGTCTACAGCCAAGACCCATTACTAATAAAATCAGAAGAAGCACACGATGAAGAACATAAACATGACAAAGACCCTCAAACGCACTCAGATGAAGACCAAGAAAAGGCCTTTAAAGACTGCTTAATGCGAGAGTTAGTAACAGCCATAACCGACATTCCAGTACCAATAGTACCACTATGTCACAAACTGATGACATGCCTCGAAGACCTAATTGATGAGGACATCTTCAACAACCAAGAGCTACATCCATTCACTTTACTACAGCTTCCAGACGACGAACAACCATTGGTTTACGATTATATTACACTAGAGGGAAAGATAGCCGAATATTTGGAGAAAAAAGGAAAAACCGAGGTATTGCATAGTTACCTAATACGACAGTTTGGCTTTCTGTACAAGATAGTACAGTTGAACAAGGATGGACATTGCATTTTGATCGGCGAACCCGAGAATGAACCAGCCAAGATGGTGGAGCTGGTCGCTGATGTATCAGATGTCTATTTGGAAGCACCACCAGCTCAAATGACCGAGATTTATTGGAAAGAAACGGTTGTTAAGGTAAGTTTGAAGTTTTTTATATTCTTGTTAAATTTTTAAAATTTTTGCATTTTGAATGGTGCAGTCAAATTTTATTCTTTGCGTGGTGCAATCTTTTTTAATAATTTTGCACATTGCAGTCTTATTTTTATGATTGCTCGATGCGTCTTATTTTATTTTTTGTACCGTGCAATCTTATTTAATATTTTTCTGCACGGTGCAGTCTTATTTCTTTTTTTTGCACGGTGCAGTCTGATCTCATGTTTTGCACGGTGCAGTCTTATTTCATTTTTTGCACAGTGCAATCTTTTTTCATAATTTTGCACAGTGCAGTTTAATTTCATTTTCGCACTGTGCAGTCTTATTTATTAAGTTTGCACAGTGCAGTCTTATTTTATTTTTTTCTGCACGGTGCAGCCTTATTTTTTGTGATTGCACGGTGCAGTCTTCTTTTAATAACGGTTTTTTTTGCACAGTGCAATATTATTTTATATTTGGTTTTATTTTTTCTTCACGGCGACCAGTGACGACACTTAATTTAACAAAAAGTTTGATGTGTTAAAATGGCAAGAACTTTCTTTACAGAGCAAAAAATGTCAACAACTTTTTTTACAAAACAAAGATTGACAAAAACTTGTTTTACAAAACAAAAATTATAATAACTTTCTTTACAGTACAAAAAATATTTGTAGGTAATCCACATGTGTACGAAAGAGAACCGAAAAGTCATTTTACATGTCACAGATGACATGCCATCACACGACTGTCTCCAACATGTTCTTCATGATCTTACCGTACTCCTATGTGGTGGCTTCCCAATGCGGCTTTTTCAACAACAAACTGGTACCAATGGTACCACTGTATCATCCATCTCCTCCAATTGGGACAAACGAAAGGAACTGACATTTAAAATGAGACAAAATTTGCATGTCATAATTACCATAAACCGACGTACCGTAGGCCATTACCGTAGTTTGTTCTTCGAACTGTTCCATTTTTGTATGCTGGTCAATTTGGACAACTGGACCAGTGCTGACATGCTATCCTATGCGTCAATGAACTTGGCACAGCTGAAGATGCAGCCAGAACAAATCAGGCATTCGGTTGGAGATCTGATGAAGATCCACAAGTTAATGATGGAATTGAAGTGAGTTTGGGAGGGGAAGGAAAGAACTTTCTTTACAAAACATAAAACGGCAAAAACTTTTTTTACAAAACAAGAAATGGCAAGAACTTTGTTTACAGAGCAAGAAATGGGAAAAACTTTCTTTACAAAAGATGAAATGGCAAGAACATTCTTTCCAAAACAAAAAATAGCAAGAACTTTCTTTACAAAACAAAAGATGGCAAGAACTTTCTTTACAATACAAAAAATGGCAAGAACTTTCTTTACAAAACAAAAAATGGCAAGACTTTTTTTTACAGAGTTCACATCGGCAAGAACTTTCTTTCCATAACCTCAAATATCGAAAAATATGGATTATCGTATAAAATGTTACCAGCAGGCTGCGAAACTTTTAAATTTACTTTTTTACCTTAGAAATAGCAAAAACTCTCTTTACAAAATAAAAAATGTCAAAAACTTTCTTTCCATAAGCTCAAAATTAGCAAAAATATGAGTTATCGTATAAAATGTCACCAGCAGGCTGCGAAGTGCTTAACTTTGCTTTTTTACTTTAGAAGTGGCAAGAACTTTCTTTACAAATAAAAAAATGGCAAGAACTTTCTTTACAAAATAGTAAGGTGCAAAAACTTCCTTTCCAAATTTAAAAAGAAACTAATTTTTTCATTTTTCAGCCCAAAATTTGAGCACAGTGAGTTCGTATCCTTCATTCAAACCTACTGTCATATGGCGACGAGGAAAAAGGACAAACTGGACACTTTAATGAATAGGTATCAAACTGGAATCGAGAAGTTGAACAAAGCCAACGAACAAATGAATTACATGCAGGAGGAGCTGGTCAGGCTACAGCCCGAATTGGTTCGAACTTCATTGGAAACAACGTAGGTTTGGAAAGAATGTTTTTGTCATTTTTTGCTTTGGAAAGAAAGTTTTTGCAATTTTTTGTTTTGTAAAGAAAATTTTTGCAATTTTTTGTTTTGGAAATAAAGTTTTTGCAATTTTTTGAGGTTGGAAAGAAAGTTTTTGTTATTTTTTGGTTTGGAAATAAAGCTTTTGCCATTTTTTGTTTTGGAAAGAAAGTTCTCGCGATTTTTTGTTTTGGAAAGAAAATTTTTGCAATTTTAATTTACGATTTAAAAAGCTATGATTACAGTATGTTGATGAGTCAAATTGAACGAGAGACAATAGAAATTGAGAATGCGAGGGAAATCGTGGCGGCCAATGAGTTCAAAGCCAATGAAGCGGCCACCAAAGCTCAGGCTTTGAAGGTAAGGTTGGAGTAGGATATGGCAGGGGATAATAGGCTATGGTGGAGTAAACGGTAGGGCTAGGTATTGAAGTGTAACATAGTATAGGGCATGTTACGGCGGTTCAAGGCAGAGTTATGTACAGAAAGGTAGGATACGATACCGCAGGGTAGTTTACGACGAGGGTACGGTGGGGTACTGTATATACAAAAATTTTGGTGCGATACGGAGTGATTAGGTTGAACTACAGTATGACAACTGTAAGCCTAGTGCAAAGGATGATGGATCTAGAGTAGGACAGGAGCACGCAAGACGTACCGCACGGTAAAATAAAAGATACTGTCTTGTGGGATGAGATAGGGTAAGGAAGGGTAGGGTGATGTAGGGTAGGGTACGGTACGGTAAGGTAGGGTACAGTAATATAAGTATGTTTAGGTAGAATGTGAAGCCGAAGTAGCAGAAGCCATTCCAGCATTAGAAGCGTCAGTAGCCGCGTTGGAAGTGTTGAGTCAACGTGATATTAGTATGTTAAAGACAATGAGGAATCCACCATCAGCTGTCAGGTTATGTATGGAAGCTGTGTGCATTCTGTTGGGAGAACAACCAGTCAAAGTTAAGCAGGTGGGTATTTTAGTGTTTTTGTAAAGAAAATTCTTGCCATTTTTTATTTTGTAAAGAAAGTTCTTGCAATTTTTTTGTTTTGTAAAAAAAAGTTCTTGCCATTTTTTGTTTTGTAAAGAAAGTTTTTGCTGTTTTTTGATTTGTAAAGAAAATTCTTGCCATTTTTTTTTTGTAAACAAAGTTTTTGCGTTTCCAGAACGGTAAATCGAAGCTTGACTACTGGCCGACAGCCTTGAAGTGTCTGTCAGATATGCAATTTCTCCGCCGAATTCGACTCTTTGCTAAAGACAAGGTACCACCCAATATCATGTACATCATCAGGAAGAACTACATCAGTTTGGAAGAGTTCTCTCCAGCTGCTATTCGAGCTGTAAGTCTTTTCTTACTGTAAAAGTATACTTTTTTAGACTTCGGTAGCAGCTGAAAGTTTATGTTTGTGGGTACGAGCCCTGGAATCATATGATACAATATCAAAACAAGTGGAACCGAAGAAGCAACGGCTGAAGAACGCGGAAATGATGGTCAAAAGTAATATGAAACAGCTGGATTCGAAACGGAAGGCTCTGACTGACGTCACGGAACGCCTGCAACATCTGAGCGACTTGTTCAGTCAACAAAGTCAGAAGAAGCAAGAACTTCAGAATCAGATCCAAGCCTGCGAACAACGTGTTCAACGTGCCGTTCATTTACTCACGGCCCTCGGTGGGGAACGTTCACGTTGGGAGAAGAACATTGTGGATCTGGAGAACGAGCTTCAGGTCTATCGCAGAACAATGTTGATCGCGGCTGCTATGATAACATACTTGGGTAATGTTGAAGATACGATGAGAAAGAAGGCGATCAGTTTGACTGCAGCTGCTGTGCGATACGAGAAGGCGTTCACGATGAGAGTGATTCTGGATCATACTTCGATTTTGTATGATGAAAAGGTAGGGGCGGGGGGTAGGGTAGGGTTGGGCAGGGTATTGTAAGGCATCGTAGAGTATAATGCATTCAATACTGTAGAACAGGGCAGGGTACTATAAGCTAAATTATCTTAAATCTGAGACTAGGATACTGCACGTGTTAAGCAGGATGAAGGCAAGGTGTTGAAGTGTAGGCATGATAAAAGGAGTGAAGGTAATGGCAGGGCACTTTAGATAGCATAAAAGGCTAGGATACTGTAAAGTAGGGAAACATGTGACCGGTGTACTGTAGGTACAGGAAAGTTAAAAAGGGGGTACGGTATGGTAAAGGTAGGGTAGGGTAGGATATATATGATAGGATAGGATGCAGTAGAAAAGAGTAGAATATGGTAGGGTGATGTGAAATACGAAATGTCTCTTTTGTAGTATCAATTTTCAGAAAGAAAAGCTGGTCGAAAACTACACAATTATCGATTATTCTCGAAAACCGCCATTCATAATCGATCCTCATGGTGAATCACATCGGATGTTACCTCGATTACTCGGTGATAACATGATGATTGTCGACCTGATCAAGCCCGACGTAGCCGAAGGCATAAAAGTGGCAATCGAGCAGGGAAAAACATTGATTTTGGATAATGTCAGTGCTCCACCACCATTATGTGTCACTCAGGTTGTTAAGCCTAAGTTTGTTTTTGATGAACAAAAAAAGGTAAGTTTAGGCTTATATTTGGGTAAGGGTTGTTTTTCGTGGTTTGTAAAATACGTTTTTTCATTTTGGTCAGTAAATTTTTAGGGTGGGGTAAACTTTTATATTGAGTGGTAACTTTTTTTTACCCCGCCTTTTGAAACTTATGTTTCATGCTAAAAGTGTTTTTTTGATTTAATACTTACAAATTTTACAGGGCGTGGTAAATTTCTATTTTTCAAATTTCGAAATTTTTTAGGGGTGGGGTGTAAAAAATTTCTTTGCCGTACCTAAAGAAAAAATTTTATTTTTTAGTTAAAATTACTTGTTTTGTTTCAGTACTTACAAGTAGAAAGCCACCTCCTCGAATGTCACCCCCAATTTCGAGTTTATTTGCGCTCCGATCGTTTGGACAAATTCACAGTGGATTTTTTGAAAAATGTAAGTTTAGGTGTGTAAAATACGTGCTATTTATGTGAGTGTAACATAGATATTTTTTTTATGTTTTGGTTTTTAGATTTAATTAGTTTTAAGTCAATTAAGCCACGTTAGACAGAATGCCAAGCTTGGCGGGAAAAAATAAATTTGAAATTTTTTATATTTTTTGAAAAATGTAAGTTTTGATGTGTAAAATACGGATTTTTTTTCTTTTGTTTTTTCAAGTTTTAAGTCAAATAAGCAACGTTAAACAGGATGCCACCGCTCCCCAAACCGCAAAATCAATCAAAATATAGATTCGTTATCGATCGTCTTTTCCGATAATTTGTGACTTTTTCTTTATTGCGGCCGCTTTTTTATTTTTTTGTCGTGTTTTCGGCTGTAATAGGGTCCAAACTCGACGGATTTTCATCGGTTTTGTTCCCAGAGAAGCGGAAAAATATAGTTAATATTTTAAACTAAATTTAAAACCATGTCTTACAACATATAAATCGTGTAATTTAAAATATATTTTACAACATTTTTCTATTTTTAATTATTCGAATCAATCGTGGAGGCGACGAAATGTCTACAATCGATTTTTTCATAATTTTCTATTTTTGGGGAGCCGTGGATGCCAATTTCACCGGGAAAAAAATTTAAATTTTTCTATTTAACTTTTTTGAAACATTTAAGTTTATTTACGCAAAATACGTTTTCCATTTTTCTTAATAAGATTATCTTTCTTATTATTTTCAAGTTATAAGTCAAGTAAGCAACGTTAAACAGAGTGTCAATTTTGGCGGGAAAAATGAAATTTGAAATTTTTTCTTTAAAGTTTCTGATGAATTTAGAACACGCAGGCCTTAAAATTGAAAAAAAGGTTGTATTTTATTTATTCAATGATATGTATGACGAATAAAACTTTTGCAAAAGCTTTTGATTTTAATAAAAAATGGCATTTAATGAAATTTTCAAATTTGGCGGGAAAAATGAAATTCAAAAAATTTTTCGACGGATTTGTTTAAACCAAACTTTAAAAGTGTTAAAACTTAGTTTTCAAGCTTGATGTCAGATTTATAATTGTTGGTTTTACTAAATTTTGATAAAAAATTAATTTGAAAATTTTGGCGGGAAAACTGGAATTCAAATTTATTTTTCGAGTTTTTGTGTTTTTATTAAAATTTTTTAAGATTTCTGGATGACTTTTTATTATAAATGACATTTTTAATTTTTTTAATTGAAATTAGGACTATTTTTTTGTATTTTAGGTAATAAAAATAAAAGATATGTTGTTTTAGGTTTCAAAAATGGCAAAATTTTTGATTTTTTGGCTTGTAAAACCTTGTAGAATTGACATTTTAAGTATTATTACTAGATAATCAATCTATAAGCCAAATTTATTCATGTATTTCTTAAAGTAGTCTAGATAAAGCTGCTCATCTTTAAGTTTTTTTTTACAAATTTTTAGGTAACAGTAGTGAACGTCTCACTGGGCCGCAACGTGATTCAAGAGAACGTTATGAACCTCTTTCTCAGCGTTAATTTGGAAGAGATGACACAGAAGCGAGACGAACTCAGCGACGAAAAAACGTCATTTTTAATCCAACTAGACGCCCTGGAGGAGAAGATAATGGACGTGCTGGGCAAATCCAAGGACCTGGACAACGACCGTGTGATGGACATGTTGGGCGGGGTTCGTGAGCTGAGTCAGAGCTACGAATCGCGGAGTTTCGAGCTGAATGCCCTCGAGGAAAAGTTGGAAAAATTGAGTAAAAAGTTCAAAGAACTGGCCATCTTTGCCTCGAGGCTGATCTTTATCAGCATGAACTTGAGCAAGCTGTCGCCGTTCTACTTGAGAACGTTGAAGTTCTACTTTCAAGTGTTTAAGGAGGCAGTTCAAGCTGATTCTGCCACTTTGAATGAAGGGAGGGTTGAGGATGTGAAGGCGAAGGTGTTGAAGGCTTTTAATGAAAAGATTACCAACTCATTGTTTGCTCAACACCGTGCTGTCTTTGAGTTTTTAACCAAGAATGATGTTGGTTACAAGGAGTAAGTTATATTGTACTTACTTTACTGATAAAATTTTGTTTTTTGATAACTTGTCACTTTTTTACATTTTGGACGTTTTTAAAAGAAGAGCTGACATAAAATCAAGTTTTTATGATATTTTAGGCTCAAAAATTATTTTTTTTAAACTTTTTTTTGTTTTTAAATGATGGCGACATGTTTCATCGTATAACATGTCACTTTTTTCATATTTTGATATATTTAATGATTTTAATTTTAAAAAATGGCAAATAGATTGGCTTTTATGACATTTCAAACCAAGGAAGTACATTTTTATGACATAGTTTTCTCGTCGATGAGACGGGACATGTTTCATCGTATAACTTGTCAGTTTTATAAAAAATTGTTGTAATTGGTCGATTTTTGGAAAAATTTTTTAAAAATGACTTAAGGTAGATAAAAAAATGCTTTTTAAAATTTTTTTAATTGAAAAATGCAAAAACTTTCTTTACAAAACTTAAAATGGCAAAAACTTTCTTTACAAAACAAGAAATCGCAAGAACTTTCTTTACAAATCAAAAAAAGGCAAGAACTTTCTTTACAAAATAAACAATGGCAAGAACGTCCTTTTCAAAACTAAAAAACGCAATAACTTTCTTTCCAGCCTTCAAAAAATGTCGGAAAAAGACTTCATTCAACAATATACCAAACACATGGAGCCCACCGATCTAAACCTCCGTCAAACAATAATCGACCATGATTCGAGAATACCCATAGCCATTTTACTGAACGCTCAATCGACGTATGTCGTGAGGAACCTGTACACAATATCAAGACAGGTTGAGAGGATCGAACCCAAGAACTCGATGGATCCGAATCATAACCCGACCAGGATTCAGATGGCTCCAGTCGAGAATCTCAAGACTTTTGATTGGAGGAATTGCTTGATCGACGATCAGTGGCTCATGGTTCAGGTAGAGTGCGGTAGGGTAGAGTAGGGTGCGGTAGGGTAGGGTAGGGTAGGGTAGGGTAGGGTATGGTAGGGTAGGGTAGGGTAGGGTAGGGTAGGGTAGGGTAGGGTATGGTAGGGTAGGGTAGGGTAGGGTAGGGTAGGGTAGGGTAGGGTAGGGTAGGGTAGGGTAGGGTAGGGTAGGGTAGGGTATGGTAGGGTAGGGTAGGGTAGGGTAGGGTAGGGTAGGGTAGGGTAGGGTAGGGAAGGGTAAGATGGGTAGAGAAAGAATGAAGAAAAATTTAAAAAATTTTACTTTCAAAAACAATTGTGTTGGGATCCACATTGATGTTATTTGAATTAAAAAGGCTTTGTAACGCAAAATGTAAGGTTTGAAACATTCGCTGTGGGACCGAAAATCAACTTTTATATATTGAATGAGACTGAAAAGGTTAAAATGAGGACTTTCAAACAATCGCGGTGAGACACAAATTAATATTTTAATCACGAGTAGAGTAGGGTAGTTCATGGTCGGAGTCCGGTATGTTACTGTGGCTTTTGGTCAGATATTGTAGTGATTAGGTTGAGCTACAGAATTCGTACCGTAAGCTGTAGGAATTGAACGATAAGACTAGAGGAGAAAGGAGGCAAAATTAGGTGCAATGGTTAGCGTACAGTAATGTAAAGCATACTGTATTGTGAGATGGGTTAGGATGAGGTAGGGTAGAGCAGGATAGAGTAGGATATAGTAGGGTAGAGTAGGGTAGGATACGATAGGGTAGAGTAGGGTAGGGTAGGATACGATAGGGTAGGGTACGGTAATCTAATTTCATGTCTTGTAAACAAATTTTTTGCAATTCTACTACTTTAGAACTGCCAACACCTGGATGGAGACCAAATCATAGCCCTAGAAGCCCTGATCGACCTAATTGCGAACGCTGAGGAACGACGAGAAACGTTCCGAATGTTCTTGATTATTTATCCGGAGAAGGGTGAGGCTCAACATTCATTGATGGGAAAATGTAAGGTAATTACATTGGACGATGACTACAGTCTGAAAGGGTTTCTACAGTACTGTTACTCTACCATATCACCGAGTTGGTTGCATGATCAGTTGGATACGGTAGATTTCTATATTTTTTGAGTTGTAAAGAAAGTTCTTGCCATTTTTTGGTTTGTAAAGAAAGTTTTTGCAATTTTTGTTTGTAAAGAAAGTTTTTGCCATTTTTAGTTTTGTAAAGAAAGTTCATGCCAATTTTGTTTTGTAAAGAAAGTTTTTGCACTATTTTTCAATCTTTAGGCCCAAAGACGTGAAATGCTTTACCGACTGTGCTGCTTTCATTACTGTATTGTAGAACGCTGTAAATATGGCATTTTTGGATGGATCACTGACTTTACGGTTTCTACTGTCAATTTTGAAAGTGCTGCTAATTTGTTTAAGGTAAGTTGTTTTTACACTTATTCGTACCCTTAGCTCTAAAAATCGACCTTTTATTCGCTAATAAAAAGTTTATGTTGGGTCCCACCACGATTGCCTGAAAGTTTAAATTTTTGCATTTTAGGGTTTTTCAATATTAAAAAATTGCATTTTGGTCATATCACGATTGTTTTTGAAAGTAAAATTTTTCTTTCACTAGGTTTTTTTAACAAACAAAATTATATTTTGGTCCCAACACGATTGTTTGCATATTTAATATATTGCTTTTTTAAACTTTTTTATATAAATTTGGTCCCACCACGATTGATTTCAAACTTAAATTTTAGATTTTTATTAACCTTTTTTGATAAAAAATTGAATTGTGGTCCCACCACGATTGTTTCTAACCCCCTAAAACCTTGCTTTCCAGGACCTCTGTGACCGTTGGTCGGAAATCACGTTCAACTCCCTCTGTTCCAACGTTCTCGAAATTGCTTATCTTGCCGATATGACAGACAAATATGACCTTCTAGTCTTCCGCACCATCGCTCAATGGATCTTTGCCGGCCTTAACAAGCACGACAACGCCACAATCGACAACCTCCACCTAAAGACCTACAACTCAACAGCCCATGGCATCTTGGACCAGGTAAAGAAGAACCTATTCCCACGAGATACGGTAATGTCAGGCCTAAATGACATAGTAATCAGAGCCACAAAGAAGCGACAAGTCGTGGCTGTAAAGAAAGTTATTGTGGAAATGTTGCACGAAGACGAAGATAATGTATATGAAGTGGAAGAAGAGGTGGAAGAGGATGGTAAAGAGTATGTATACGCTGTGACCAGTAGTAACGAAGAAGAAGTGGCATCTGGAGTCGAATATTGTGTTAGGAATGAGATCAGAGCTATTGAAGAGGCTGGCATTGCTTCGAAACGGTGGGTTTGACTGTGGATATATGGGGTTTTACTGTGGATACAGGTTGCTTTACTAAGACTACATTGGGTTTTAATGTGAATATCATTGCGTTAAACTGTGAATATAATGACATGTTTACTGCTTATGATAAAAGTAGTCTTTTAACACTTGAAAAGCAAAATAGTACCAGTAGTACCAATTTTGTACCAGTAGTACCAATTTGTAAAAAATTTTTTAAATTGTAATTTTTTGTTGGAAAATACCTAAAAAAATTATTTTTTCTTGTTTTAAAAGTAGTATTGGCACTGTGATACCAGTGATACCACTTGGTACCAGTAGTACCATTTTGCTAAAATTTCAAAATATGTAATTTTTGTTTAAAAAATACAGAAAAAATAACTTTATTTGTATTTTAGTACCAGTAGTACCACTTTGGTACCACTAGTATTATTTGACGAATTTTGGTAAAATTTTACAAAAATTTTAATAAAAATGTGATAGAATACTTTTTTGACCTTAAAAGTACTAAAAAATGAAAAAAAAAACGGTAAAAAGGATAAAAAAATTGAAGTTTTACCAATAGCACAGTAAAAATTCATAAAAATATTTTTTTAGGTTAGCTTACCTAAAATCGCTGTTAGAGCAAAGCGAAGGCATACAGCGAGTCGAAATTCGACATTTCCAACGGCCTCAAGCCATTTTAGAACAACTAAAACAAGATTATGCGAAAAGGCAGAAGTTGCCACTGGATGAGGTAGGTAAAATACGTCTCTTCCAGCTTTCAGGGTATGAAATTTCAATTTTATTCTTAACACAATTGTTTTTAAACTCACAAGGAAGGTACCCGACCTGCAACGCTCAGATTTCGTTCAAACTTTTTTTATTGAAAGGTCGCGTAAGTGTAAGATGTTATGCAAAATTCTAACTTGCGGTTTGCGGGCAGTCTTGAGAAAATCGAGGTAAAAAATTGCGTTTTGAATAAATTGGCATAGCGTTTCAAGCTTTTAACTTTGTCATTTTTTGACTTTTAGCTATTTCTTTACCATAGTGATAGAAAAGCTTCAGATGAACCTGCAATTTTAAATTTGTAAGCCTATCTTTTCTGGAACACCAAAAAAAGTGCTTGCAACACAATGCCAAATTGGCGGGAAATTTAAATATATTAATTTTTAAACTTAAAACTGCAAACTAAGATTTTTATATGTGCTACTGGTACTACAAGGAATCTGTATAAAAATTTTGAGCTAATTGTGAGAGTTGCAGGTTGGGTACTTTTGTTGTCAATTGTTTTGTCCCCCCCCCCCCTACCACTACTAATACTCATAATCTTGTACCAACCCCACCATCTTCGTATCTTTGCTCTTTCCATTGTACTTTTATCTGCACTAAGCACGTGGTTTAGTCACGCCTAATAGCTTGCCCATGCTTTACCCACGCCCAACATCAAAAAAACTTTAAAAAAGAAACAAAATTGTAGCTACTGGTCTACGGCACGCTACGAACCCCGGTAACCGTAGACTTTGTCGAATTCGCTGGCTGCTACATCTTCGGCGCTGGCTATGACAAAGACTATAACTGTCTACAAGAAGCGCGCAAACCCATCCAACCGGTCGATTCGGTTTATGTTTTGGTCAAACGAAAAAACTTGCAAATTAAAGCCGAAACCCTGAGGGTACCCTTGTACTATAAACAGCTTAATGCTGGCTTCGCACATTTGTTGGATGTTGAGATTGAGAGTAATATACCGCCGAATCACTGGCTGTTGAGAGGTGTCAAGTTATGCACTACTAGTCCGATTAAAATGGAAATGGAGGAGGAATAAATTATTTTAAATATGTTGTTATAGGCGGTAATATACTATCAAATAAAAATCAAAATTCAGTTAAAATAGAAAGTTCACATCGTACATTGCAAGAACTTTCTTTACAACTCAAAATGATGCTAATTATCGTATAACTTGTCACCCATGGCCTGCAGAACGCACAACTTTTGTTATTTTACAGAAAAAATGGCAAAAACTTTCTTTCCAAAACAAAAAATGGCAAGAATTTTCTTTACAAAACAAAAAATGGCAAGAACTTTCGTTACAAAACAGAAAATGGCAAAAACTTTCTTTACACGCTAAAAAATGGCAAGAACTTTCTTTCCAAAACAAAAAATGGCAAGAACTTTCTTTATAAAACAGAAAATAGCAAAAACTTTCTTTACAAATGCAAAAATATATAAAATTGTGTTTTGGTTTCATTTTGGTAACCAAAACCCAAAGAAACAGTGAAAAGAAGTTCCGGGAGTGTGATGGCTATTTGATTCGAAACTGTAATAAATCTTTGCACTGGCTCAACAATTTATGATTGAACCGCTTTTTCCAGTTAACTTGTTATTGTGTTTCGTTGTAAATTCGATATTGGTTTGGTAAGGTTGTTAACTTACATTTTAAAAAATCTTTAATTTTTTAAAATTTGTAAAAAAAGTTCTTGCCGTTCTTGATTTGTAAAGAAAGTTCTAGCCATTTTTTGTTTTGTAAAGAAAGTTTTTGTCATTTTTGTATAAAATAACAAACATTTCGGGTTGTGCAGGCTGCGAGTGACAAGTTATACGATGAATAGGTTTTTTTCTAATAGTCGTGAGTTTTGTAAAGAAAATTCTTGCCATTTTTGTTTTGTAAAGAAAGTTTTTGCCATTTTAATTTTTAAAGAAAGTTCTTGTCATTTTTTACGCCTAATTTTTTAAAAATCTTCATCATTGTGTTCTGCAGCCTGCGGGACCCATGTTATACGACTATGCCAAAGTCAAATCTTTCAATTTGTAAACAAAATTTTTCTCATTTTTTATTTTGTAAACAAAGTTTTCGCCATTTTTTAGAAAATGTCATATATAATATTACTGCCAATCCTATCAATACTATGTTTAAAATCGCTAGCACATGATTTACCTGTCGATTGTGCCAACATCCCACCTTCGTTTTACTGTAAGAACGAGGATTTGACCAAGCATTGTGACGTGGACAATTTATGCAAAAATATTGAGAAAAATGCGTTTGGAAAGAAGATCCAAATGACATTGTTATACGAAACGTTGTGTCCGGACAGTCAAAGGTTCTTTCCGAAATTGGTCGAATTTATGGAAGAGTACGGTAAATTTGTGGAGCTGGAAATGGTACCGGTTGGGAATGCGAATTATGCTGTAAGTTGGTACTTTTTGATACGAATTTACAGTGTATTAGCTTACCTAGGGTTGGCAGAGTAATGTAAGGTAAAAATATTTTTCAAAATTTTGTAGTTGTGGCTTAGGCTTAGCTTCAGGCTTGGATATAAGTTTGAGGTCAGACTTAGGCTTAGTGTTAAGCTTAAGGTTAGTCTTAGGCTCATGCTTATGTTTAGGGATTGTTCAGCCTGTGCATAGACTTAAACGTAAGGTCGTGCTTAGGCTTGTACTTAGGCTTGAACAAAAGCTAGCTTTAGTCGTAAAATTAAGGTTAAACTTGAACTTAATCCCAGTTGCTTGAGTTTTAGACTTGAACATAGTCTTAAAGCTTCAGCACGTAGCCTTACAATGTTAGGCTTAAACTTTGGTTAGCACAAAAGAATTTAGATTGAGCAAAGCATGGTATATAAATATAATATCTGTATGTCTTTTTAGCCGAATGGCACACTTTTATGCCAACATGGTCCAGACGAATGTTTAGGTAACAAGTATCATGCCTGTGCTTTAAAAGTTGTTAAAGAGCCAATGCAGTACCTTAATTGCACTATGCTCTATTGGTTGTACAAGATTCCATTGATGGATGGGCTTCAAATCTGTGAGACTTATATTAGTCAGCACGAACTTATGGATATACGGTAATTAAAAAAAATGTTAAATTAAAAAAAAAATTTTTTAAAAACCAAAAATTAAGAAAATATTTTATTAAAAAAATTTAAAATTAAAAAAAAATTTTTAAAAAATAAAAAAATTTCAAAATTCAGAAAATGTGTGTACGATGGTACAGCCGATCGTATTCAAGCTGCCAACTTTAATAAAACCAAAAGTGGTTGGCCGGAACGGCATCAGGGCGTGCCTTGGATGTTCTTCAATAGCGTCAGCATGAGAGCGGCCCAATTTCATATGCGCGATTTGAGTGGTGCGATTTGCGATTGGTACCAAGGGAATGAAGCTGCTCCTAAACGATGTGACAAGCTTTCTTAAGTTTGTTTTTATTATATGATATATATATATTAATGAGAAATAAAGTTTACTGTCTACTACAGTTTTAAAGGGCGGGTGAAGAAAGGGTAGAGTCAGTTTGAGTGCATGAAGAAGGACAGACGAAGGTTATTCGGACACCTTACGGAGGAGGAGAGTTGGCTCTAAGTAGTCGTGGAAGATACTCATAGAGGAGGTGTGTTTGGATGCGGCCGCTCGACAAACCGTCACGAAGAAGAAATGATGAGAATTCCCATAGTTATGCAAATATCTCTTGATGTTATGGATGCACTTTGTTTGTTCTAATTAACGGTGCAGAAGCCGGGGATTTCCGAAATAACTTTATTTACAGTGAAACTCCTGTATAACGAACTCTCATTTACTTTATTTTATTTATTAGGTTGTTCCCTTACTTCTGCGCCCCCTGCCTTCAAAGCAAATTTGTGGGGTAAGGGGGCGCAGAATTATGTGAACAACCCAATACTTCACATTCATCAAACGTCTACAATTACAATTCGAAAGATATAGATTAGATGATTTTGATGCCGTAGATTGTAACGTACAGTGCTGATGTGCATGGATAGATTCGTTCACGGTTCAGATGAAGACCAACGGAGCTATCCTTGAGTCTGACATTTACCATAATTGGGCCTTTACCCAGTTATCGCACTGCTTCACGCGTCGCAGAGTTGCGGGTTGGGTGCTCTATAATACTCCTGGAGTTTAATCATATACTCGTGTAAGCCAAGTATAGATTTTGGGTTTCCGTGCACTCAGCACTGCTCATTGCTTAAGGCACTTGTTTTGAGCAGGCGCGGAGTCAAACCAAGGTCCTAGCGAGCGGCGCCACAGCACCGCGCTACCAACGCACCTTTGTTTTACTGTGACTATGTCGAACGTGTATAGAGCAGTTGAGCTAAATATTGAAAACCTAATATTGATACACAGTTATAAACTAAGATTTTAATGTTCCTTTTAGCATCTGTCGTCTCACATTTGTGCACTTTTACGCTCTAACTTTCTAATTTATTTTCAACTCCAATCCCTCTAGGTCCATAGCGGCAGCAATTCTGAATGGACGGGACTGTTGTCGGGTCATCCGTGTGAGGTCTTGAATGATGCTGGGAGGCTTAGTTAGAACTCCTTCAGTACGGCGGCACAGGGCCATCGTTGAAGCGGTTTCCATTTTCCGATCAGGTATCAAAAGAACATTATCGCCAAAAAAACTTTCTTTACAAAACAAAAAACATGGGAATTAATACGAGTTATCCAATGGTAAGGCACATATTTCTTTATTTTGTTGAAAGTTTAGGTTCACTACAACGGGGAATTGTGTGGTTTTCAAGGTGTCTGCCCCCTGGACAACATTGTATGGCTTTCCGAAGCCATCCCCAAATCCCAGTTCAATGCAAAACCCAAGTTTCCCAGGAAAAGTTATTACTTTATAGTTTTCTTGCTTTATAATTTGCCCTCAATGATCCTGCTTTTACTAATCTATTTTTTTCTTGGTTTACATTTTTTCTGACTCGACGTCGTGTATACAAACGTTTATAATGTGGTTTTTCTAATAGTCTTGTTAAATCTACACTCTTGTCAGAATCGTGAATGTCTGTACAACAACCTAGGACCAATGATCTTCAACCTAAATGGACACACGAGGAAAGTGGGTGTTCCCAAGTCTCAATTGACTACATTTGTGTTGTTCTAATCATAGAAACTTATACAGTTTACAGTTTATTAACCTTTTTTCTATCAAAGTAAAATACAACTTATGTCAGAATATATTGTATTCACTAGAACTGATGTAGGTTCTCATACCGAATTGCCATGTGTTAGGATTTTTCGTCTCCATCCAATTATGTCTAATTGTCTTTCTAAATTCGTCTGTCCATCGTAGTCTCGGTCTACCAACGGGTCTCTTGCCTGGGGGGATCGACATTATGACCTTCTTTATCCATCGTTTATCTTGTGCTGTCAACATCTTCCAAGCACAGTTCCACTTCTTCTCAGTCGCTACAATTCTTTTATTTTAACGAGGAGTTCGTTTGTGGGGAGTAAGTTGTAGGACGCTTCCTTTCCTTTTTTTTAAGGTTCGGTAACAAACGGGTCGGCCAGACTATACGCTATAGCGCTGACGAATAGAGTTTCGTTCGAAAAGGACGCGCGTATTAGCTTAAGTGTCCCGTTTTCGGTGACAGTTTTGTAATCAAGTATTTGGCTAAGCTGAATAAGCAATGGTTGGTTAGTGACAGCCGGTCGTTGGCTACGAAGCATAGCTGCGTGAGCTGGAAAAACGCCTAATTCACATTGTACCGAAATGATAGTATAATTAGTGAGGTTACTAATTATCGCAAGTGACTTGCGAGTTTCGGGGATCGATACGATGGTGTATCTTGTGATTACGCCAGATGGTTTGGGATATCCTAAAAGGCTATCGTAACATTCTAATCTTTTGTAATACTAAGTACAGTAGCAATAAAAAAGTTTAACTATACAACATAATATTTTTAACAAAACTAAAACTATTTTTTTCCTGTACGACGAAATTTGAAATTTACTTTAAACTAAAATTATGGAGTATTTAAGAGATTTCTGTTTGCTTTATGTGAAAAACGAGTTTTAGAAACATTTACTTACATATGTGTCAATTGGGTTGCCGGAGTACACACGTAGATATCAGTGGAGCGGTGCTTGTCATAATACAAATAATCGCGGCCCCACGACAATTAACTTTCTAATTCATTCCCTCTGACTCTTTAAAGAAGGCGGGGCTTACATTATATAAAAAAACCCGCTGGTCCTGAATAACCTTAAGTTTTACGTTAGTTACGAAAAATTAGTAATTTTGAATAATACAAAACAATGTTGTGATGCTTGTACATATGGAATACAAACTTGGCTTCAGAAATAAAAACGGTCCTGTGCTTTCTGAACAGGCAAAGCGAGGACAAACTGTTGAATACCTCCTGAACCGGCAGGGCGAGGACAAACTTTTCGGTACCTCCGAAACAGGCAGGACGAGGACGTAATCGTCGGTTTTTAATTCTAACAAATTTGTAACTCCCCTGGTAAATTCGAGGGAGTTACGTTTTTTACGATTTCCCTCGGACAATTCCATCCGATAAGGCGGAGCTTATAAGAAGCATCTAACCGTAAACCTAAAAACTAAAACTGCATTTTTAAAACTTTACGCTTCCTGTCGCTAATGAAGCCTCACCACTTATACCCATCTAGTGGGCTTTGTAGCTTAAATTCTTGTTGAATTTTGGATTCTTACACGTTCAAATGAATTATAATTAACTCGTGTTTACGTCAACACATCTGTCAAACGTTGGTAATTAAATACTACGGTGTATGCGTATAGTGCGTCGTTCCGAAGTAAAATGTTGTTGTTGACCATATGAAATCAATGGATAAGCCACATTATTGTTAATTTTTGTGTAGTGGGTACTTACGACCCGTTTTTTTCCAAAGCAGACCTAACACAGTACAAAGCTAAATTTTTTGAAATGTACAAGAGAACTAGTTCATTTTGGATTTTATTACGGAGATTCGTAGCGAGAGCGTCCTATTCACTATACTTACAATAACACAAACTATTGAGGATTCTGGAGGAATCCGCGCAGGTCGTTCCGTACCGTTAAAATGACCGTGAGGTCACACTCAAATCCTTCGCACGCATCAAATGTCAAAAGTTTGGCTTCAGGGTAGGAATGTTGATTACGATGGCTATGTTGTAGCAATCCAGGTTACCGCATAAGCGCAAAGTGCTCCGTCAACGTCCCATTGCGGATGGTATGCTTGTTCAGGAGTTCCGTCAATACCATTATGGTTTCCTGTCGTTGCGCAACGTTGAATATTGAGTACGAGGATGTGAAGTGGTCGATCCATACAGATTGAACAAGTGGAAAGGCTGATCGCTTCCAAAGTGGAGTTGCAGATCTTTGGTGAAGGTGCGAGTACCAGCATAGGAGAGTCTTCCATCATAGAAGGCCTGGGATACTAATTACGCCATGTTTTTACTAAATCTGTAGAGATGCTTCAAAACGGTTTGACTCGTGCGGTGGTCTTGCTGTAAGATGTTTAGAAGTCTCTTTTCACCGAATCGTTGCAGTAGAGTGTAGTTGTCATCACACGCTGTGGTTAATTGCAGGGGTCACCCACTATGAGTGCTCGTTTAATGTGAGCTTTCAGTTGGAGTTCGAGGTCGCGGAGCACGTCAAGAAAAAACAATTATGGGTTTGAGTCCCAAACGGAATTTTGGCATTATGCAACAACGGAGAAAAAAAATAATTTTGCGTTAGTTTTTTCTTTTTTACTATTGCAAAACCGAGAAAATATTGTCTTTTAGGTAACATATATAGCAAAAATTTTGCTTTTAACTCTACAAACCTAATCACTAAAAAACTCAAAATACTACAAAAAGGTTTTGGTTTACAATCAAATGTTAAAGCAAATATCCAACAATATGATTGAACAACGCTTTCACTACAATTGCAGAAGAACTATTGGTTTATCACGGTAAAAACGGAAAGATTTATTAAGCTTGTCTACTATGGAAGCATTTCGCTCTGCATTTCTTTCGACTTTTTCTGTCTTTTGGTTTTTATGCCTTTTTGGTTTACTTCAGCATCGTTTGAAGCACTACCGGTTATTTTGCTGTGTTTATGGTCATTCTCAAATGGTTTTTGCAAATTCCGTGCCATTTCCCCGTTCTAACAGGAAAATGCGAAACAATGAGTATCCTCGTATATTAGAAGGGTCATCCGTGTTTAAAAACAAAAAAAACTATTTAAACACAACAAAATTTCAATAAAACTACATGAAAGGCGAGCATTTTTGTAAATTCGCGCCGATAATTTATAAAAATTCCCTTCATGGATAATATAAATTTACGTTCTTTAATATCTCGAAAGTTACTCCATAGATTTAAACGTTCTTGGAATCAAATAAAAGGTCTTTTTATTTTTAATCTAAATATTATTGTCGCTATACCTACAAGTGTGCTCGTTTTTGCATTATGTCAATGTTAATATTTGATAAAGTGCATTTTTTGTGCGCGTATAGAACTGTTGCCAAGAAGTCTATTGCGATAGTTTTTTTTGTCAAATGAAGTTAAGATTTTGCTTTTTTATTTGATTAATCGCTTTTCGTGTTATACATAGGTTAACTATCTAAAAAAAAATTCTAAAGTTGACAATGTTTTTAAAGTTTTTTTTCTTCTTGTTGCAGAATGCCAAAAGATTTTCTTTGGATAATTGTTTTTCTATTATTTTTTTTCTTGACGTGCGGAGGGTGATCGAACGTTTCTATTTTCTCGCTCTTCCGATGGTCGCACCATACCATTCAAACTCATTTTTGATTTGGTCAAGTTAGTGTTTGACTAAATTGAGGTGATCCAGAACATCTTCAGATTCATAAGGTCGTGGAAGGTTTTTCAGAATGTCCACACTTTCCAGGATTTGCAAAAACCGACTACGTAACTAACCGTACCATTCGTCTTTTTTCTGTCCTTTGGTTATGTCTTGACTTGTTTTGCTCTTCTTGATCTTGTTCTGTTTGGATCCTCTTCTCGATCTTGTTCTTGATCCTCAGCTTCTTCTAGATTCAGGCACTTTAGCGTATTTACAATGACTTCCATTGGATTGACCTTCGAGTAGATCGGTTTTGCCTAATAAGATCGCCAAACCATTCATATGCTTCTGAATTTGTTGGGCAAAGTCTAATTTTTTACGCTCTACATAACTAAAACATAATAATGATTGATTTCCACCCTTCTGTTCCTTCAGCTTGGGCGGGGGGGGGGCGTGTCTTGTTATGCTACTCCTCCATGGCCAAATTGATCTTCTGGCTGTTCTGGTCGATCCTGCTCGTGCTGTTCTTGGTGGGCTAGTAGAGCCGATTGTTGTTGGTGTGCCGGTGGGGCCGGTTCCATCACTTGCGGGATGACCATGTTCATTCCGTTGTTATGGATGTACGCATCCAGCATCGTTCTGGTCCGGGCGACGATATTGACGATTCCATGTTCCGGTGTGTTGTTTAGTCTTCTATTGCCGTATTTCCGAATGAAGAACGTGGGTACCGGTAAAAAAGGGGCAATGTCCGAGGTCCGGTAGCTATTTGTGTAAAGATCGCGAGGCATGGCCACATTTGCCACAACCGTGACTCCTTTTTGTGGTAGGGGATGGGTCCTATCTACACAGTCATATAGAAAACTGGATGTGGCCGTATGCATCCTCGCCGTAATAGTAGGGCCTTCTTAGGTCTGCTTCTTGTCCTTCATATGATTTTTGTGAATTAGTTGTGCTTTAGACAATGGCGTTGCGCATAACTCTCTCTCCTCTACGCTTGTGTTTTGACTACAATATATTCGAGATTGTGGCTGTAACATATATGAAATATATGGCTAAACCACCGAAACGTATAATTTTAGTTTGTTTTACAATTTACGTCTAGTCTTAATGAAGACTGAGGAGACTAAAGACTGTTTAGCTCTTCATCAATGATCTGATAGACCTTTAGCTCTTCATCAATAAACAGTTATTTCAACATGTGCCATTATGTTATAGCCGGGAGCATTCCAGGTCTTCTAGCCTGCTCACCGAGTTCTTTTACAGAGCAATCTTTAACATTCAATACCTATTTCTTTCTTTATCCTTTATTCACTAGTTGAGGAGACTCTCCATCTGCCCATCGGCAAGTGGAGCCTACAACAGTTAACCCGACTGGCGATAACGGGGATATCCCTGTGTTTTAAAGCGGCTTTCGGACTCATTAATCAGTCTAGGAAACCTTATATTTATAACCTTGTGATTGCCTCGTTACAATTAAATTAAAGTTTCTTACGATTTTTGCATAACAAATAAAATAATCAATTTACGTTTTACTAGCCTAAACTGGGAAGCCGTTAGTGAAAAAAATAAAAATACTTAAAAAGCTGTCAAACCATAATATAACACTAAAATATTATATAAAAGTATTATATGTAGATTAGATGCAAATTAACAATTTTTTATAATAATTTGTGACAAAATTGAATTATATATGTAATATATTAGATATTTATTTGTATTACTATCTAAAATATTTAAATATATATAGAATAGCGTAATAATAAAAAATAGAAAAATTAATAAAAAAAACAAAAAAAAATAATAAAATTATTAAAAATATTAAAATTGTTAAAAAAATAAAAAATAATAAATAAAAAAATTTTTAAAATATTTAGCTTACTAAAAAAAAATAAAAAAATTATTAAAAAAAATAAAAAAATAAAAAAAAATAATAAAAAAATAGAAAAATTACTAAAAAACCAAAAAAAAAATAAAGAAATAATTAAATATAAAACAAAAAACATAATAAAATTATTAAAAAAAGAAAAAAATAATGCAATAAAAAACAAAAAGAATATTAAAATGGCTTTAAAAAAATTAAAAATAATGAATTTTGTTTGTAAAATTGTTATTAGCTACACTATCCCCTCTACCACTGCGCCCATCACAGTGGTAGGAGAGAGGATAGCTGTCTACAACAATATATAATATTAAAATATTATAAAATGAATGCTGAAAAAAACAAAATATCGATACAAAAATCAAAAAGCTAAAAAATATTCGATTCGGTTCACGCGAAAACTGACCTTAATGTTGTGTTTTAGCGTCCCTCAATCAGTCCAAAAATAATTAGGCTTTGGTTTCGGGTAAAAAATAGTAAGGGAGGACTTATAGCTTGTTTATATGGAAAAGAGCGAGCCAATGCAGTAAATTATGTTGCCGCAATATTTATGGCATGTCAATCTAAAAATGGTGCTGTATGTAAAATTTTGAGAAATATAAAAATGTATTTGATAAGACTGGGGGGAGAGAGAGAGGAGAAGGGGTAGTAGGGTGAGGTAATACTAAAAGCTTTAAGTCTAAGCCTAGAACTAAGTTAAGGCTTGATCCGATAATTAAGGCTAAACTTAAGTCTAAATGAGAGTCTGGGCCTAAACTTAAAGCTAAACCAAGGCTGAAGGCAAAGCTTAAGTATAGGCTTAAAACTAAACCTAAGATTAAGTTTATGACCAAGCCTAAAACTAAGCCAAAACCTAATACTAAATTTAATACTAAGCCTAAGTCGAAGCCTAAGGCTACGCTTCAGCCTAATACTAATCCTAAAATCAAGCTTAAGCCTAAGCATAAGCTTATGTTTAAGGCTAAGACTAAGGGTAAGACTAAAACTAAGTTTAAGGCTAAGGTTAAGCTTAAGGGTAAGCCTACGACTTAGCCTAAGACTAAGTTTACGTTTAAGACTAAGCGTAAAGCTACGGCTTAAGCCCATTTTTTAAAAATTTATTTTATGATTATTTTATACTGCATAACAAAATTTAGTCAAAGAAACACTTGACCCAAACCCCTTAGAACGTGTCAAGTGTTCCTCTAATTTCCTATACATATCTGACACATACAAAGCATATACTCCATGCTATATAAATACAGTTTTGAGAATTACTAAAATAACTACATCTGATACCTACATACGACAATCAATTAATTGTATATTACACATAAAATCACAAGATTGTGCCCATATTCATGTAGATACGTTGGATTTGGATGAAAAACTCGTTTATGTAAATACATTACCCTACTGTTAATTGAATTTGTTATGTCTTGCCAATGTTGATGGACTTTTATTACAATTACTGCATGTTATATACTGCTATTCTTGTTTCAGTGGCTATGGTACTTTCTTTGCATTCCAGGTTTTTTGGGGGTAGGCAGGGTAGGGTAGATAAGGTATGTAGGGACTAAGGTAGAACAAAAGCAAGACTAGGGTAGGCATAAATTGCTGTTGGACCAAGCCAGGCCGTTTTTTGGCCCGGAATGCGAGTCAGAGCCTGCTAGGCTGGCCCGGCCTTTTTTTATTTTTTTTTAGTCTGGCTTGGCTTGGAAGCCCAGTCTAAATAGAACTAGAACTAGGGTTCTGGACAAGGCGGAATAAAACAAAATTAAGCTTGGGCTTAAGCTTTTGCTACATCTGGAGCTAGGGCCAGGGTTCTGGGCTAGGGCTCTTGGCTTGGGCTTCAGATTTGGCTTTGGGCTAGGGACTAGAGACTAGGGCTCTAAACTAGAACTCTAGGCTAGGACTTGGGACAGGGGCTTTGGGCTAGGGCTCTAAGCTAGGGCTTAGGCTTAGACCTAAGCTTAGGTTTAGGTTTAGGCTTAGGCTTAAGTTTAGGCTTAGACTTAGGCTTAGGTTTAGGCTTAACTTTAGGTTTAGACTTAGGCTTAACTTTAGGTTTAGACTTAGACTTAGGCTTAGGTTTAGGCTTAAGTTTAGGCTTAGACTTAGGCTTAGAATTTGGCTTAAGCTCTGGGCTAGAGCTTAGCTGAGCAGGGTAATGTCTTTTAGGGTAGTTTTTTTACTGTAATGCCACTTTTTTACTCTAGTAAACTTGATACAATTACAGACTTTCACTTTCACTACCTTTACCTTCACTACCTTCTACCTTCTGCTACGTTAAAGCCAATTACGAACTGAAACCGCTGAATTAATTGAATTTAAAACTTACTTTGCCTGAGGCCAAAAACAATTAAATTTGGCGGCCGCTCACCTCTCCCTGCCCCTCATTATGGCCGCATTACTTCGAAATATGGCCAAGGAAGGTAGGGACCGGACTTTTGCACATGTTGAATAATTATTATTCAAATTTCAGCTGCCTACCTGGAGTGCATAAAAGTCGCCCAGCCGTTTGTTTATCGCCAGTCCGAGGCAGAGAATCGGATCCGTCGGGTGCGAAATGCTGATTACGCCGCTTCTGATGACAACAGTGATGAGTTCGAGGATTCTGGAGTGAGTTTGGGGTGGGATGAGGAGGTTAGACGAGAACATAAGTGGAGGGGGGGGTTGGGGGCGAGGAAGTATTTAAAGAGAGCGATTGATGTGGGTAAGGATAGGGGTAAGAATAAACACATAGGGGAAGGGGGGGGGGGAGCTTTATGCTTATTTTTTAGTCTTGACTTAGGCTTGAGTACAGCTTGTAAAAACTTAGGTTTAAGTGGTTTTTAAATTTCAACTTAAGCTTAAACTTAGAATTAGGCCAATGCTTAATCTGAGGTTTGTCTTAGTCGTAGACTTAAGCTTTGGCTTGGGCTTTACATAGAATTTAAAGTTGGGCTTGAGTTTAAGCTTAAGTTGTCTCCGTAGGTAGCTTATTAGACTCAAGGTTTATATGAAAAGCAGGTTTCTATCTTTTAGCTGAGGTTTAAGCGTTATAGACTCAGGCTTAGTCTTAGGCTTGGCCTTGAGCTTGGACTTGAACTTAGACTTGAACTTAAGCTTGGGTTTGGTCTCGGGCTTGGGGTTTGGCTTGAGCGTAGGCTTACGATTAGGCAGAGCTTTAGGCTTATTCTAAGGCTTAGGTTTAAACTTAGTCTTAACCTTAAACTTAACCATTTGTTTAAAAGTAAGCTTAGGTTTTGGATTAGAGTAAAACTTACGACTAGGCTTAGTCTTGGGCTTTGACTTAAGCTTGTGTTTGGACTCAAGCTTTATGCCTTAGGCTTAGATTTAAGCTTAAGCGTGAGCTAAAGAAAATTAGAATAGAATAAGGTAGGGTAGGATAGGGTAGGGTAGGGTAGGGTAGGGTAGGGTAGGGTAGGGTAGGGTAGGGTAGGATAGGGTATGGTAGGGTAGGGTAGGGTAGGGTAGGGTAGGATAGGGTATGGTAGGGTAGGGTAGGGTAGGGTAGGGTAGGGTAGGGTAGGGTAGGGTAGGGTAGGGTAGGGTAGGGTAGGGTAGTGTAGGGTAGGAGGGTAGGGTACGCTACGGTAGGGTACGGTATGTTTTTCATTTTCAATTATCTTCAGGTACCTCAGTACGTTCCTAAGCGACCTCTACGTCAGAAGAGCCATCGCTGTTTGGGAACGGTAGAGAAGCGGAATGCTCGCGAACGCTCCCGAGTCTACATTGTGAACCAAGCCTTTAGTACGCTTCGGAATCGTGTACCAACGTTGAAGGATAGTACTAAGCGAGTATCAAAGCTGAGGATACTGAAGAGTGCTATTAATTACATCTATGCACTTAAGGACCAGCTGGCTGACAGTGGTGCACATGTTGGGTATTTTGGTACTAATGAAGGGAATGATGGTACTGTAAGTACTATTGGTACTGTAGATACTATTTTGGAACTGCACTGTACTGAACTTGATGGTAGTGCTGTGCATACTATAGGTACTGGTGATACCATAAGCACCAGTGGTATTATTGGTACTGATAATCTTATGGGTGCAAATGGTACTGTTGATCCCAGTGGAACTATAGGTACTGGTAGTATTATGGATACAAGTGGTACTATAGGTACTGGTGGTACCATAGGTTCCAGTGGTACTACTGTACTTACTGATAGTCTTATATGTACAAGTGGTCCTATTGGTACAATTTCACACAGCCGTTGTACTGACGTACCAAATAGCACTAACACTATCAGTATTGGTATTGGTACAGAACTTATAAATGGTACCGTAATATCCAACAATAATGGCAACCGATTAGAAAATGGTACTACTGGTACAGATAGAAGCACTGGACCTACTACGAGTATTGTAAATGATTCTCGTACTCCCACAGTACCACTGGAAGCATTAGAAGCTATCAGCAGCTCACCTACAGCACAAAAAAGCCCTACGAATTTGAATTTTACTACAGTATACATAAGTGAAAGTGTTACCCCTACTCCCATTAGTACTACCATACCCACACCTTTGTATACCACTCAAAATACGAAGTTATCAATGGTCAGTAAGGCTTACTGTACTAATATAAACCTATCGGAACAACCAAAAATCTGCAAAACTACGGTAACCAGCCCGAACTACAGTAAGCCACTTATTGTTCTAGCTCAACCTGAAACTTTTATTCAACTTCAATGCTACCCGAACATCACCACCTACGTATCGTATCCTCAAATCAACAAAGTTTTTAATGAACTTTGATGTATCGTACTGTAACTTTATGTGGATATACTGCATTTTTATGGTTTTTAATAAAATTTATATTTTTTAGGTTTGAAATGTAAAATAAGATTCTGTATATACCCTACCCTGCCCTACCTTATCCTACCCTATCCTATCCTACCCTATCCTATCCTACCCTACCCTACCCTACCCTATCCTATCCTGTCCTATCCTACCCTACTCTACCATACCTTACCCTATCCTACCCTACCCTACAATACCCTGCCCTAGCTTTTTTTCGTCTTTGCCTTGCCCCGCCCTGTCTTGCCCTGCCCTAGCTTTAGTTTCATTTCGCTGCTCTACCCCGCTCTGCCGTAGTATGTTTTTTGCTATGCCCTGCTCTTCCCTAGTATTTTTTTTCCTAGCCTGCCCAGCCCTGCATTTTCCAATATTTTTTCCCCTGTTCTGCCATTTCTTTTTTCTTGATCTACCCCCGATCTTATTTACCCTACCTTACCACGCCCTGCTTTACAATACTCTACCTAACTCTCTCCTTACACTACCCTAGTTTACTATCCTCTAAGGTATATTAAACAGGTTATTTGCCTTTACAAAGTACTAATACTGCCAAACTCAATCTGCCACAATATTTCAAAACCTTTATATAGTAATCGAAATTGAAATAATATGTTGTAGTAATGTAATAATACTGTGTGTAAAAAGACCGTTGGATCACTAGAATGTCATGTAGATTTAGAAAAGTCAATTTAAAAAGATAAGACAAAATAAAATTTATAAAATACGAAAAAACTACAATTTACATCAATGCCCATTTATGGTTTGGCTAAAGCGAGTTAAGGACGGACTAAAGCGTATTTTAGGCTTAAAAATGTTTTAAAAATTGAAAAAAATGAACTTTTTATGGACTTTGGGACTAATTTTTCAAAAAAAGAGTACCATTTTTTAAAAACTGTAGCATTTTTTCAAAAAATAGTACCATTTTTAAACAAATAGTACAATTTTTATAAAACAGTACCAATTTACAAAAAACAGTACTATTTCTTCCCAAATATTACAATTTTTCAAAATAGTACCATTTTTTTTAAAACAGTACAATTTGAACTTAAGTGTACCGTTTAGTGTACTAGTACAAATAAAAACAAATAAAAGTACCAAAAGGACCAAAAAAAGGCATTTTTAAATTAGTTTTATAAGGCTACATCAATATAAAAAGACTTTGCACAGTGCAAGGGCATTTATTAGACTGCACCGTGCAAAAACAAGTTTTGATAAAAATAACTGTAAATTAAAGCAAAAATTAATATTTTAATAAAGAAAAAAGTGCAAAATGAACATAAAATTAAAAATGTCATTTTGAAAAAATAAAAAATTTTTTTTAAATTTAGAAAAATGTAAAATATAAGGATTATAGGCAATTGAAATCGGGATTTTTATAAAATACGAAGTACGACAAAACTTTAAAATTAGAAAACTCATTTTAAATTCAAAAATTTCAAAAATTTAAAAAACTACAGTAAGAATACAGATTACTGCAGCTTTAAAATTCAAACCTTAAAACATTTAAAAAATATTAAACTTTCAAGAAATGTCATAGAAAATACAGTAACCACATCAGGCGGACCCGCTTCCTTCCAATTGTGTCATAAAGGCAGGGCTTTTGAAAAACTCGGGAATATGTTCGTCGTACTGTTGGATCACCTTGTAGATGGCCTTCTTCCAGCTCGGCTCGGCATCTCGACCATCCCGGAGGGCTTTGAAGAACTCTCGCAATGTCACTTCAACCACATGTGGCAAGGTTTCGGGAGGCTGAAAATTTTAAAATTTAAAATTTTTTTTGAAATTTTTAAAATTTCAAAATTAAAAGGTAAAAAATAGTATTTTTAATCATATTTTTAATTTTAAAGCCCTCTCTTATTCAAATTTAGCCAAAAACAGCCTAAAACATTTTTGCACCGTGCAAAGCCATCAATTCCGTTGCACTGTGCAAAAATCAAAAAGTGCCAGAATATAATGAGGATTGTCAAAATTTTTACATTTTTTAGCTTTATCATTTTAAAAAATGCATTTTCTTATCAGCAGCAAGTTTTTAAAGTTCAATTTTACTTTATCTTTAGCAAAAATGGCAGTCAAAAGCAACTGCACTGTGCAAAACCCAAAAAAGTGGTTGCACAGTGCAATCAATTTTTTTTCGTTTTTTCGCCATTTTAAGCCCTTCTTTGCCATTTCAAACCTTTCCTTACCTGAATAAAGTTGTTTTTGTTGTAGTGAACATTCAGAATTTTGAAAAGCTCATGATCACTGTTAACTTTGATCATTTCCGGCTCAGTAATGCCCTCAGCCAGGTACTGTTTCGCAAATTTCTCCATGTTCATATAGTAAAACTCTCTAAAATTCGAGAACCATTTCACCAACTGTGCCGTATTGTTCTTGTGAAACTGTATATCCGGAAAATAGTTTTTCAACACCGACGACGGTGGGTATCTGGTGTAGAAGAACATTAACTTGGCCTTCCGAAGGTGGATATGAGTCAAGGTGGTGCTCTGACCCACGTCGAAGTACTCGCTATCATCGTTGCTAGATGGAGAGCCCGCATCCACGGAAGCACCATCGAAACGACCATTGTTATAGAGTGGGTGTGGTACCATGGTGGGTGGGAAATAGTTGGCGGCGGGGGAGGAGCGGGCGGATGCCTGAAGGCTCTGGCCATTGTCCCGGACAGCCATGGAGCGAGGGCCACGCACTGAGTCGGTCACTTTTGAACGTTTCTTGCGAGGTGATCCGCTAAAAAGTGAAAAATTTGTGTTATTTCAATGAAAAATTAAAATTCGAGTCTTGGCGGGAAAATTAGAATTTGAATTTTGTGTCAATTTTAAGTATTTAAAACCTGCAAAAAATATGAAACATTAAAAATAGCACCTAAAAATATATTTTTAATAATTTTTTATATAAAAAGCTTATTTTTAGCCAAAAAATTTAAATTCCAATTTTGGCGAAAAAAATGAAATTCAAAATTAAAAAATTTTTTTTTACAAAAACTAGGTAAAATTACTTTAAAAATCAAGTTTTGCAATTGCATAAAAATACTTTAATTTAGCCAAAAACAGGGTTAAGTATTTGAATTTTGTTTTTCCGCCAAAACTTGAATTTGAATTTTTGAGTAAACTAAAGCTACAAAATTAATAAAAATAACATTTTTGGGTCATGTAAGATCATATTTTTGACTTAAAATAATATTTTCACTTTTAAAAAACTCTTTTTCTATCATATGATTCACCAAAGATCTACTACAATATAACAAATCATTCCACTTACTCCTCATTCCTAACTCGACTCATTTGTTGTCCCAAGAATCCATTTAAACCAGGAAACGTAGGTTGATTTGGAAAGATACCACCATTCATTTTGGCCATAGTCATCACCGGGTTCTGAAAATTCATGCCTGAACTCGAGCTAGCTAAGTTCTGATTGGCCAACGCCATTAATGGGTTTTGGTTGTAAGGCATGTTCATTGGGTTGAACATGGGGTTCAGATTAAATGGCAGTCGTTGCTGAAGCTGTTCTTGTTTTTGTTTTTCCAGCTGATGTTGCCTAAGTTGCTGGATTTGGCGAGCTTGTTGCAACAACTTTTCGGTTTCAGCTGCGTTGAAGTGGGAGACTACCTAAATTTAAAATTTTGTTAAAACAACAAGGAATTGCTTGACAAACCAAAAAATGTTAAAAAATTTCTTTACAATAGCTCAGGAACCTTTGAAAACGCTATTTTTGCTTGCACCGGACCGGTCATGTGACTGCACCGTGCAGATTCTTTTTGAGATTGCACTGTGCAATGAGGAGTTAAAAGTAAAATTTTAATTTGTGATGTTTGTAAAATACGTTGAAGCTTTCACTTTCTAAATAAAAATTCGAAATTTTAAAAATTTCAAAGTTTTTACCTTTTCAATGCTATTCTGAACCGAATTCATAAGTTCATCCTTCAAGGCTTGCGAGAATTTGGCCAATAATCTATTGCAAACCTCTTTTTGCAGTTCGTTATCTTGTTGATTGCCTAAGGCGCTGTACACTCGTTTTTGCGCTTCCATAAATTCTCGGAATTTGTTCATATTCACATTTTGGGCCGCTAAGTGTGCTGCCATATTAAAGGGATTGAATTCTGGCTGAGCAGAACGGTTGGATGTGCTGTGCCGTTCTTCTTTGATTTCATCGTCGGAATCTGAAAAATGAGGTTTTTAGTAGTGGAAAGAAAGTTTCTGCATTTTAAAAAATTTTCTAGGGCTACTTTTTTTCTACCATACCATACCCTACACTACCGTACTCTACCGTACCCTACCGTACCCTACCGTACCCTACCGTACCCTACCCTACCTACCGTAGTCGTTTCATAATCCTACCGTATCCCCACTCTAGTCCCATCATTCCTTACCATAGGCTTACAGTAGCCATACTGTAGCTCAACACACCCCACCCTGCCTTCTCCTCTCCTGCCCTTCCTTTTTTACCCTAGCTTGTCCTGCCCTACCCTGCGCTTCGCCCCCCCCGGAATTACGGTACCCCCACCCTCCCCTATCCTCTCCTACCCTTTCTTTTTTTACCCCATCTTGCCTGGCCTGGCCTTGCCCTACCCTTTCTTTTATACCCTAACCTTCCCTCCCCCCCCCCAGAATTACAGTACCCTATCCTTCCTCGCTCCCCTCAGAATTACAGTATCCTACCCTATAATAACCTTCTTTAAAACAAAACTCCCTTCCTACCTTGATTGTCCTGAGGTTCTTCTTCGTCAATAACCGGTGGTCCTTCATCATAATCATCTTGACTATCTTCTTCTACAGTCAGGGTTCGTTGAGGATGGAAGCGTTTTCTCTTCGACGATGAGCTACTGGACATGGCTGAGTGTCGCTCATTACCGTTCTCTGGCTTCTGAGACGTTTCTTCGGTGAAGCCTTCTGGCTTTTCTATTTCGTACTCTTCTAGGCTTTCTAGGTCCTAAAATACGAATTAAATTTTAAAATTTTTTAATTTTAAAAAATTTTTAAAATTTTTAAAATTTTTAAAAAAATGTACAAAATATCTAAAAATCGTATTTTACACATTTCCCTTACATTTTGAGTATTGTCATCCTCCTTGAAAGACGACCGGTCGAGTTCTTGCTTGAAGGAATCGTTGAAGTCGGGCGATGTTTCCTTCTCTTTCTTGTTTTCCTAAAATGTCATAATCAAATAAAAATAAATTTATAAAAAACAAATTTTTTCAGACTTTAAATTTGAAATTTAAAAATTACAAAAAATCTGCACAGTGCAGCCAAAAATGAGCTTGCTCAGTGCAAAGAATTAAAAGCGTGCCAAAATTTTTGAAATGGCAACAATGTAATTTTTGAAAACACGATAAGAAACTACTTTAAAACAGCATTCTAATGATATATTATACTAACCTACCTTTGTTTTACATTTTTAAAAATATGCACAATGCAGTGACTTGTCTAAACTGCACCGTGCATGAACTAAGGGTCGCGGTAAAATTGTTAAAAGTAAAGTAATAAAAAACTTTTTGATGTATATTATTGTACTATTGAACGTCTTTCATACTATATAGCACTGCAATAAAAACTTTTTCAAAAAATTTAAAAAAAAGTTTTTAAAAAAATTGCACAGTGCAGTTGAATATAAGTGTTGCACAGTGCTTAAAATGATTTGTAATACTTAAAATTCAAAATATTTAATTTAAGAAAATTTAAATGCCCGTATTTTACCTTTTTTGCATTTTTTAAATTTAAAACTTTTTTTATTTTTAAAATTTCGAAATTAAAAAAATTTTTAAAATGCCAAATTTTAACTTACATTAAGCTCATTCCGAGCCATCAAAGCAGCAAAGATGTTTTCGTTTTGGCCCTGAGATCCGTTGAATAGGCTGCTCAAAGCGCTCGGATTAAAGGAATTGGCTTGAGAGAACTGTACCAATGGCGGAGGAATGGTACCACCTGACGACATCTGAAAGTAAATATATTTACACTAGCTATTTAAAACGTATTTTACAAAAAGTGTTTAAAAAACGAAAACTATGGTAAAATACGAAATAATTGGCTTGGAGTAGAATCAATTACAAGAACTTTGTTTACAAAACAAGAAATGGCAAAAACTTTCTTTACAAAACAAAAAATGGCAAAAAAATTCTTTACAAAACAAAACATGACAAGAACTTTCTTTACAGAGCAAAAAACAGTTAAAAATATAATTCGTCGTATAACTTGTCACCTGCAGCCTGCAAAACTTCAATTTTTTGTTTTTTTACTTAAAATGGCAAAACGTTTGACTACAGGACAAAAAATGGCAAAAACTTTCTTTACAAAACCTAAAATAGCAAGAACTTTCTTTACAAAACAAAAAATGACAAAAACTTTCTTTACAAGACAAAAAATAGTAACAACTTTCTTTACAAGACAAAAAATGGTAAGAACTTTCTTTCCATTCCCTAAACTACTAACTCTTCAAACCACAAAAGACTATGAATGCCACTCCTAATCCCACCTCCGAATCAGAAGAGGTCAAAAACAGTATTTCGAATCGAAAACTTTTTCCTTTTTCTTGGTTCCGCACCAATGCCGACTAGTCGATCGCCCCGACTTAAGCCCAAAAGACGCACTCCATCAGAATTTGCATATTTAATGAAAAAAACATGATCTTATTTTGGTTGTTCTCGACGCGATTTCGTCGAGAGTGGAGAAGAGAAGAGTGGTGAGTAAGTGGTTCGAAAGGAGAATTATTTGATGATATAGGTATTGATATCACACAAACCTTTACAAACTTTCTTTACAAAACAAGAAATAGCAAGAACTTTCTTTACAAAATGAAAAATGTCAAAAACTTTCTTTACAAAACAAGAAACAGCAAGAGCTTTCTTTACAAAGTAAAAAATGGCAAGAACTTTCTTCACAAAACACAAAATGACAAAAACTTTCTTTACAAAACAAAATATTTCCCCTTGCACATTGCAACAAATTCTGTCTTATTGCACGGTGCAACCAACTCACAAAACGTTTTTTAAACAGAAAAACTAATTTTTAAAAAATTTAAAGCAGATATTTAAAAAAAGGCATTACCTACTCTAAAAACTTATTTATACATCCTCTTTCAATAGTCATTATAAATGGCACTATGAAAAAATTTGTTTTGGTTGCACCGTGCAAAACGTTTTATTCATTGCACTGTGCAAAGCACTTTTCTTCATTACACCGAAAACTTGCACCGTGCGTTTTCTTAGCTGCACTGTGCAAAAAAATTAAAAGTTGCACCGTGCAAGGCATTTTCTTAAAAAAACGTACACCGTGCAATAAATAAAAAGAATTCTATAATAATAAATATCATGTAAAAACACTATGACTCATGCCTTATCGTTATTGACGTTGCTATATTATAGTAAATCTAAATCGTTTAAGTCAATCAAATTCAAAGTTCGAAGCTTGTTTTAAAATGTTCTGGTTGCACTTTTAATACACTTATTACAGCTGCATCAAAAGTAAAACATTAATATACATCTACATCAAACGTAGACCTAAAACGTTACTCTAATCCCACGTTAACCTGAATAACATAGTAAGCATAGTGTTTAAAATGCCTTAATGAGCTGTAAAAGCAATTTTGCTGCTCTTTGAGAGACAAAAGTACAGTAGGACTCCTATATAACGAATTGCGCAAGGGGTTTTAAAAGTTATTCGTTTTAAAGAAGTTTCCTTATAAAGGGGTTTCGTTATACAACAGTTCTACCGTGCTAACTTAAAAAACCATGACAAATCCAAAAAGCAATTAGAAGATAACTTTAGATAACAGTAAAAAACAGCTTAACACCCCTTAATAGTATACATTAGTTTGTAGGTAATACTTTTGTTGCTCTTTTACTATTTCTAAACGTATTAAGAAAGACAAACCCTAAATCTTGTAATTGCACTTTTTATACCTACAGCATCTTGTGTTACCAGTAAAAAACAGTATACAAGACTTACAAATTGTAAGACAAAATCCCTTCTAAAGTTTGTTTTTGTAAGTAAAAAGGAAAATTTTTATTATCCACCCCCAAAAAATTTTTTAAATTTTTTACCACGCCCAATTTTTTTCATTTAAAATTTTTTTTACCATTTCTACTTTAACCAATCTTTCAAAACCTGCTATTTTCGTGTAAATTAACCCCCCCCCCCCTACACTAAATTTTTTTACCACGCCCATTTTTTTTCAAAATTTTTCTTAACACGCCCATTTTTTTTCATTTCAACTCAACTCTTTACTATGCCGACCTTTAACTCATGTTTGAAAATTTGCCATGCCCATTTAAATTATTCCTCCCAAAATTGGTTTTTGCCACGCCCTCCTTTATTTTCTCTAGTCTTCCTTACCGCGCCTTACTAAGAGCCGTTGCCATATCCCTAATTACCCTACCCTGCCTTATCTAACCCTACCCTACCCTCCCTACCCTACTTTACTCTACCCTACCCTACCCTCCCTACCCTACTTTACTCTACCCTACCCTCCCTACCCTACTTTACTCTACCCTACCCTATCCTACCTTGCCCTGCCCTACCCTACCCTACCCTATCCTACCCCTACTCAACCCACCCCACTACTTCACCAACCCCCCTCTACCGTAACCCTGCCTTATTAAAAACGCGGAAACCTGGTTGAGGCGCGGCTGTTTTCAGAAGCCTTGTACTCTCGACGATCGGCGAGAAGAGAGTGGAGTGATGATCTTCATTCCCTCTCTTTCGCCGTTACGACGCCCTTCTCCCAAGGCCTTTGCGGATGAATGAATGGCGGAGGAGGAGGTGGAGCTTTCCTTGCGATTGGTCCGTTACAGACACACTTCTCACTCCCCAATGACGTACCCAATTCACCTGAAGACACCGAGCGTGAAGAAGCAGGAGGATGAGAGAGTGTGGGATTAAAGGAGAGTGGAGAGAGAGGGGAGAGGGAAGGAAGAGGGTATGGGGAAGGAGTAGAGTAAAAGAGTAGAAGGTTGGGTAGGGAATGTAGGGAGGGTAGGTAAGAGAACGGTAGGATAGGGTAGGGTATGGTAGGGTAGGGTAAAGTAGGGTAGGGTAAGACAATTGTAGATTTGTCAGTTTAAGCTTTCTGAATTGACATTTCTAAGTATTATACTAACAAGTACAAGCAGTACGATTGTCTATCGTGTATATACGGCAATTAATGGTTACCACGGCCTCCGTACCTTAGCGTAATGTCATCTATAACATATATACCAAGTAATTGATTGCATTTAGAGAAATTGAGTATCAGTCGATGACAGTATGTAGACAGTATTGTAAGTGCAAGATACTAATACGTGTTTCGTACTCAATGTAAGATTGATAAAGGGAGTGCAGAATGCTATCAATACCTCGTACTTAAAATATTGTAGAGAATGCAAGATGCTAAGTTCATGTAATGTATTAGGTATACATATACTGTAATACAAAGTGAATTCGAAAAAATAACTTAAAATTGCAAGAACTTTCTTTACAAACTAAAAAACGGCAAGAACTTTCTTTACAAACTAAAAAACAGCAAGAACTTTCTTTACAAACTAAAAAACGGCAAGAAATTTCTTTACAAAACAAAAAATTGCAAAAACTTTCTTTACAAATTAAAAGTGCAACTTAAAATTATTGACAAAATTTTTCAATGTTAAAAAGATGGTAAGCCGATATAGACCTTTGATAACATAGATAATCCATGTATAAGTTAGACAGTCTCTTGTCTCTAATTATATCAAGTTATTATTGAAAGAATTGATGTCATTTTTGGTTATAAGTAGTCATTTAAACTGTTTTTTAAAAGTTAATCTGTTGCTGTTTTACTTGACCTTCCCTACCCTACTATAAAGTGCGAGAACCAAGTTATAAGATGGAAATTTTTTTGATTTTTATTTTTTGTAAAGAAAGTTCTTGCCGTTTTCAATCAAAACAACGAAATTTCCCATTATGCAGCCTGCGGGTGACAGATTATACGAAAAATGCAATTTTTTGCGTTGTAAAGAAAGTTCTTGCCATTTTTTGTGTTGTAAATAAAGTTCTTGCCATTTTTTGTTTTGTAAAGAAAGTTTCTGCCGTTTCATTTTCTGTGATTGATTTTTTTGCCTCATTAAGTGAAAAAAGGAAAAATTTGAAATTTGCAGGTTGGGGGTGACAAGTTACACGATAAAAATTTTTATTTTGATTTTTTAGAATTTGTAAAGAAAGTTCTTGCCATTTTAAGGGTTGGAAAGGAAGTTTTTGCCATTTTATGCTTTGTACCGAAAGTTCTTGCTATTTTTTGTTCTGTAAAAAAAGTTTTTTCCATTTTTTGATTTGTAACGAAAGTTCTTGCTATTTTTCGTTCTGTAAATAAAGTTCTTGCTATTTTTCGTTTTGTAAAGAAAGTTCTTGTCATTTTAGTCCTTATAAGAAAGATTATTTATATTATTTTGTCTTTACTGTTGTTATTATACTATTATTGCTATAACATAAATCATTTTTCTCAACTCAGAAAGCCATTTTACTGTTTTCATTTCCACAACTTAGTCATTAAACGTTTGCTTCTATTGTCATAAACCATCAACAATAACTGTCATAAACCTCTCCAGCAACCACAACTCTCGATCCACCTTTCCGACCACCGAAACTGTCATTATGCCTCGATGTGCAGCTATTAAAGCCGGGTAGCGGCTTACCTCTCGAGCCTTAAGCAATTTATTCCTTTTCCGGTCCGAGGTCGGAACAAGAGCGATGGCTGAAAGGGGGGATGCGCTTCAGTCGGTTCGGATTAGGAGGGGGGATCGTTAGAAGATCGTAAAAGAGGGAAAACAGGTAGTAAAAAGTGGTAATTGGACCAGGGTGGATATGACAAAAGGTATGGAAGGGTATATGGAGATGGCAACAGTATATGAGAGACTATCTGGAAATGACAAAGGTATGGCAGGGGATATAGAGATGACAAAGGTATTGTATGGATGTGACTATAGCATG